ATTTCGTCATTTAAATTCTATTATGTAAACTTCATTAAATTATTAGTAATTGTATATTTTGTGATATTGGTATTTTTATATAAACAACAAAAATCAATTACGGAGTTATTTATTTATTTATTTATAGCATTGTGATACAAATATAAATTATCACAATCGCTATAAAACGAAACATTGCGCCAATTATGAAAAAGAAACTAATTATAAGGAATAATTTGCGAATTGTTTAATTATGACATTGAGTTTGGACCTACAGCTTTTGTTCCACGTTCTGTTTAATCCATAAAATGTATAAATAAAAATTTTCAAATTTAATCGAGTAAATCGAACCATTTGCTGGAACGTAGTTTAATTTCATGTAATTACTCAAAATTATTCATAATTATTCAAAATTTGATGAAAAATTGTACGTAAGTATAGTTAACAGTGTGCAAAACAATGTTCACTCCTAATTTTTTATTTATTGTGTCTCCTTTTAATTGATTAAATATTAACAAATTATAGGTGCTTCACAAGATGGAAAGAACTTATATAGAATTTACGTTTTATGGAATTTATTTAAAAAAATTTATGTAACATATGTATATTATGTTATTATGTAGTTATAAAATAGCATACAAAGTCTAGAAGAGTGGCTGTAATTCCACAGAAGACAAATTAATCCTACAGTTTTGATATTAATGGGAAATCGCAGACATTTGTTGTAGCAGTTCTGACACGCGTCAATAATCGTTGTTAATAAATTAACAAAATAGAATTTAATTTCCAAAAATATATGTGGAAGTTGTATGATGCTTATTAGAGTAATTGCGACATCCTCTCTTGGTTTCTGGTATTTTTATTACATATTCCTTTATTTCATTTTATAAATCAATCTGCATTTTCAATTATAAAATATTTCAGGTGTAACATCTATTAAAACAGTTTTTTTTCAACGTACGCAAAGAATCTTGAATAAAAATTGAAATTTTTATTCAACTTGGAGATGTTGATCTACCCAGTTTACGCTCTAACATGAATCTAAATTCCATTAGCTTAATCCACTTACATAGTACAACATAGCATACTAAGTAGCCATAAAATAATTATATTTGATTACCTGATTACAGTATCGTGAAATCCAAATTGAAATGATTTAGAATTAATTGAAAAATTGCCTTTGTAATGTTTATTTTAAATTGCAATTTCTGTTTATCTAATCTTTGAACTCACTCGAGTTAAGGGGAATTTTTTTCTAAAATTTCAAATTGTTCTGACTAAAAAGAAAAAAAAAATTGCAAACTTAAATTATACAAATTCTAACAGCTCAAGATTGTGGATCTTGAAATTGTAAATTATTAAATTATCACATCATTAATTCATATATGTACGTACGCATCGATACGTGCAAATGGCACTAAATGTTGTTATTAATGCTTAAAATCCTCCAGATTATTAATCTTTTTTATAATTACAATATAAAATAATACAAATATATTATTTCCGGAGTGTGCGCACAAATTTTTCGAGCATGGACTCCTCGAGTGGTGCACGTCTTCATCCCTTCCTAATGTTCTGTCAATTCTAATATCTCTAACACGAGACTAAGATAAATTATATTCTTGTATATATTATTTAGTAGAGAATAATCAGACAATCGATATTTAATAAAATGTCTCAAGACTACATTCACGCGTGCGAAAGAGCGGAATTATTAGGGCTACCGATACCCAGCGAAGATGAATGGAAAGAGACCCAGAGAATAGAGACCCAAGATGCTAATAATGACGACGATGAAGTGATCCAAGTAATTATACATTTTATATACTTTTATTACGCAAAACTCAACTTAGTACATTTGTACATTTTTATGCATTTGCAAGTAAATACACCCTTAATGAGTTAAACATTGTAACATTGTAAGTATATGTAAGTTTCTCTTTTTTTATTTATAATGTCATTCTCATTTCTTATATAAATTTCAAATCAATAATATTATAATTTTATCAAGTCATTTAACTTCTAGAATTTGGATTCTTCTGACGAAGCTGCACAACGAATAGGTGGTGGATTGGACGAATTAAATAGCATTCTTAGTGCTACCCAAAAAAAAATTAATAGATTCAAGGTTAAACGCTAATTACATTTTTACCTGATATTCCAATGATTTTATTTTCAACAAATTAAACGATCTTTGTCAAGTACAAGTATTCCTTAGTACGCTTTGAACTAGTACTTTATAACATGAAAGTATTTTACAGACTGTCTGTGGCAGTTTGGGTACTCTATTGAAAGTAAAAGTGGGATCCAAAAATAACACACCAGATCATAAACATGAACAAAACGATAATGAGACAAAGGATATTGATCCTGAAACATCTATGAACGAGGAAAATTTAATGGTAGAATTTACTGACCAGAAACACACGGGAAACACAGAAACTAACACAGCAATGCCAAAAACAATTGATCTTAATGAAAAAATGGGATCTCATTTGGACAAATTAGACTCTCTCATTACTAAAGCAGAAAATGCTCAGTATAGTATGCAATACCAAACAAAACAGATGAAAAAATTTCTAAAGTAATTCTTCATATACAAAAAAAGTAGTACTGTATTCTATCAGGCCTCTTTCAAAGGCCCCTTACTCATTGTTCATGGTATCATGCTTGAAAAACCATACAAATTCAAATTTGTATTGTGTTATGTATGTTAAAGATAGATATAGATGACAAAATGGCAAGTATACAAAAATTAATGACTAAATTATTATAATATTTATCAAATATATGTACACAATGAAGAATGTATATTTTACAGTTTGAGGAAACAAATATGTACTTATTTTGCTCGATTGTCTATTACATTCTAATTGCATATTGTGTTTTATATATATATATATATATATATGTATTTAATATACATATGTCAATGCAGAAGTTTTCTTAAAATCTAAAGAGACATTCAGCAAAACAAAATAACATTAAGATGCTATCAGGTAAAACTTGCTAGTATTTTTATTAAATTACATCCATGTGATATATTCTCATAATACAACTGTTAAGACAATTAAAATTTTTCATTATGAACATAAACATTTATCAATATTTGAAAATAATTATAAATTAAAAGTAATTCTTTCTGTGAAAGAAATATTAAGATAATCAGTTAATATTGGCTATAAAATAAATACTATATATTGATGATTATATTGTATATTGACATTAATTGTGATTGTAGTTATTGCATTGCAAACATAATTGATCATAGTATGCTCGTTCCAAATTTCCTTTTCATATTTTGATATTACATTTTATAATTGCAATCTTCTTTTAATTTACATTATAATTTATTAATTTATATATTCTTAATATACAGTAAAGTGAAATTTGTTTCCATAACAATATATTCATCTTGAAACAAACTAAATTTTTTATCTAAAATTACTTTAAAAATTGCTCAGTTTTTACAAGTTATTACCAGAATATACAACTAATATTAAATCTATCCTATTAATACACATCTAATATTAAAAATGTTACATTAATGTTGTTAATTGTCTGTTCAAAAATACATATTGGTTTTATTAGCTGAATATATTTTAAACAAGGGTCAACAATCTACCTAATATTATATAATAAGATTCGTAGTAAAAGTAATACATTAATAAAATACAACTGTTATAGATAATTTATTACTGTTATAACGATCACAGCAATCATTGCAGTACCTGAGACCAGGTATTAGACAATATTAACGTGCCATGTATCTAGTATGGCTTAAAAAGAACAATGAATTTTCTTTGCTATTTAATCGTTACTGTACAAGTAAAGATTTTTATTGTTACATTTGTTTAGAAAATAAAGTTTTATAAATGCAGTTGATATTTAATAATATTTAACTGTATTGAAACAGAGGGATTATATTTTTACATCGAAAATTAACGTTGATTAGTTAATAGCGAGATAATGGAAGTTAAGTGCGTGATAAAAAATCTGTTACGCGATGAATTTGTAAAATTATGTATGTTTTATACGGTAACTTTTTGTTCGTAATTTTTATTTAGAATTTATTTATGTGGATAGTAGAAAAGGAAAAAAAATGTAACAGATATAATTGTCAGTTTTATTCTTCTAACATGCATTGTACTTGACGAATAAACTGATATCTAAAAAGATACATACGTGTTATTTCCTGATCTGTATCTTTTATTGAAACAATTAAATGATATTTCTAGAAATAAACACGTTAAGAAGTTTACATGCAAAGTCCAGCTTTTGGAGTTTGAAAAATATGTATGCACATATGCAATTGCTATACAGCATAGACTTTAATCTCGGTTTTTATGCCTGAGAAGTTCCGTTAATATCAGCGTTCTACAGGTAATAACTATTAATTTTCACCTAATTTACGAAATAATTCTGAGATAGTAAAATAAATGCTTCATAAAGATAATTTTGTAAATATTGAGATCATTCGATCAAAAATCAAATACCTAAAATCAATTGATAACGTCAAACTGTTCACAAATGAGTTCAAAAGCTCTACTTTGATGTTCATTTAAATCTAACGGTTATTCAAAGGTACGAAAATCTGACATTTCAAAAAAAGAGGAAGAATGTCACATTTTATCATACGTTTCCCACATATGATTCCAAGTTTATAAAAATAATTACGCTAATTTCAAAGGAAATAAATATCAGTAAATATATAGTAACTTGTGCCCACGTATTTGAAAACGTGGTAGACTGAAATTAGAGATTTCATTTTAAACATGTCGTATACTGAAAGTTACATAAAAAAGAAATTAATCGAAGGATTAAACGCTTCACACGTGGTATGTATTTTGTACGTTTCGTTGTGTATTTTAGTATATATTTTCATTCTCAGTATTTTATTCTGCTATTTTTTACTCTAACCTCAAATTTTCCGTGATGAACCCAGGTAGCTAGACGTTATTTCTGAAATGTATTTATCAATCAAGAGCATGTTTGCGATACACGCAATGCAAGAAAACACGCAGTTCGTGTTAATCTCGTTATTTGCTCTCCTTTTGAGATGGTGTGTTACATATCATCCCTACAGTGGCGAAGGAAAGCCTCCAATGTTTGGAGACTACGAAGCTCAACGGCACTGGCAAGAAATAACGTTAAATGTTCCGATTGAAAAATGGTACATAAATACAACAGACAACGATTTACAATATTGGGGATTAGACTATCCACCATTATCAGCTTATCATAGTTTTGCACTTGGCTATATTGCCAATAAAATTAACTCTTCTTACATAAAGTTACATGAATCCAAAGGCTTCTCGTCCGAAAGTCATAAATATTTCATGAGATTTAGTGTTTTCTGTATAGATATTTTGATTTATATACCATCAGTAATATATTTTATATCAACTAGTCAAGTATCTGAGAATTTTAAAACAGAAGAGCTATCTGCATTTGGTGGTCTGAAAAGAAAACATATTGATTTTTTGACAATATTGATCTACCCAGGTTTGATATTAATAGACCATGGACATTTTCAATATAATTCCTTTTCATTAGGGCTGTTTGTTAGTGCTGTTACAGCTATGTGCCAAAATTCATTTATTACTGGATCGATCTTATTTGTTGCAGCATTAAACTATAAGCAAATGGAACTGTATCATGCATTGCCAATTTTCTTTTACATATTTGGAAAGTACTCACCTATGAAAGAAAAGTTTTGGTCATCTAATCTATTAATGCTTTTCTATGTATCAGTTATAGTAATTTCTACATTTTTTATCATATGGTTACCTTTCATTAAAAGTTGGGAAACATTTCTAAGTGTTGTTCTTAGATTATTTCCAGTCTCTAGAGGTGTATTTGAAGATAAAGTGGCTAATATTTGGTGTGCAATCAATGTGATTTACAAATTACGTAATGCTTTTGTAAATGAGAGATTAATTCAGATTTGTTTAGTGACAACTACAATTGCAGTTTTACCAAGTTGTATAAATCTATATCTGAATCCACAAAAGGAGAAGTTCATTATTTCTCTTATTAATTGTGCATTAGCATTTTTTCTGTTTTCATTTCAAGTTCATGAAAAATCAATTTTGCTTGTTGCAATTTCAGTTTTATTATATTTTCAAAGTGATCCATTTCCTTGTTTTTGGTTTTTAATAATTTCACACTTCAGTATGCTACCTTTATATATAAAAGATGATTTATACATGGTATATTGGGCCACGTTAATTTTTTATTTCTTTTTTGTTTTATGGACATATTCTGATGTGTTTAATCACACTAAATTAGTGAATAATGTTAACTCTAAAAAGAATGCACTTATAATTAATCAAAGACAAATTAAAGCAAAGCTAAAAAATAGCAAAAATAAATCACTTTTTATAAAATTGAAAAGAGATCTAATACATTATAAGAATAATATTGTTTCATTAACTTTTGATTCATTTTTCTGTAAAATAGTTCTATTTTATTGTTCAATTCTAGGAATAATAATATTTTCCTTTATTAGTGGTTTTATGAAACCTCCAAAAAGATATCCAGATCTTTTTGCATTATTAATTTCCATCTATTCCTGTGGACATTTTGTAGCTTTCTATTTATATTTTAATTATAAACAATTTGTACATAAAAAGGATATAAAATTGAAATAAACCAGAAAAACAAATTTATGTTATATTATTACCATATTCCTTGTTAAATTATTTTTTTCTTTTTAATGTAATTAAATTTAAAATAATAAATTTATTAAAAAAAAATAACGTTATATTTTCAAACGCATTGAAATCATGTACTTAAAGTGTTCATGGTTATTCAACATTTATCGCGATAAAAACGTTATTTATATGTATCATTACTTTATTACAAAATATTAGATAACTGCATTCTTTTATGAGCTAGTTGCTCTGATAAATACTAGATAAGTTTAGTTTCTTGTAAATTATATAATATTCTATATGAATTCGAACTTTACTCTATTACTAAGTATTATTCTTTTAAATTAATAGAATGAAAATGTTGTAAATATAGATTTAACTCTTTGTAGTCAGTAATTTTCGAACGATATGTACGTATGTTGTTACAAAGAAAAGAATTGGTCTACTTTAAAATCGTCCTATCAAGTATTTAGGTGATAAATAGTTCTTCCACAAATTTATATAATTTATCCATTGACAAATAAAATGATTAAATATAAATTTATATAAAAAATATCAAAAAAGTTTTTATTATTATCAGAAATACGTAGATTGTTTTGTTACTATATATGTTAAATAATTTTTATACCGCTTTTGAATGTTATAGGAAGTTGTAGATGAATCTGATGGCTGCGGCATTAAATTTTCTGTAATAGTTGTCTCCAGTGCTTTTGAAGGAAAGCCTCTAATTCATCGACACAGGTATTGCATTTTTGAAGCCCTAAAAAATTTAAAAACTAATTTAATGAAATTATTTTAGATCAATACATTCATTACTGGAAGAAGAACTTAAGACAATTCATGCATTTAAGCAGAAGACATTAACACCAGCAGAGTGGGAAGGAAAAAAGGAGATGATAAAGAGGTATTTAATAATAATTAATTAGTAATAATTAATTCAATAACAATTAACTGTAATATATCATTTTTAAAATATATTATCTTATTTCCATTAACAGCTCCACAAGCTAGACTCAACAAATTAAAAATTTAAAAATGATTCAATTTAAAGTATCTGCCCCAGGAAAAATAATTCTTTTTGGAGAACATGCTGTGGTATATGGAAAAACAGCTGTTGCAGCTAGCGTAGACTTACGTACAGTTCTGAATTTCACTGAACTACCTGAAACAGAACAGATTATTAAGATATGTTTTCCTAAAGTAAATTCATTTATTAATGTATCTTTACAACAAATACAACATTTTTTTCTTACTAATATTGATATAGAATTCGTGGAAAATTATGAAATATTTTATAATAAAGTAAAAGAATTTGTTTCCATTATTAGTTATGCGAATTTGCAACAAAAATTAAGTCTTGAAGCATTTTTTTATCTTTTCATTTACATTACGCAGAAAGAAGAGATCGAAATAAAACCATTTCAAGTTCAATTAAATACAGAACTGGGAATTGGTTCCGGACTTGGTAGTTCCAGTTCCTTTGCCGTTTGTCTTGCTACGTGTTTTCTATATTGGTCGCGTTTGCAAAAGGGTATTTACGAAATATTAGATTTTTCTACTTTAGATACTATCTCAAAATACGCTCTAAATTGTGAGAGAATTATGCACGGAAATCCATCTGGAATAGACAACTCCGTCTGTACATATGGATCGATAATAGAATTCAAAAAGGGTGATTATGTAAAGCCAATAAGTAATGTGCACGCTCTGAAAATTTTATTGGTAGATACAAGAGTGAATAGAAGCACAAAAGCTTTAGTTGAAAGATTATTAGAACTGAAGCATAGATATCCAGTTATTATCGATCTGATTATGAGCTCTATAGATAATATATCCAAAGAGGCAATTAAAATTATTGAAAAATTGAAAACAGTTTCCGTTGATGATGAATATTTTTTCGAGGGATATAGACAGTTAATGGTAAGTATTTTATTGCTTTTCACAGAGTAATGTTTGATTTGTGGAGTTAAAAGATTAGTTTATCAGTTTAAAAAATAATACAGTATGTTTGTTCGAATTGATGATATGTTAAAATGTTATTTGATCATTACTTTCAATACATATAAATGTATTTAAATCTTCTTACTACTTATCATGTATTATTACAGACTCTTATTAATATGAATCAAGGTCTGCTAGCCACATGTCAAGTTTCTCATCCGTCGTTAGATAGAATTTGTGCAGAAGCACAAAATTATGCTTTGGCAGCAAAGCTTACAGGTGCTGGAGGTGGTGGACATGCATATATTCTTTTATTGCCGGATACGCAACCGGAAACTATTTCGAGTATATCGCGAAAATTAATTGCAGATGGATTTACTGTCAAATTAACAACTTTAGGAGGTCCTGGGGTACAAATTAATTAATAATTTTGTAATAAATATTAATACAAATGATATTTTCAATGTAATATAAATTTTATTTATACTTATCAAAAGTATTTCTAATTCAATATCCTTCTTATATTTTCCTTTTTCAATAATCATGATAGATGAATTTAAAATGTTACAAATTAATTTATAATTTTTTGTAAATAAAATTATGCGTTTCGTCTGTGAGAAAAACAAAAAAAAATTAATTTCACTATTAATAAAGCTCTATTTATGGAAGTTATATCGTTTAGTACTTTTTACATAATATTTTTATAAAATTATCAATTACTTGATTTATTGTATCGCAACATAATCCAAAATAAAGTTTAATCACTTATGTCAATTAAATATATTACTTTCTTTTATGTTTATGCTTTTAGTAAAAATTTTAATTGTTATATCCATTATCTGTTAAATTTACATATTACAATCTTTTGATGCTAATATATTGTGAACGGATACAATAAAATTTGATTTACTATTACAATTATACAACATTTGATGTGTTATGATGCGTTTGTCGTAAGTTTTCAGTTAATCCTATGTGATCTGTTTCGGAAGTTGCTTCTTCTCTATAATTTTCTTCTAAACTATGAATAGCATTTGATAAAAGCTGCCTTTCTGCTTGTTTAGCCTCTGTAATCCATTCGGTAATTTCATTAGTATACATTTTTCTTTGCAAAACTTCTCTGGTTCGAGGACGCGATCCAATAAAAACAGTAGTTCCCTACAATATCATATAATTGAGATAATAAAAAACGTATTCTCTAAAACTTAAAACTTACACCAACTATCAGCGAAGGTCGTAATGTTTCCAAAAGCTGGAAATCTTCTATTATATACTGCAATTCATCCCATTTTAGTTCTACTTCTTCGTGTAGCATTTTTTCCTCTATAATAAAATGTATATAAAAAAAATTAATAGAAGATTAAGAATTTAAACGAAAAAGCCTATATTTCTTAAATATTTTATGAATAATTGCGCAATCAAGAATATAATGATTCAATTACCATCACGTTTAGATGTTGATTTTTTATAATGTATCCTAAATCGAAAAGCCTCCAAGAAACTGGATACCACAATAGTTAAAACAATCATTGTCACCAAATAAAATATCATAAAATATATTCGTGTATACATTCCAACTGTAAATCCATACGCGTTCATTAAGATAAACCAATTATTAACAACCGTTAACTCAAAAAGAGTCATTCCACTGGCTATAAGATTGTCAAAAGTATTAAGGTAATAATATCCTAATGCGGTACTTTCATTCACAGAGTACTTATAAAAATCTTCAACTGTTGTATTCCTGACAAATATACATTATGTAGTATTCAGAAAAAAATATTTTGTTCATATACTTACTTGCAACAATTTCGCATATTATATCCTGCAAACAATTCCATTCCAATAATTGCAAAGAAATAGTATAAAACTAGCATGACTACTGCAGTAGAAGACATCAAGGGAGTTAAAATCACTAAAGTGCCGAATACGTCTCGATATCTCTTTTTAATTTTAAACAATCTCAACATTCGAAGTGGTCTGAATAGAACAAAAAATGTTGCTGTTGGAAAAAGACATAAAATACAAGCAGCAACTAGTGTCATTATGGATGTGCCTAAGTCAAAAAGATTCCATCCAGAACTCAAATATCGTCTTGTACCAAGTCCTAACACTTTTATTAGTGCTTCAGTGACGAATACTGTAAAATCAAATTAGCATTAAAATGATTCTACACAAAGCTTTTATAAATATTTTTTTCACCTACTTCCTCCAAAAAGAAAAGTATCCCAAGATGCAGCAAATAGAAGTGTACTATGAATATTATCACCTGGCTGTAATATTCTTACTATCATAGCAATGCCATTTGCAACGATCGTTATGTCTAAATATTTTATAATTTAATAGATAATAGACTTAATATCATAAAAATTTGTCTTTCTTTTAAACTTACACATTAAAGTTTCGAAATATGGCCATCTAATAGCCGCATGCGCTCCTGTACAGAGAATCTGCAGAGGTTGTGATGTACTGTGATACCAAGGTACAGTAGAATATTGCGGCTCCCACTGAAGTATAATAGTATCGTAAATGTTTAAAAATTCCTCGGCACTCAGAACTCCGCTTCCAGAAGCATTTAGATGTTGATACATTAGCACAATGTCTCTTATACCTGTAAAGAACTTATTTATATAATTATAGAATTATTTATATATCTTACTCTTTATTTTACTTTAAAAAAACTTTAATGTATTTCTACGAGAATTTCACATACTTTTATTTGGAGCATAATAACGTATTAATCCTTCAAATTGACGAAATCGCATTTTATCTGGATTTTGTTTCGAAACTAATAATTTAAAAGCATGTTGACATGCTTTTCGTTTATGTAAAAACAATTTTTTAAATTTATCACGCTCAGCTGCTGTAAACGTTTCGTTAACCACCGCCAACATCAAATTCATCATTACATATAACATTGTAGACAAGTATGATACAAAATATATTGCATACCATTTGTTTTTTGAATATGATGGCATCATCACATCTGGAAAACTGAATACTGAAACTGTTACTAAAAACTAAACAGAATAAAATGTATCTAAATTTAAAAATATTATTAGAAACTTAATTATACTTACTTAGCGGTAGTAAGAAGAACAAACAGACTCACAAAACTATCTTGTAATGTAGAAAAATTTCTATTCATTTCAGAAAACATGTAGTAGCCCAATACTGTGTAAAGTGTTACAAAAAATAAAAGCAAGCCTAACATATCCAGAATCGGAGGCAGGGTCAAAAGTATTTGTCTAATAAATCTTCTAACGCCTCCAAAACATTTTGTATCTACTAAAAAAATAGGCCTTAGAGCACGTGTTACACGGAAGTGCGATGACTGTCGTACTAATACTGTCATCGCCTCTAAAAACATGATGACCAATGTAATACACTGTAAAAATAATTTTCATGTACAGTACTCTCCTTACTTTTCTTAAAACTTTAATTGAAGATATTCTTAGTTAATACAATAGTGTGTAATTTTATATTTTTTCAATGATATGTAATGATATTTTCCCAATTCATATTTTCATGTTGTTTCAAATTATTCCATAATTATGGTATAGCAATTATATTATAACAATTTTACTATATTTGTTAAATTTCATATCATATAAACATATCATCAATTTTAAACCATTGTATAATAGATATGAATATGAAAAAGTCAGTGACAGTGTATCATTGATACACTATACATATATTTATTAGATATTTACTAAATATGTTTTCTATAAGAGATTTTCCAATAAAGGTATTAGTATAATATAACATATTACAAATGAACAAATAATACAATTATCAATGTCTCATTTCAATAAAAATGTAATCTTTAGTAGTCTATAGTTACAGCATTGCTTATCTTCTCATAAGTAGCCTCATGCTTTTTGTATTAGTCTCATGGAAGACAATCATTATATTGTACACTGCTTAATGGACATACTGACAAAATGGTGGCAAAAAACTGCACTTCAATCTCATAATGATGTTCAATGTAATAACAAAAGCAGTTATATGAAGGTATATGTGACAACTCATATAGATTTATATGAAGTTCCATGAAATTTTAATACAAACTATCAACTCTGATTCGAAAAGAAAATTGTTTTTACCTTTAGCATTGTTCGTTTGTGTTTTAACATTGTTGACCAACCAATCCATCTTAACTTCAAAGCTAATTCTATGCCTATGATAATTAAAGCAAAAAGTTCTATGGATCCATGTGCCCACACTGGTATCTAAAATTAATAACCTAATACATTAATAATCAATAAAATAAAAAAAAAACACTTCCTTATCAATAACTTACACCAAACAGTGGTACAGCTGGTTCTTCAACAAGAGCCAAAGCCAAAAGTATAAGAGAAGTTAATAAATCTAAGCCATAATACCAGTTATTATGAACTAAGAGGTATGCTGGTAAATCTTCAGGATGCTTTGGATGTGAATCAAATTTTTCGTTATTTCTACCTTCCTGTGGAGATAATTTTTTGTAAACAGAATTTAGAAACGATTATTTGTATGCACATGCAAGTATATATAATACCTCTAAATATATAGCAGCCTCATGATAGTTCATTTCCCAATATAGATCATGATCTGTGAGTGAATCTTGTGATGGAAGTATTACATTTTCAGACATGTTTTCTCTCTGTGCATCATCTGTTTCAAATTTATGAATAGCTGGATCAGTTGTTCTTACATTTTCAGTGGAGGAGTTTACATGATTTTCTGCAGAAGGATATGATAGTATAGATCCATATTCTACAATAAAAAATAAATATCTCTATAACAAGAATAAATAATACTTTTAAACAATAAAATAAATTTTCTTTCTTTCTTTTCTATAATATAATTAATATAAGGATATTTTTACAAAATTTGATATCATTACAGTTAAATATTATTACAAATAATTATGATAAAAAATGCAGAAATACATGAAGTAAAATGCGAGGTGTATCTTGCTAAATATCACAAGATGAAAGTGTAAGAATGAAAATGACAAGAATGACATAGTTGTCAGAAAGCAAAGAATTTTATGATACAGATTAAGATACGAAATGAATTAAAATAATACGACTAAAATTGATTCTACTCACTTTGACATGGTCGATTTGAACTATTTTGTTCGAGTGATATGTTTGCATCTTCATTAAATCGTTGATAATTACCGGAATATTCGGTAGTTTTGGGAGAAGACATTTGAGAATATGTCACATGTCACATGCATACAGACATTTGTTGTGTTAATGAATACGAATTTACATCGCAGTATCTGCCACTATTCAAATGCTAAACACTGACTGGATTATTATGAAAACTACATGTGAAGATATATGCATATTTTTGTTTGAAACATATTTTACATATTACAATATCATAATACAATGATGTTATTCAATCCTATATTTGACGTTCCAATTCGTGTTGCGCATGCGCAATCGGAACTAATAGTTGTTACACTGATAAAACTTATGTAAGTAATCTTTATTCTTCATAAATATAAAAAAAATATTAAAATTGTAAATTTTTCTTATTTCCTCTATATATTCCAAATTGATATTAAGTTTTGTTTTATCATTATATATAAAGTTTTATATATAACATTTTTTATACAAAGCAAAAAAGAAACAAAGATAATTATGATTATTTATAATCAAGGTTTTCAAAAGAATTTATTTTATTTCTTATTATATACATTTGTAATCAAATCACAAAAGATTAAAATTTTAATCTGTGTGGGTATTGGCTGCTCCTCAGTCCAAACATCGCTGATAAATACGTGAATAATGTTTTTTTCTCCTTGTTTCTCTTAATAGCAACGATTATAAATTTATCAACCAATTTTTGATCAGCCTTTCTCTGATCATTTGGTTTATATTCGTCCTTCTTTTTACTGAAAATATCTCCTTCTTCCTTCTTCGCGCGTTTCTCGCGTTTTCTTTTGAAATAATCGTCATTGATGTGGGCCGGAATCTTTAAACCAGAAATATTGATACGCGTGGACGTGGCGATTACATAATTCTGGCTAACTCTACGAAGTGGACAACCATTGATCAAAAAAGGACCTATTTTAAAACACATTTTATTAATATTCTAGTTTCATTAAATATCTCACAACAATAACTCAATTTATTACAATAAATCTAAATAAATCTTACCTGTGACTAAGAGTAAACCACTCTTAAGTTGCTTCAGGAAAACAACACGTTTTCCCTTATGAATGCCAGCTAGTAGGATACAAATAGTTCCCGATTTCAATGAAGGTCTCAAATACCGGTGATGATCACGGAAACACTTCTTAGCATGATGCACTGTTACTGGATCTGCAGTAGGATAATTTGCACGCCTCTTTTTTAATAATACTATTCGTTTCTCTCCATTTTTATCACCACTAATCTTCTTTTCAATGGTGATTGGTTTTTTAGGCTTAACCTATATACATTACATAAACAAAATATTAATATAAATATAAACAAGAATGAATGATGTATATGATATTGTTTAACATACAGTTTTTGGAGTTTTCTTATCAATGAATTTATAGATGGCTTTCTTATGAAACATGCGGGTACGACTAAATCTATAAACACCATTCCCTAGATTGTAATTTCTAGGCCTAATTCGTCCTCTCTTTCCATCTTTTTTTGTCTTTGCAAGAGTACTTTTGTTTGTTGTTTCTTTTAATTCAATTGTATCGGCCATCTAGAAAATAAACATGAGTTAATAGTCATAGATTTATTTTTCACTTTAATATTTGTTTTAAATAAATTATGGCTAGCGTAATTAACAAAAATGAAGATAAAATTTTTAACAAAAACTTTATCTAATTTCTATTATCATAACCTATAATTGAACATATGCATCGTGTTGTGAAGGTTATGTCATCGTTATGTTTTCGTAATCAAATTTTTAATACTTAAAACAATAATAGAACATTGGGTTAAATTTGTTACAAGATATTATCATGATTTTAAAATTAAAAAAATATGTTTACTTTTTCTTATATAAAATCAATAAAATGTCAAATTTTAATCTCTCCAAATTTAAATTATGAAATATTAAAAATATCATAATATAATATTAATAGAAAATATAATATTCCTTTAAAAGAAGGATATCTAAAATGCATAAAATTTAATGAAATGTATAAATTTCTGTTATTACAATAAAAAGATTACTTTGATAACATTGTGTCTATTGACCTCATACCTTCTCACTGTAAATCGTGCAACTAAATGAACGTGTCGCTTATTCATTCGATAGTCGATATATATAATTATCGAAACTCGAATATCGATTGTATACGATAATTGTTACCAGTTACCAAATTGAATAGTTCAAATACAAATAATCAGGAAGAAATGTATCAATAAGACAATTTCTTATTATTCTTATGGTTGCAATAATCAATATTTAATTGTATTACTATTTTGACCAATGAAGATTATTTCTATGATAGAAAATAGCAAAAGATACATTGGAAAAAAATATACATTTCGAAATTAAATAACTTAATTATACAATTATTAATCAATTAGATGCGAATCAAATGAATATAAAAGAAAGAATACAAAGAATATAAGTACACGATTAAAAGGGAAGAAATAGATCCGAGAAGCAAATTTGAGGGTTCAAATACTTATAGTAATGTAAGAGTATAAATAATATTATTAGGGAGTAATTAACTTAACAAATAATTGAATACGGTTTACAAAATTGACATATATATTTTACTAAACAATAATCTCAATTTATTATAAAAATTTAATGATCTCATAACAAATATATTGTATTTAAATTTTTATATTTAATTAGTGTATATTCATGCGGAATTAAACATATATGCACTTAACCATTGTAAGAGTCTTATATTTATTTTATACAAGTATTGTAAATAGATTCGGTGTATATTTAATTTATGACTATAAGTAGAAAATATTTAGTTCATCTTTAAATTACTTTTTAATTCATTTAACAAGATAGAACCTATTACCATCTTTTCACAATTAACACAGATTTCCAAACATTCATTACCTATCATTTTTATTGTCACTAATACCAAAGACTTTGATGCTAAAGTATGGGCGGCAAACCTGGGAAAAAGGAAAAATTTTAGAACTCTTCGAATGATCTAATAATTCAAACTTTTCTTACCTGAGTTCATCATCATTGCTAGATACTATTGCAACATTTGCAGTCTCGAAAACTTTTTGGGAAATAACTTTTTTATTTCCAGAATATTGCACTTTTGCAACATGTTCATTCATACCTTTTAATTTGGTTTTTTCAGTTGTAAACATACTTTCTGACAATAGCACGGCTCTTATTATTTCTCCAATTGGAGCTTTGATAATAACTGAACAGGAATGCGTGTCCTCTCCAATTATGAAATCAATATTAAAATTTGCTGGTTGTGTGGAATCGTTAAAATTGATTCCCAATGTAGTGGATAATTCTGAATTTTTTTCTAATAGTGGTATTTGTGTGAAATCATGTATCAGCATTCCTTTTGGTAAATTCTATTAAAAAAAAAAAAAAAAAAAGGAGAATTCATTTATCAATTAAAGGACTCATATGTATCATGTAAATTTACCTTTACTCCAACTTGTATTTCTTTAACAGGTTCGCTACCTTCGTTTGAAAATGTTAATTCAATAGTAACTAAATAAGCACTTACTAAGTGCTGCGACCTAGTAAATCTGTATTCAATTTTTAAACCATGACCCATAATACTACTTAATAATTCAGATTTCTTTATGGGAATAAACGAAGCAGAAACTTCTCTGACATCATTTGTAATATTCAAATTGATAGGAGTAAAAAGACCACCTGTGCTTAATGGCATAACTGGCGTCATTGGAATCACTGAAATTGGCAAATAAAATTTCGACAAATTTTAATTGCTATAATATTTAAGCTTTTTCCTTGCTAAACATTCAATAATATTACCATCATCTAAGTCTAAAAGGAGATCAATGTTGCTTTTTGGTTTTTCTACTGCTTCTTGATTTGAAGTCTTGTAATTTCCTTCTTCACTTTCCTGAGAATTTTCGGATGATTCTTCAGAATCTGATTCTTCACTTTCAGACTCACTGTTTGACTCGTCAGATACTTTAGTAGATTTCTTTTTTTCATTTTCATCGGTTTCAGATTTTTCAGATTCTGATATATACTCAGACGAGTCACTTTCATCATCTGAAGAATCACTTGTTGAAGTATCTGAAGATTCATTTTCATTATTTAATTCTAAAAATTAAAAAAAAAATTAAAATTAGAATTTTATTTGTAGGTTTAGTAATTTTGAACGTACCATCTGCTTGAACACTTTCTTCATCACTATAGAAAGGCTTCTCTTTTTCTTTTCCCTTTTTGTCTTTCTTATCTTTCCTGTAATATTCATCTCTTGCATTTCTAGTAGTGCCGCTTGCAACATCCCTTACTGATGGTTCGGGAGCTACATCAGGGAAAGATGGCAAAGGACGGTAACCAGCACATGGCATATCCAAATAATGTGACAATGTCCCTAACTGATATTCAGAATTTTTAAACCTGGATGTTAGAGTTGGTGCAGGTTTTGGTGCTAAAAATATTCTTTTCGCAAGCTGTGGAAGTTTTTTCGTATGACCATCCTCATCAAAAATGAAACGTCTCAAAAAACGTGCACGATCTCTAATATCGTAGTTCTGATCGTATTTTGCAAGCTGAAAAACGTATTGACAAAATGGCTTGGTTTGAATGGGATTATTTAGACATAGTTTTACAGCTAAATTTAAAATTTGAAGCTTCACAATATCTTGTTCGTTTACAAAATTTTTAGCCATTTTTCTAAGCACATCTGGTGCTATTTTAGGTACTCTATCTGAATATTCTCCTAAGAGCCACAAGATCGATGCTCTGGCTTGTGGTATAGTTATGAAATCCATTAATTTTGCCATATGAGCAATTATATTTTTATGTTCGTTCGGTTGAGTTTGTAATAACTTCTTTATAACAACAACACTTTCTGCTACAACAGCCTCTGAATAAAAAATTACATTTTAATTTTTATAACATGTAATTTTGTACTTTATAGTATAATTACTCACCATCTCGATTACTCAATAATGAAACTAATCCATTCAAACATGTATCAGTCACTTCTTTTATATTACTTGCACATCTCCCAATTGCTTGTATACTAGCTCCAACAAATTCTTTATCACTACTAGAAATATAAGTTTGGAATTCCCTTAATATAACTCCAATACTTGTTTCAGTTGCTAAATTGGTCAAAATATCTAATTTCAAAAGTTTTATATGAGTAGGATCTGAAGTTCTTACAAAGAATGACTTAAGAAAAGGTTCAAACATTCCCTGTGTAAAAATAATAAAAATTCAAGCTTCCATATGAAAGTAATATTTGTTATATATTTATAAGAAATTATTTTGCAATAATTATATTAGTACTTACATTACCTTTCTGGCAATTGATATGCTAGCAATGCAGTGAAGAACTATGCTTTGAACTTCCCTGTGTCCTCTTAATAATCTGATTAATGCTTTGGCAGCAATCATTACTTCACTTCGTGGTGCAGTGTGATGATATAACTGAGATACTGCCATTACAACAGAAGCATTTCTGCTTTGTAAAAGAGGTTTTGTATTTCGCAATAATAATCGATGATCTGAATCTATTGTCAATTTTGATTTTTTTGTATTAGACGAATCAGAATCAGAATCATAAAACGGACGATTTTCATCATCTTCTATGTTCTACAACAATTGTTTCAAAAGATATAAATCTTATATGTATCTTATAGATTGCCCATAATTTTGAAAAAATATACGTACATCTACATTAGGATTAACGAATTGTGTTCTTGCATATCTTGTAAGCATGTTGACTATGACGACTTGTCCCCATTCATCCACATCTACTAATAAATTACAGAGCTTCCTATAATTTTTGTGTATCAAATCTATTCTTTCAGGACAAACATCTTCAAATGCCATTACTGCAGAACCCACAACAAGAGTTGTTTTATCTGATAATAATTTTTCTAAAACGCCTATTAATTCTTCCTTTTGCTCAGAATCTAGTGAATAAAGTTTAGGAATTGCATGTGCTGCAGTTTTTCTAACATATGGTGACATATCACTGGCTGAATCTTTGATAGCAAGCATTACTATAGGCACTATCATAGAAACTCGTATACTTGAAAGTACTCTTAAAGCACTGGCTCTTATTAATTGATTAGGATCTTTTAATGCTCGTTGAAATGTAGAAATAGATAAAAGTGCAAGATCTTGTTGATCTTCGGCATAACGCACCAAATAAACATAAACTAATTTCTTCACTTCTATATTCTTTGATACAACATTTTTTACTACAGCTGGAAATAATTCTGATGCATCTCTTCCTTTTGCTATCATCTGAAAAAATAGTTTATTATAATTACTTGATAATATAACATACTAATCTTATATGAACTTATTAGGTTGAATTAAGGAATATTAACTCAGTCAAAGGTTCTTTTGTTTAACAGTAACATGATAAAGTACACATTATTTATTTAATGAAAGATTATTAAAGAAATGTAAAAGATTTATTACCCCAATTATACGTTTCATAGCCTCTAACTTAAGTCCATCCTTATTGCTATCCAACATTTGTTTCAAGTCTTCATGTCTAAAAAGAAATATTCCTTTATCATTATATATTCTTTATTAATATACTTAATATACGTTAATATATAATAATATACGTTGCATTAACACACTTATAATACAATATCAACATTAGAAATTATAATATAATTAAAAATATGTATTATATTTTTAATATTTTAAATACATAATGCAAAACTCTATAGGAAATTTAAAAAATTAAAAAATTAAAAAAATAACATATTAAAGTATGTCAAAATTATAACACTTCAAGCATATAATCAAAACCACAGAAAGTGTAAAATATAAATGCAAAATGTAAACATTACAAGATAAAATTAAAATAATTAAAATAATAGCATAAAATCAATGTAAAATACCATTATATTTAAAAAAAATATGTAAGATTTCTTATTGGAAAAAGTATGTCAGATTTCTCTATTATATTTGAGTGAAAATTTAAAAGTCTATAAGCTTTTTTTTATTAAGCATATATTCATTAAAATATTCACTTTTTATAATCAGAGTGAAAAAATCCACCCGAGGCAGGATCAGTTGCAAATTCTGGATCTGCTGTGCTAGATGGTCTGTCATTGCTGTACGAGCCTCCGTTATTCGATAAGGAATTCGCAGCAGCAGTCAACATTTTATCTCAGTTTCAATTAAACCAAAGTAATTTCTCTTTCTTGTATCAATCACGCAAACTTCACTCCAATATACGCGGTTATACAAAAATGCTTTCAATAGGCATTAACAAATATATCTGTTTAGATTTGAGTCAGATCCATTTTTTCAGAGAAATTCTGTTTTATGTGTCGAAATGTCTTGAACGAAAAACTCCAAAAACAAAGCTTAATACGTGAATCTGTTTTTTTCGTTAATTTCTTATAAATACATTCGTTTCGTTCATTTTATTTGGTAAGAATAAAAAATACAAGTTAATAACTGCAGCATTTCCAAAAATAACGAGTGAAAGGGCGAAATTGTTGGCGAAGCCACACACGTTGCAAATAAGTTACCAATCTAGTAACTTTTGTTCGCACAGATAGACGCGGGAATATTTAATTGTGATAAGAAACATGGATCATACGGATTATATTAGCTAGATAAAATATTCGACATACTTTAAAGAATTTGTAATGTAAGCAATATTTTTTAACTATCAATGTTCGACATTTTACTTGAATAATAAAATATGTAACAAATAAGTTACTTGAGAACAAATGATAATTTATTCGTTTTACGATATATATTTAATACTGATAATTGCAATATTTCTTTTTGTTTATTCAAATCTAATGATACTGATGTCACACACTTTATTGTTTGTACTAATATGACCGAATTTCTCTTTACATGTAATATTGTAAGTGAAAATATAACTATAAGATATTAAAAACATTAAAAGTACTAGATATAGAAAATAAATATTTTATTTATCATCTGAATATTTATCTTTAAATGCTAATAAAATAATAAATATGTATATTTCACATTTTAAAATTATATTAATAATTATGAAAGAGTTTATTTTGTATGACACTATAATACAAGTTCAACTAGTTTATTGGTATATTGTATGTTGTTTGGTAACAGCATAACAATTTTTTTTACAGAAAGTTTGCTAAGAACTTTTCTTTTCTTCGGGCAGTTTTTTTTTATCTGATTTACATTCTCTTGATTTTTGTTGTCTTATTGTAGAATTTAAATCTTCTTGACAATTAGCATATGCCATACCTAATCCAAAGCCTCCACCAGTTATAATAGGCCACTTTCTTCCTAAAAGAAAATTAATATTTATATTATCATAATACATATATATTCATATAATAACATATATATACATATTTATATATTTATTAAAATACTTATTATTAAAATTAATGGATTAAACTACCTAATTAAGAAGTTAGTAGATATTTGGAAATATCTACAAATTAATATCATATAAAGATTTCACATACAAGATATCGTGAAACCTAACCTATATTACATACGTAACGAGACAACTTTCATCAGTCAAATTTCAAAATTTGGAAAAATATTTGCGTGAAAATGTAAAATTATATGCAATAAAATCAATAACGTTATATTATTTGTATTTTTCAGTCAGGAATTGAACTTAATTTTCAATAATGTATATCTTCTCTGAATTAATTGAATAAAAATTAATTACATCTATTACAATATTACATGTAAATTTTTATTAATCATTGGAAAATATATGTAGATTTTTAATGTCCTAAATGATTTGAAACTTACGTTTGAAAAAAAATAGAGAAACTACTCCTCCAAGTAGAATTCCTCCTCCTATGGAAACGTCGTTATTATTATAATAAATATACTCAATCTTTTATCATTTCAAAGTCCCGCACAGTTTCAATTATTAGATAATAATTACCAAATTTAAATATAGCATCAGTGAAACAACGATCCCATTTTCGCCCAATTTCGTCCTCAGCCCAAGTAGCCATTTTTCTATATTAAAGTAGATCTATAATATTGGATGTTATGTCACACGTCAGTCTATGACCATTGGGAAAGAACAGCATTGAGACATTGATTTATTCATGAGAAATAACGTTATTGAGAATTCAATATTTCTTCTATATCTTTTTTAAATGATACAAATGAACGTGTGATATAATAGATGACAACAAAATCAATATAATTAGATGGTCCCCATCGTTCAAACAAGAGAGTATGTAGGGACATGCGGAATATGTATATATGTTACATACTAATGTAAGCTACGGCAGAAAACAATTCTTTATAATTTCACATATTCGTTAAGTTTATTCGAAAAATGTGCTTTTTTTAGGAACAGATAATCAATTTGTTTGTTAATTTCGTTGGAAATCGCTCGATCTATTTTTATAAATTTTTGGAGGGGAATAGAAAGAGAGGGAGGGAGGGAGGAAGGGGGAGAGAGAGAGAGAGATTCTGTGGCGCCACCAGAATTTTAGTTACTAAATTCAAAAATAAATCACTAAATAGTTTAATAATTTCTCATATAAAATTTCTATAAACAGAACATACCATAGAAATTAATTTTTTCTTTCAGATATAAAATTTGTATATGAAAAAATTTGCATGATTATGATAACAAATAACGAATGCAATTAAAAATATATAGCTACTTTTTTTCTAATTCGTTATTAAGTTCTTTCAAAAGGAGTAACTAACGTGAAAAGACGTAATTTTGTAATTTAAAGTAAAGATAAATTTTTCGGTATGACTATGAAGAAATACATAATTTACTAAAATAAATCCTTGTATCTTAGTTTGTATTGGGTAATTGAATCGATAAGTAATATGTGTATTTATAATCTAAATAATATAATATACATATTTTACTTTTTAAAATTACAAAGGAAAATAAATATGGAAAAGATAAAGATGCATTTCAACGCCCTCTCTTAATCGATTCTATCTTATCCTACTACAGCATTTCAAGATTTAGTGTTCTCTGTGTATACTCGATCTGACAAGATGGTTGTCGAGAAACATCACCATAAAATTCCAATGACAAAGTTTCCGTTGCAAAAATAAGGGGAAAATTCGTGACTTGAACATGTTCGTTACGTATTGCAAGACGAGAAAGGGATAGTTTTAATCGATGCAGACTCGATGTTAAAGTGTTGCAAATCAGCTAGATATATATTCATGTTAAAACTGCGTCGCAAATAATGTTATCGATTAATTTTTTAAGAACCTCTGAGTCAATAGGCAAACGATCAACTAATATTAATAGAAAAGCGAGTAACATCGAATCATTAATGAGGTTCTCATTTTTTATTGTGATCTTTGTCGTAACAACCCACCAATTGTCGGCGGTCAGCGCAAGCGAGTCATTGGGAAATCCGTATAAAATATTAGGTGTTCACAAACGTGCGACTTTACAAGAAATTCGAAAAGCGTATAAAAATCTTGTCAAAGAGTGGTACGTATTGGATACACTTCTGTACATTATTGTCGTTTCGCAAAGATTAACACTCACTCTTATTTCTCTATATTTTAGAAACCGTTTGAGTATACTGAAGTTGCATGCTATTAACAAAAATAAGCTATTTTATATTTAGAATTACACACTTCATCAAGATCATACTAAAGTACACTAATGGTTAAAATATATTTGAATTCCCTTGTTTCCCTCCTTTTAAAACATAGCACAATTACTTGAATTTACAATTACTTAAATTTATTTTTTCAAATTTTATTTCCTCAGGCATCCAGATAAAACTGATCACCCGGGTGCAGAAAATAAATTTGTGGAAATTACTAAAGCTTATGAGGTAAAATTAATATCAGTGAAAAATATGGCAATAGGTATCTTTTTTTTATTAAAATCCCTTTCATTTTTAGATCTTAACTGATCCAGAAAGAAGAAAGAAATTTGATAATCACGGAATTACAGAAGAAAATATTTCTAGGCAAAGGAGAGACAATAGTCACTTTAACAATGTCTTTGATCCATTGGAAGAACTGTTTGCTAGAAACTTCAAGTTTCATTACCAAAATCGAGATATTTCACTTTTCTATAAGATGAGCATCACATATCGGTTTGTATTATTCTATTAAAAAGTATCTAGTTATTTTAGATATTTCAATTTTGAAAACATTATAATCATCTGCCTGAGTAACTGAAATTTTACATGTTTTGTGATTTTTGCAGGTCATTTGAAAATGTTATAGTACCAAAAACTTTCCGTACACCTTATCTGATATTATTTTATTCAGATTGGTGCTTTGCATGTTTACAAGTAGAACCAACATGGCGACGTTTGATCGACGAGTTAGAGCCATTGGGTCTTGGTTTAGCAACCGTACATGCTGAGAAGGAGTCTGCTTTAGCAAGGAAACTAGGAATTCATTCATTACCATGTCTTGTTGTCACAATAGATGGTCGTACAAGTGTATACAAAGAATCTCTTTTTAGTATTCAAAAAATTGTTGGTATGTATAATATAATATTATACAATATAATTGTTGGTATATATAATATAATATTATATAATACAATTCCGTATTATGATGGAACTAAATTTTTTATTTCTCTTACAGACTTCTTACGAAACAAATTTCCATACAAATTAATACTTAATATAAATAAAAATAATATAGATAATTTTCTCTCAGGATGGATAGATAATCGAATTCGAGCTTTAATATTTGACAAGAAGGAATCTGTAAGATTACGATATCTATTCATTGCATTTTATTACAGAGATCGTGTTGCATTTGGTTTTGTTCAGGTACCCTTTATTTCTATTCATCTTCAATTAAATTATTTAGTTTTTCAATTATTTTAGTTGCAATCTATTTTTTGCAGACGGGAAAATCAGATACTGAACTTATTGTAGTAAAGTATAAAATCTCCGTGGACTTGGATACTTTATTATTATTTAATGAAAATTCTGAGAAACCTATGGCGTCCGTTAGTATGAAAGATATATCAAGTGATACAATGCACAATGTTATTTCAAATAATAAATTTCTTTCTTTACCAAGACTTTCAAATCAAGCAATGTTAGATTCAGTTTGTCCACCTGAGTGGTTAAGACCTCAAAAACGATTATGTGCAGTTTTAATATCACAACAAAATAGCCCCCTTCATGATTTAGCTAGACATAAGTTTAGACAAGCAGCTTTAGAATCATCTTACAGGTATAATAATTGATAGATAATAATAACAATGTATATCGATCATTTTACTTTATTATATCTGATTACAGTACTGAAAGAGTCCGATATACATACGTATTTAAAGATACACAACCAGAATTTGTGTCAGCACTATCAACGGGGGAAGGCAGTCCTTTAGAACCTTTATTACATATTGTCATTATTTGGAGAAGGGATGCAAATCATTTGAAATATGAATGGTTACCTACTGGTTGGATTGAAGCTGCTCAAGATGAAACTCAGTGGAATGAAACACGTCGCAACTTAGAACAAACTATACAAAGATTATTGCGTGCATCTGAAGCTTTACCATATGCCGCAGTTGTAGGTGAATTAGCAGATGAACATGCACAGGTTTGCAGTCTCTTTTTTTTTTTCTAAATTAAGATTATATTTGTACTTATAATTACTTATAATTAACTTATAATTGTAATTTTGTATAGGGTACTGTAGACAAACTTATTGGAAAAGCATTACTAGCTGTAGATTATATTTCGGATAGTCTTACTAAAGAGCAAATATTGCCTTTAGTATCAGTAATTGCTACTTTAATGTTAATTGGTGCTGCGGGATATGGGATGTCGTATCTAGCGTAAGTAAAATGGCTTTGAAATGATGCACTTCATTTGATACACTTCCTACTTTATTTATGTTAGTTTATAAAATTATATAGAAAATTAGAGGAAGCAAGTATTCAAGCTGAACGTGCTCAATGTAAGGATAACGGTAAACCAACGCAGTCACAGCCACAATTGCGATTACACGAATTGCGGGCAGAGAAATATAATGGTTTAGTTCGACTATTAAAACCAGGCTGTAGAACCATTATATTATTAGTCGACGTTCAAAGTAGATTAAAATTATTACCAGCTTTTCATAAAGCTGTGTGGCCTTATAGGTAAGTTTAACATATTTATAAAAAAATATGTATTTATAATTCAAGAATAATTGATATTATTACAGGAAAAATAAAACTCTTATGTTTGGACATTTGTCTCTTGAAAGAGGGTTAGAGTGGTACAAAAAACTGCTATCTCTCACTTTGCCAGAACAAAAAGAACTAAACATAAATGCCAAGAATTGTGTTGGCACTGTATTATCTTTAAATGGTCATCGTAAATATTTTTGTATGTACCATGCTAAACATCCAGAGTGTACTAAAGGCAAGGGTTCTAAGGTATATGTTATATATTTAAGCACTCACTTATTAAATATGTAAAAAAGTGTGAATTTTAATGATATTTATATACACAGAGAATAGAGCGAATAACGAAACAGTTATCTCGAAGAACAGATGATGCAGAAGCTGGCGCATTTATAGGTTTTGACAGTTCCAATGAATCTGATGTTTCTGAAGAAGAGGTAATATAGTTATATATTTTAAAATATATAATCAATATGAATCGTTGAATAAACTTTATTATCATTTATAAAGTTTTTAAATGTTGAACTTCTCTTTAAATTTACTAATTTTTATATATTATAGGGTGGAAATAATGTTTTATGCCAGGACAATCTTTTGGATGGTTTACCAATGTGGCTGGATAGGCTATTCGAAGGTTTAACACATCGTTATTATGTAAATTATTGGCCCGAGTTCACTGCCAAGTAAATGAAGATTGGTATACATTTTGGTAACGTGTATACTTTTTGCAATAGAAAAAGGGATCCAACTAGTCAACAATATCACGTCATTTAAAAATCCTATACAATTTAAACGTATCTTTTAATTTCATATAAAGTTAGGACATATTCATTATATGTACATGATTATTTATTAATTCACGCGCGGTTTTCTGTACACATAAAATTTAGATATTCCATTAACTACACTTAAAAAAGAATTTTATAAATTGTCATAATAGTTGATAAAGCTCTTATAGATTCAAAGTTACATTATTTTCGTCAATTTTCATAAGTAATAAGAACTCTCTCGTCATTTTTAATAATATTTTTTAAATAATTCTAGTCGATGCCATTAAAGACATAACAGTATTTATATTAAATGTTTAAATATTAGGCTCTGTATATTTATATATATTTATAACAAGTCAATGATTTTTTTTTCCTTCAACGTAATCTATACCATGGTATATAGTTACTTTTATACCATTAATTAAGTTAAAACATACGAGGTTTGATAAAAAAATATTGTAATACTATTTATATATAATTTTTATTCTTGAGAAATCTGTTTATTGATATGTAACAAAATATTAATTAAATTTATTTTTTAATTTCTTTAACTCATTGATTGGGAAACTCGTTAATTTGGTCATTTTTATTATATATATTACTATGTGAAAATTGTTCATTATTTGTATTCATAGAGCCATTCTTTTCTTTTTTATCAAACTTTGTATGTATAATGTTAATGTTTAAGAATATACATGTTCTTCTATGAATAGATATTTTTATTGTATGTTTTTTATCCATGTATTTTTATTTGTTTATGAAGATTGATAACAAAAGTACTTGTATGTTTATCCATTTGTTGATGCAAGTTTTGATTGAACATTTATGATAATGTTAAAGATAATAATAAATAATTACGTGCTTTATAATAAACGATTTATAGTTGATGGAAAGAGAATGATTAATATTCTCATAGAGAACAATAAATAATATAAAAGCTAGTCCCTTTTTCAGCTACATTTAAATAATCTATCTTTAAATTATATTTTGAATAATTACAGAGAATCATTACATTGTCCATTTGTTAAGTCATCATATAAGTAATGTCATTTTCATACTAGAAGCATTCAAAACAGATAGCTCATTTTTCAATTTATATTATTCGTGATTTAAATCTATTATATGTGAATTTATACTTCAGTTTTTATTAACTATAAAATTTTATATTTCTACTTTTTATCGAATTGTTTATAAAACTATATTAGCGAATTATTAAAATTAAGCGTTCCTTTTATATAATAATTATTTTTAGTGATAATTTACTTAATCAAACGAATTTCATTTTACACTTTCCAAGGAAAAAATATATATCAAATACAAGTTATTAATATTGTACAGAAGTGATAAATACAGATTCTTTTCTTTATTTTTTCTTTCTTCTTATCTTTTTTATAATTTGGAAAGGATTGATCATATTTGAATTAATTATGTAATTATGATCGTTAAAGAGTATAACTAGTTAAATTATACACAATTATTTTATAAAACATAGTGATCTGTTTAAAAGAATCTTAAATAACAAAAATTGAAATGGCATGACTTATAAGATGACTATTATCGAAGAATCAGTTTACGTTTACGATATACATGAATCATGTTTCATAAAATTATGCTCGGAATTTTTTAATGCATGGAAGAAAATTATATATAAAAAATTGTTTACATTGTGTATACATTCTATAAAGATATTTAAAACATGCTGAAATAAAGATATATGAATAAATACGGATATGTTGATTTGTAAAGTATAATTATTCTGTTTTATAATAGTCAGAACTGGTTATTTTCGTTAAAGACTGCAATAATATTTTATAATTGAAGTTGAAGTGCAACACTTTACAATTTATAATTATTAAAAAATAATTTATATCACATATTTCTATGTAACATTAGATTTTTTTATATTACTATTTAATTTTTGGTAAGAACATTTTTTTTGTTACTAAGATTTTTAATACTTTATTGACATACTTACATGTATCACATGACATAAATAAAAAACATTCGACATAAATAAATCATATATAATTTCTGTTTATATCATAAAATATTAATTAAATAAAATAATCTTTATGATATAAAATATTGAAAAAATTCTTACTGTAAGTACAGTTTATTGTATTCGTTTAAATTCTGGAAATATTTCATACATCACAACTTCAAAGATATCCTGCAAGCCAAAGAAATTAATTAAATGTTTAAAATAATTAATGTAATATAATTAAAAAATTTTGTTAATTGACAATAACTTACATAAAATAATTGTTTATTTAAATTCACATTTTGTAAGGAATCGAAGATTTTTATTGCACCACGTTGAGCACTTTGTGCTCCTACCAAATTTGTTAAAACATCAGGAATATTATTTAAGAATTGCCTTCGTGCTTCACCTCTTGTTTTTAGCTTTTCTTCATCTGTGCGAGAAATCGTCTCAAAAACTAAATGACCGTTTGGCCACCATGATTTCGTAAACAATTGTATGTAATAATGAAGCATTGGTTCGGAGAACACCCATGCAATAGTATCTCTGATTTGCCTGATAATTATATTTGTTTATATTATTAAAAAAAGCATTTTCCACGCTGAAGTTTAAGCTTGAAATTAAAAATAAACCTGTTTATAGTTCGACCATAGGTAATTTGAACGAAGGTTATTAACGATCGTCGAAGCCAACGAAATACTCCCCGCAGATCGAAAATTTCACCTAAAAGAGTATAAAGAGGTTCGGCTATTGCATCTTTATTAACATTCAAGATTCCATCTGTGGTTGTTCGACCACTATCAGTATCATCTAATAGCAATGAATAATCCTCTTCCTCTTCTTTATCGCGAACTTCGCTGCTGTTGTTAGATCTAAAATTTTAATTCAACATAATATTATTATAATTATTATTAGATAATATGGATGGCTACTTACGTTTTAAATAATGTTGACAAAGAAAATCGAGATTTTTTAGGAGAAGGAGGAGCATATTTCAAATGTTCCGAACTCGGACTGAGGAATGTATATAAAGCCTCGCTTTGATTCAATTTTTCATCTTCTAAAACAAACTAAGAACATTAACAATTAAAACGACTGATTTGAATAGTTAATGTAATTATCTAGAAAATTTACATTTAAATATTTTTGTATTTGCATTTTAGCTTTATCCAACGTATTTTTATCAGATTTTCCAAAAAATTTTAAAGGTTGCGAAGGTAAATCTAAATTTTTCACGTTGGAGCACAATTGACGAAGCTTTCTATGAAGATCTTGAAAATCTTGTAATTTTCTTAGTACAACCCATCCACTGTATATACTTTCACTATTATCTTCATCTTCTGTCATGTGGACAACCAAAACAAATTGTGGGGACTCTCCATTGTCTGGTATCTGTTTAAAAATTAATTAAAATGAATAACGAAAAGAATTTTCTAGTTAAATTATAACAGCTTAAGCTTTATTTACTTCTGCACTTTGTACTTCTGCTTTCCAATGACCTAAGTGTTCTGCCCACATTTCCGTATGAGTTAAATGTGCTTCCAGTTGTTTTTTCTCACTCTGCAACCATTCAACTTCTTTGGCCAAAAAATTTAAAACTTTGCTCTCTGGTTTCAACGAGGACTTTAGTGCTTGTAAGGCTTGCATTTTGTTATTTAACTTTTCCTGTAATTGGTCCAATTTACTGCGGGCATAATTTGAATGTTCTCCAACAAGCAAAGACATATTTTCCGATAATGTTCCATTCCCCATACGTCGATCTTCCACTAAGTCTAAAAATTAATTTTATATCAATAATAATAATAATAATTTTATTGTTAACATAATTATATTTTTATAACAAAACTCTTAACACTGACCATCTATTCTCTCATTAAGCAATGCTTCTTGCATACTTTTGTACTGATCGCTAACGACAAACGAAGGATAATACTTCTCTTCCAAAGTTTTAACAACACTGTCTTGAACTTCATAAAATACGTTAGGTCCTATATCACCTAACAAGAAACTTTCCATTTTTTTACGAATAGCTCTATCAACTTTTATTTCAGCAGTTGAAGACGTTATGTAAGTATAAAAGATTTCAGCCCCCAATTGATGCCAATTAGATTTATCTGCATTGCGTAACTCTTGTACAGCTGCCCAATACCCAATCAAATCCTGGCTGGCAACTTGTTCAAGAAATTGTGAAAGGTATCGTCTGCCTATCACATTGTCCAAAATATATTGTAACGGCAAAATGTTTTCTTCTGCAACCATTGCTGCATCGGTAACATCATTAGTCTACAAAATATTATCTTTAAATACAGTTGTTACTATTGTTTATTAAAGAAAAACTTTTTTACAACCTGAACAGGATATCCGTTCCATCCTAACGATTGCATGTGACATTCACATGTATTTTTAGCATATGTTAGTTGACTAATGTATCTCTTCAATTTTCGAGCTTGAAGAGCATCAGACTTTCCAAATACATTGGTATCTGGATCTAAGCCTTGTGCTCTTTTAATATTTTGTATTGTTGTAGCCTGCATGATTTCAGTAACAATGTTGTATCTGATATGTTTCAAAACCTCTAAATCCTTAGAGCTCTTAATCATACGAATAAAATCCTCAAATGATTCAGCATACTCGTAAGTTTTTCGATGCATTGCTTCTGCAAGCTGTTGTTGATCAATATATGATAAAATCTTTTGATTAATATAGTCCGGATTTGTTATTAAGTCTATTGCAGGTTTTAGTACTGGAAGAATAGAAAAAAGATAAAATATTTGTTGTGTATATAAATGTAATTAGATAATGGTTCCAATGGTACTCACTTTTACATGCGAGAATTTCTCTCAATAAATATTTCATTGGTGCAAGGGAATAACAGGGCGGTAACAAAAACAAGATATATAATTCGCTAACTTTCTTCAAATAGTCTAATTCTGCTGCAGGTGACATTAAGTGTGTAGATAAAATAAATACTGGATCTTCACCTTGTGTTCTGTGTAAACACATCCTTTTAAAAACAATCATTTTTTACATTATATATGTATGATACTTAATAATTAAACTTACGAAGCAGTTTGAGCAAGCCTAATCTTCTCAAAGTGAAATGTAATTTTATTTACTATACTACAAACTACCAGTTTTGTGTGGTCTACTTTTGATAAACGATCGTGGAGAGTTTGAATTGCTCCCCATGTATCTTGCTTCATATTGTCAATTATGTGTTCTGAATTAAAAGCCAGTTCCTCTAGCCAGACACCAACGAAATCTTGAAAAATTAAATCCAATAAATTCTGCAGAGCACCGTCCACCATGCGAGTAAAGACTAATGGATATCTAACATGCTTCTTGGTACTTCCAGCTTTGGCTACGTATCCATTCTGAAATAATTAACAATTTGTAAGAATAATTAGCATTTGCAAAGTATCATTTATCAGTTGTAATAACAATTTACTAATAAGTTATATTGTTACAATATTATAACAACAATAAGTTGTAATAAATCACATTATAACAACATGAAATATAAAATAAATAACAAATTTACAGATAAATAGTATACATGTTTTTCTAATGTTTCTTATCTTATCAATACTTTTCAGATCAGTTGATATCAACATGAAAATTAATTCAACAAAGGAACAATATGAGCATCGTCTCTTCCCTTTTCGTTAAGAATTGAAAAGAATCGATGGTTCTTAGTTATTGAAATTAAACGTCAGGGAACTTCAACATAATCATGCTACAGGAGATTTAAAAACAACATAAGACCAACCATCAACAAATTGTGAAAGGCATCCAGTTCAGCGACTGTTTTTAAAGTCGTTGATGCAGTTGCGTGTTTCGGCGAAAGAGCAATGTTTATGAACGTGACGATCAAACATCCCACAAAGAAGCAAGATATGGTTAGCAAGCAGAAAACGTAAAACCATAGCAAATTATTCCAATAGAAGAACACGATTAGGGCTGGAATATACAGGGTACCGGTCCGCAACATCTTGAATTTCGATTTCGATCGCGTGACAGTGAATATTACGTGTTCAATTTCATGTTTAGAGAAATTGGTTCACGCCAACTCCGAGGAGAATCAAATCACGTCAACAATGCCGCTACACAAGACACAGACTATAGCTGGAGAGATTGTATATCAGTGATTACTTATCTGCGTTCTGAAAGTCAATAGAAATTTTCAAAATTTGTTTTGAAATTTTCCTTTTAAAATTGCCCGAATAATTTACAGTAATGAAATTGTAACTATTTCATTCTGTACGATTAATACATGACTAATACATCATTTTATATTTTTTCTGTCTTAAAACATTTAGTGATACATATTTGTTCTTTTGTACAAAGCGCGAAATTTGAAACGAATGTACATACGTATATGTACAAGCGCACAGTTCTCTATCGATTACGTGCATCAACTTACATTTTTATATTTAATGTAAAGAAATGTTCTCGAGTAATTTAATAATTTAATAATTGAATTTTTAAACAAAGGAAATATGTGTATTTTATAATATAATGAAAATTTTTATTTTCATTAGAACTAACATTTACGAGACTATATCATACGTATCATATATATATTTTATAACAATGAAAGTTCCTGTTTTCATTAGAACTAATATTTAATACAATAACGAGGCTACTGGATATTAACTTGATTTTTTATCTATTTAAGTTAACTTTTTACTATTATATACAAGTTAAAAATGTGATGCGACGCAGAAAAATGTTGTAATGGACCTTGTTTTACGTGCAACAACCTGTTGCGCATTACGGTTATAGACAATGACAATTACAAGGTTGAACCATAATCTTTGAAGTGTTAAAACTTACACAACAGTAAGTAAGTAAATAAATATAATATTTTGGCAATGCTACGTGATTTTTACGAGTGAATTGAGTGAATAACTCAACGTTGATTTTATTTTCTTAGATTACGTTACAAAACTTCTTTTCAAATTTTACTTTTCACACAAGTAGTTACATTTGTAATTTCTTCTTAGATCATTGTATTACATTAAAAAGTTATGAACATAACATTAAAATGGCAATGTTTCTTTGAAATGAAAAATTGAAACAATTTTTATTTTATAGAATGAAACTATTATTTTTATAAAATAAAAATTGTTATGATAATTACACAAAGAATATATCAATTAATGTAACATATCTTTGTATAGGACAAATATGAAGTTAAATAGTATCATCGAAAGAAGAATGGGATCACTACAAAAGCGTGAATAGCAACTGCGAACCTTATCCTTGCTCATTCTTCCGCATTGAAATTTTCAACAGGTACGTGAACGTGTGGTGGGCAAAGTCTTCGTGTTTTCTCCTATCGTACTTTCCGTTTATACAGTTTTATCAGGAATCGCGAAACTGTCGTTTCCTATATAAAATACCCTCGCTCTCGATCTCGATGATTTACAAGTATATCACACGCAACATTATGTCGCCGTTCTACACTCTGTTATTGCTGCAACTATTCATTTTAAATTCTTTCCTGGCACTTAACATTCGTAGGTCCGAGGGTAAACGAAATTTCGTGCTTAAAACCGTAAGTCTATCATATTCTTTTATTTGAAGTCGTTCGTAGATCGATTCAATTTAGCAGATGTTTTTTTTTTAGCATAATTAAATTTGAAAATTTATTTACATTTAGATTTATATTTGAGTACGATTCAGTGAATCCCTTTTTTCGATTCAAATTCAAACGAATTGTCGAGTTAAAATTCTACAAGAATTTCAGAGTAAATTATAATCTACAAATTAATTAAATTAATAAAAATCATGTGCTACTGAATGTCTATTATAATTTTTTCGTTTCATTTTTAGCCAGAATTGATAAGGAGCCACGGATATCAAGTGGAAATTCATAATGTTATAACAGAAGACGGTTACATATTGGAAATTCACAGACTTTCATGCGGACGGCTCGATTGTGAAAGGAATTTTACAAATGGAAAACAACCGATTCTAATGCAACATGGATTAGCAGGCAGTTCTGCGGACTGGGTCTTTATGGGACCAAACAGAGCATTGGGTAAACTATTTTCTCAACACTATTTTCCAGAAATTTTTACAAGATTAAATGGATACATATTCTTTTAAATTAATGTTAAAATTCAATTATTTGTAAATTCAAATTTGTTTATCATTAATTATAACATAATTTCTTCTTGCACTTGCACCTCTACATTTACATTTACGCACGTCACTCTTCTGAAGTCTTTATCTTTCTCTTATGTCATTATTGTGTAATTTTCAATTGCATCAAAGCCATCATCGTGAAAGTTACGTCCAAACTTAAATTTTTTGGTCAAACTTGTGATGTAATACGCATGTAACGATAGTGCAATCGTTACAACGCAAGGAATGAATTACATGCTTGAAGTAATAAAAGATTTTTGACCAGCAATAATTTTTATATAATTTTTAATTTTAAAAATGAATCTTTTCCTATTTGAAATTTAAATTTCCCGTTTTTAGCATATATGCTAGCAAATGCAGGATACGATGTATGGCTTGGAAACAATAGAGGAAACACTTATTCAAGAAATCATATCTTAATGTTACCACAGAGCCGACATTTCTGGAATTTTAGGTATTAAATGATAAAATCGAATTCAATATGTACTTATGAATCCGAATTAAATCCAATACTTTTTCTTTTAGTTACCACGAACTTGGTATTTATGATGTTCCCGCAACAATTGACTACATACTGGATCAAACAAATTACGAGCAACTCTTTTATATTGGTCATTCTCAAGGAACTACACAATTTTGGGTAGCAATGTCTCAAAGACCGGACTATAATGCAAAAATTAAGTTGATGATCGGTCTTGCTCCTGTAGCTTTTACTGGCAATATACGCGGTCCAATTACAAAACTCGCTAAATTAACATACTTGGGTGTGGTAAGTTGCCCGAAAATTTTTAACATGATCGCACATGATATGTAACATGATAATCACGATTGAAATTCTTTCTTTATTGCTTCAAAATTTATTCAATCATTAATTAAGGAAGCATTGAATAAACAATAATTAATTATATAACAAATATTCTATCTAAAAATAAAAATTAAATTAAGTTACAATGAAATAAAAAAAAAGATGTATGTTTTATTCATATTGTAGTGGATGGGTGAAACGTTCGGTTATCCTGAATTACGTTCACGTTCTGCTTGGGGAAAGTTTGTTTCGAGTGTACTTTGTCAAGATACAATGCTCTTTTGCAATAACATTCTGTTCCTCGTCACTGGTTTCAGCCAGACAAATTTGAGTGCGGTAAAAATTTGATAATATCATTTTATCCTTATTTATTGAAATAGTAAATCCAGAAAAATTAGCAATGGAACATAAACAATTTGAAATAAATATATTTCCAATAAGATGCACGTTAGATTTTTGTAAGTATGCTAAGGAGAAATGGTAAATTTTATACAGATGATAGCAATTAAATGTAGTCATTTTCTGCCACTGTTAATTATAACGTAATTTTCATTTTTTCTCGCAGTTTCGGTCAAATTTTCTCTGCAATTCTTAAATTTGTATTAATTAAATTAATTAAACTCTTTTGTTACATAAAATGGAGAACTGTTTAACGAATATTTTCCAAATTTATATTTGATTATTTAGATGAATTTAACAACGATTATAAATTATGTCCCGGCCGGAGCTTCTTGGAAACAGATGGTTCATTTTGGTCAAGGATACATACATCCACGTAAATACTCGTATACGCGCGTATATATTAAATAATATATTACGAAAAATAATAATAACAATATTTGTTCAATAATTTCAGAAAGTTTCCGACAATTTGATTACCATAATAAAGAAAAAAATTATCAAATTTATAATTCTCTAGAACCACCAAAGTACAAATTAAATGAAGTGACTGCACCGGTTGCCTTCTTCAGCAGTGATAATGATTTACTTTCAACAAAATCAGTAATTATACACTTTTATGCAGCAAATAGTAATATAAAATTAAAATTTAAAATTTAAAGTCAAATAATAGAAGATTAATAAAATTAACTTTATTTCTTTTTAGGACGTTGACCTTCTGAAAAGTAAACTTAATAATGTTGTATTCCATAAAGAAGTATCAATTAAATCGTTCTCTCATTATGATTTTATATGGGGAACATCTTCAGTATCGATCATATTTGAACCTATATTAGACTTATTAGTCCTTAACGAGTAAAGTGCAATATTAAACCGACAAAACGTCTTTAAATACACCAGAAAAAAGTAATAAAAGTATTTTTAACAAAACTGTCATTTTGAACAATTTTATACAGAGATAAATAAAATAATAATACCCAAATTTGAAAATAAATATGATTATCTCATTTACCTAACGTTTCTAATGTTCTTTAGTTTTCTAATGTTAGTAATGTTCCTTGAAAAAAGATAAATAAACATCTGATTGTAGGGCCTTTATTTTTACGGCTCCAGAAATTCGGAGCCGTAATTTACTCAAACAGTATAATTTAACAACGCAGGGTTTAAAATGCTATTATTAAAATTTATTTATACAGTATATATATCAGATAACTGATAACAATCAAACTACGAAACATAAGTTAAAATTTATAAAAATCCTATTAACGTGTTTCTCTTCATACATAGTAACATTTCGATACAATTTGAGATAGGTAATAAATCATTAGCATTACTAAATATCACTATATTGTTATAAAAAATGAAAGGAATGTTTCAATTAATTTACGAGTCACTCATTACAATAAGAAATAAATTCTTTCTTCATTTATTTGTTTGATTTTATGTTCATATATTCTCATTGTAAAGAAAGCCACTACACAAAACTTTTTTGTTTTAATTTCCGTTATTAACTAATCACTTTTGTTATAAAAGCAAAATGCATTGCAGAAATTTTCCATTCTTGTGGTTATATAATTAATATTTTAATTAATCGTCGAGTAACTTTCGAATATTTAAGATTAGTAATTATACAAACTCATTCTTCGTCCGATTGAATTTCAGCACGATGGAAAATTGAGTTTTAAACAACAAGATATATATTGTAAAATTCCTTTCATATATATATATACACTCATGTATATGTATATATATAAATGATAACAAGCATTTCCTTTCCATTTTGAGCGCTAACAATAGAATATTTAAATAACATAGTTCTATAATTTTTTATCTTAGTAGTAGTCTTTACTTGCAGCAAAAGCCATCTTTGTTAAATATACTCTTCTTTTAATTATACTCTTGGAACTGCCGTATGGAACATATTTTTCAACACACGAAAAAGCATTTCATTATCAAACAAAATATACAAAAAAATTGATTGTGAAAATTACAATAAGAAAATTACTTTCACCGATTAAATTTTGCTTCAATGACAACGCTACAACGAAAGATAATGCTTCATTCGAACAATAATAATAGTAATACTAATAATAATGTTATAAAGTAATTACAATATTCGAAATGATACGTATATTCATTATGTATATATTTATATAAACTAAACAATAAAAGGAAGTACTTCTTTATCTTATTTCTCTAAATTATATACATGCATAAATATATATACATCTAGTACACAGGGCGAGGCACTTAAAATACAAGCAATAATCTTTCAATTACTAAAAATTCATTTCTCCTCATAAAATTAGTATTCACATCGTAATCAAGAGTAAAATAAAATAATAATAATAATTTTGTGTTATATCATTTATCTAATCTGTGATATAAACTGAAATTAATTACTATCTTTCATATAAATAAATAAAATGTCAACCTTAAGATACCTTTTAATTTGTATATATGGAAACTATATATTTCAAAAACTTTTATTTTTTTTCTAATTTTCATTGATATGTTCCTTTTCTACACGAATATATATTTATTTTTGAAACAATATTTCATTATTTAAGAATGTAAAGTATGTTTCATATGTTTATAATTAAGCACAAATATGTATAACAGCTAAAATCAGATCATTAGACTTGAATATTAAGATAGTAGCAAAAAAATTTACATTTAGGAATTACTTATAAATAAAGCGATTATTAACACATGATAGAAAATAAAGGAATACCTCCTTATATGTGTTAAAAATAAATTATTTTGGAATGTATTATTTCACAACATCTTTCAAATTATATTCAAAATTATTCCATAAGCATTCTATTTATATTAAGAATAATCCAATATATATATGTTTAAACATTCAGTACCTAAAATTTCAATTAGAAATACAAATAAAAGTCATGCAAAAAATAGTGAAACTTAAACAATAGTTTTTAGAGAGAGAGAGAGAAAAAAAATAAAAATTAGTAAAACTTTTTACACATATTTGTAATCATAGTCATTAAAAAATAATTAGTTTTTGCAATCCGAAACTAAATTTTCAACAGTCTACAAGTGTCTCCCTAACTATTGCAATCTTTATTAAGAAAATATACATATTTTATTAAGTTTTCTTGAAATCTATTTATAATATTGTATTTTCTCTTTCTTTCAATTATGTAAATTATTTGTTTAAATGGATAGTTTAACTATTATAAAAAGATAATCTAAAACGAATTCTAATTCTTATTAAGCATTATTATGGTGTAAAGGATTGGTTTTTTAATTATAGGATAAGTAGATATCCATAATGATACTGATTACAATATTTGCAATACTGCAAAGAAATAATGAGTATAAAAAATATAATATATATATATATGTTTATATATTAAATATTCAATATTATTTTCAAAGTAAACATAATAAAAGGTGACATTGCAAAAAAATCGTGATAAATTTTAGATTAACGTAAAGTAATATAACTGATTTCGTTACTTAATATTTGTGGCAATCTTTTTAATAACAAAAGAAAAAATAATTGTACTTCCAGAATAAGATTAATTTACATTGAATATAAGATTTTTATTTTGATTCAGTTAATTCGATTCAAAGATCTGAATTGAAATTCGTAAGAATCAAAATGTCTCACTCTGCATAGTATAGTATACATATCTGGCATGTTTGAATTTAAGAAAAGTTGCTAATCTTTTATAAAACCCTTTCATATAATGACTTTTAGTAATTTAATTTTCGTGTGTTCTTATTCTAAATTCCTTTCAGATTATCTTAATTTTTATATTAAATCTTTATAATTCTTTTTTTTCCAAGATTTTTTAAGGTGTTTTTATATTTATAATAATCACAGGAGCGAATAACTGTCAACAGTAAACAATTTTGGTGTAATGTAACAATTAAAAGAGAACTCAAAATTAATCAATATAAAATGATTAATATTTTGTTATGTAAATTCAAAATTGCACAAAATCTAGCTTGCATTTTTGTTTTATTTAGAAATTAATTAATCTTGTTTAGTAGAAAATATTTAAAAAATATTAGCAAATATTGAATTTCCTAATTGCACACAAGGTGATCTAAGCTTTGCAATGGATACAAAAAGATATGGCAGTGGAAGACCTTCATTTTACATCACTATATAAATATTGTTAGCTTATAAAAACGATATCTAATTTGTATTAAAAACGTGGAAATAGTAATAGAAACTGAAAAATGTAATTCATAATGAAACTAATCCATTGTAAAAAGAGTTACAATTTTGTGCAATTTCAATGTTTTACTTAGATCATATGTTTTTTTTCTTCTTTAAATAAAAATATAGTAACAAAATGTACTGATAAAGAGTAACATAATCTTACTTATAGACCAAAGTTTTATACCAAAATTATTTACTATATAACTTTCACATCCTTGGAATATAATACTTGCAAAATTTTATACTACATTGTGATGTAATTAAGATTTTTTTCTTCTTTCTTTAATATACATCGTGATCAACAGTTTCCTTTTAAAAGTGTTTGTATATTATAGCTTTAAATTATTCATATATATATATATATATATATATATATATATAAAAATGTAAAAAACAAAAAGTTTTTAGTTTTTTTTTTTAGAAATTTTATATTTACGTTCGCTATATTTTCCTCTCAAACGTAATTAATCTATAATATACAATATTTTCTTCTTAAATAGATATTAGTTCGTTAGAAATATTTTGTTGCTATTGTTTTTAGTGAATACGTTCATGCAAGCGATATAATAGATCGTAGAATGCTCGTAAATATTAATAGAACGACTGCGCAACGGAATGACATATTACCTACAAGATTAATCGAAGCAGTCAGGTACGTTTTCCATTTTAATTCATTTCTCTTCTAAAAATAGCTGAAAATAATACCCATTAGTACGCTTAAGTTGCAGCACCATATGAAAGAAGAGTACAACACGATCGTATATATTATGTGGCGCAAATTAAATACTTTTTTTTTTCTTCCAATACTTGATACAAGGATTCTGTAAACTTCAACGTTGTTACAGGTTTCAAATCTCTTGCAATCTACAAAATTTATATTAACTATTGATTAGAGGCAATCTCATAATATTAAATAAGCCTTATTTAGCTTAATTTAATGGAAGGCAAAACATTTGCTTCAAGAGTCCTTTCTTTGGACTTTCATCTTCCTCGTCGTCGTAATTGTGTTCATCGTAGTTACTAATGATCTCATTGTTATTGCTAAAACCGTATGTAACGTCTGTGATACTTAGAGAACTGGAGCACATCGGACTTTCGTATCGGAATGGAAAAGGTGGTGATAACCGATATTCGTTATAATTATTGTCGTTCTCATTCTCTTCAGAGTATGTCATTAAAAAAACATTGTTATGATAACCTCGATTTCTTGAGCTGATATTCAATAGGGGATCGATCCGAAGCTTTGCAAGTTTATCTTGTAATTCGTACATGTAACACGACTGTAATTGTTGCTGATTTTGAGTGTGACGTGACACAATAATAAGCGGTTCTTGTCACACGCAGTCTTCCAAAGACATAAGCAACGGGTTCACATACTCAAAACCTTCGAATTCGCTTTGATCAATCTTGTCGATCACTCTCCTGCAAAATATTTTATTTCCAAATTACACGAGAAGGCTCAAACTTGATTTATGAATTAAAATGTAAGAGTGAATTTCTTACTGTTTACTATCTGAGTAAACTCAAACATATTGAAATTTCATTTTTTTATTTAAAACATAAAAATAAATTCATTTTAACGAAACTTACGGATCATCTGGAGTTAAATGAACTGGTTCATCTGTAAATTCTGGTGGGAAGTTCGCTAAGTCACGGTCAGAATCTAATCTTGGTTTATAAGGTGGCGTTACTTGTTTCTGTTCCAACTGAAAATTTATCAACAACATTTAACGTGAAACGTTACTATTTTATAATTAATACGAATTGCTAATGAACGAAATGCTAATGATAAAAATGACAAAAATTACCATTTCCCAATCTATCGCTTTAAAGAAAGGATGGGCAACAATATCAAGGAAACCAGTCGGCCTCTTGCCACACCCCAATCTCTCGGTTGGATCTTTGCAAAGGAAACCTTTAAGCACCGACGCTGCTTTGACCGATAATGACCTTGGTATACGAATTGTTTTCTGCAAAATGACTTGGAATAGATAATCTTCAGTATTTTGATCTGGATTTTCTTGTGCACCCGCGATATCGAACGGGCTGCGACCTGCAAGCATTTCATACAAAAGTACACCAAGTGCCCACCAATCTACAGAGAAACTATAATCTTCACCCCGCAATATTTCAGGTGCTATGTAATTCGGAGTGCCACAGAATGTCGCGGTTGTGTCACCCTCTCTAACACCTTCCTTGCACATTCCGTAATCAGTCAATTTCACATGTCCTTCGTGATCAAGTAATACATTATCTAATTTCAAATCTCTGTATATGATACCTGCACAAAGAAATCGTCAAAGCACGTCATTATGGATAATATTAAATTATATTTAAAAGAAACAAATAAGTTGTTTAAAAACTTCTATTATTTATAGATATATTTTGTTCTCAAGAGAGAAATTAGACCTCATTCTTTTTAAAAGTACAAACAAAAGATATTGCCTTTACCTTTCTCATGTAAAAAATTCAAAGCGAGACTAATTTCAGCTGCATAGAATCGAGCATGCTCTTCCGGAAGACGGCGTTGTCGTTGCATATGGAACATCAGATCACCACCACGTACGAACTCGATCACAAAGAACAGACGAGAGGGCGTCTGAAAGCACGAGTGAAGTCCTACAAGGAAAGGATGATTCGAAGCGGTTTCGAACACGTGTTTCTCCGTCTGAACCCAGTCGATGTCTTCATCATCCGTTACTAAGGCTTTCTTAATTACTTTCATCGCGTAAATCCTCTTTGTACGCTTCAATTCAACCATCAAAACTTTTGCGTAGGAACCACGACCAATTACCCTAATCAGTTCGAAATCGTTTAACGAGTATTGCCTCTGCATATCATTAGAATTATCCGCATCGTTTAATGTATCCAATGGCAATTCTTCCCTTTCTTCACTTCCGGTTCCTAAACAGTTAATTTAAATATTTAATTCAGCAAATAATCTCAGGTCATCTCTTGGATAATAAAAACTCACATCTATTTATACGAAGAGATATTAAAACTACAAGTTTTATGAATTAATTCTACAAGAATATGAATTTATTCTTACGATTGCGTGAATGCTCCTCAATAATTGGCAATTCTGAGATCTCATCCTCTAAATGAGCTACCGGGCTGCATTGAACAGAATCAAGCTGTTGTTGATCGCCGTTCCTGTCGATCGTCTGCGAGTCTGTGCTTGGCATCTGCTGTTGTTGCTGTTGCTGTACACTCAAGCATGGCTTGCGCACCACTTTGTGACATTTCTTGTGTACCAGCAGCTTGCATTGAATGCATTTGAACCCCTGCCGACCTAGCCCCCAAATCCGATCCTGGCAGAACGCGCAAAATGCTCGCTACGAAAGTTAGAGAAGAAATTATTTGCAAAAATAACTGTTTTCACATTTTGGACGTGACTCGAGTTACATTCAACGAATTAACTTAATTTGAAGGATCATTGCTCCGGACTTTCTTTGAGAAATCAAAATATTACACTTCAGACATTCAAAAAAATGTTACACTTACAGTTTAGATTATACATTAAAAGTATTATTTGTGAATTCGTTTTTGAAATAACATCTTTTGAAATAATAATTTAAGTAAATTTCAACGAATCTATGAGTTACCATTGAATACTAATCTATTAACTTATCTATTATAATTTATAATACTTATTTATTATAATTTTATGATACTTATTAATACTTAATTTCAACTTCCAATCAAAAGATCATAGGAAAAATCGTTCTAATCTATATTGTAGAGTATTTTCAAATCCTGCCTTATTATAAGATATAAAAAATTCAATACTATCAGGTTTCCATCAAAACTCCAAGAACACTATTCGTACATTCAATTTTCTTGGTTCATTGTCACTACAAGTTCTATTTTAGTTTATGGATAAATTACTCGTTCTAAAAACTTGTAACATATAACGAATCAATGAGTTTGCTACTTATACATAAAATTATTGACCAACTTCTACCAAACAGCATCAACTTCTTCCACATTTTTACTTTTACACATTAAACATTGCACATGAGCCATTCATCTCTGGGATCTGCATCATTCAAGTAACAAAAACCTACATTCTTAGCATTCAAGGGACGAATCATTGTCATGATTGACGACTAAATAGAGAAAATGATGTTTGACGTTCACTAGCCAGCAAGTTCCTCTGACAAGGGATCTGACAATCTATCCATCATGATGAGATCTGGATTGCAAATACTTGTGATCACAGTATAATCGTGCGTGATTGATGCGTGGAAAATAATACATAATAATGAGCTAAAAGAAAAGAAGGGGAAAGTAACAGTGGAGCATTTAAGTTGAATGAAATGATGCTTACCCGATTGAAACGTTTCGCCTGAAATATATGACCATTCACTCGGTACAGCTTCCTCCATCTACGAGCGCCGCGTCTGTAGATGCTTCCTTTGGAAAATGAAAAAACATAAATATCACGAAAGAACCAGAGAATTGATCTTCAAAGTTTATCCTGATTCTTTTCTCCCTTTTACATTTTAGTTTCTTTCGTTATTTCATCCGGAATATTAACTGAACAAAATTGGACATGCGTCAACGATGCTACATATACTATATCGTAGAGACTTGCGTGCCTTCGATGACGCTACTTGCTCATTAATTAACGGTAAAAATATAAATTTCATTTAAAGTTTAAAATGCTCGTTTACAAAATTACAATATCTTTAAATTCTCATTTAAAATGTATTCCCGTTGAAATACCGCATTGGAAGATCTGCAGTAAAACTGTAATTGGCCTACGTCCTTCCATACTTCCCGACAGTCAAAACTATCACACAATCTTGCAAAGGCAGAACAGTCGTGTAAAACTTGTAAACACGATAAGGTCATCTTCGTGTGTAAAAGCGCGATATTTGAAATTGAAAATATTAACAAACGTAATGGAATACTGATCGTGATTAGAGTCTTCCGTTTCGACTTTGTTGACACGTTAATGTAGTATGTTACACCTGATCTTTAATCTATATGATATCTGATGTTACACGATCAAAAAATTGAAAGAAAGAATCAGCCCTTGAATGGGATGGAATAAAGCTGTCCATTTATAACATTAATCATTAAGATACAATAGCCACTAACAATATAAAATATATGATTTGTTATTTATTTTAGAAAAATTGTTTCATTTACAGAATGATCTGATTAGATTCCTCGTGTTGATATTTTAAGACTCAATTTTTATTAACAAACTCTATATTTCTGTTTTTCTGTCGTACTTTACCTATAGTTTATAAAACATAGAATAAAAGAGAATAAAATTTAATTTCCAACCATTTTGGAATAATAAAGTAACAAGAAATATTTACAGAACCATAATTAACTTGACAAAACTAAAAACATTTGTTTGCTCTGTCGTATAAATGAAAAATCAGGTGTACATATAAAATATAAATGATGAAATTAAAAATAAGCGCGCTGATATTATCGATGTTCAATGAAAAATAAAACAGATCTGCTTGATCCTAAATGCAGCAATGTAACATTCGAAAAGAACAAGCATCGGCGAAAAAAGAAGGACGATCCTTTCCAATGCTTTCAATTTTCTTTTCTCAATGATGAATATAGCCAGGCTACTCATGTTCCTTTATAGTGAAATCCTGAACTTATTGTTAATCAAACAACTCGCTGGCTAGTATTGTGATGTTGAAAATCGTTGAATCGTGAAACTGTATCTAAATATATTAGAAATTTGTTTCTTTGCTGATGAACACTCACTGTCTTCTCCCTGACAGGGCATTCCTGGCGCAGGCGGCACGTTAGGAAAAACTGTAACAGAAACAAATAATTTCTTATTTTCATACGATACATTACGTTTTCATTTTGTTAATTAAAATAACACAAACAAAGTTTAAGACAGATCCACTAAGCACGAACACCAAAAAACAACTATTTCTTTGAATAAATTTTGTGTTTCACCTTGCTGTTCTCTTCATTTATTCCAGAAGAATGATTTACTTATTATTACAGATTTTGCGTAAATGTATTTAAAATTTTTCTTTCTTAATTAAAGCAGGTTTAAGGGGGAAAAAAAAAACAGCAAAGTCAAACTGGATGTTACCTTGAATATCCTAGAAATACATAATAAGTTGGACATGACCAACTTGTTACATATAATGTAATACAATATAGAGTCTCTAATTTATTGTAGTGCACTTAAAACGATCAAAAATCCAGCTGTAAAGCACGGAAAGAATATCTTATGAATATTCAGTCATGCAAAACAGGCATTGCTATGGTAATTAGTCCAGGGATCCACTCGTTTCAATAACTAATTCATTACTAGGTTTTTGTTTAAATTAATACACTTTTGGATTACGTACATTTACAACGGTTAACGTGACTTTCTTTGCCACTTTTGTTTGATCTACAAGAAGAAAGATTTCTACTTTAGTTTCGAAAGAAGATTTTCTCTCCTATATATTGGGGCTATAGCACATTCAAAAATGAAAGAAATTGTACAGAATATTACACTGAATTTTCTAAGAACGTAATGACATGCTATACAGAAATCTTAAATAATAATTTAACATTAATTGATTATTAATAAAACGAAGCATTCTCTTTCTGTAACCAAGAAAAGCATCTATATTGAGTAACTTTGCTTCATGCTGAGAAATTTTATGTTATGGGAATTAGGGAAAAATCGATGAAATCAAGAAGTCTTTATAAAATTAAAACAGACATGTAAATATCAAGTACTCTTCTTATATAATATCAACTTTTCGAGTTATAATTATATAATTATATGAAATTAAATTTGTAAATTTTCAAAATGAACAATAATAAGAATTTAGTTACCCAAGCAATCTTTTCACAGTCGTTCAAATTTCGATCGAAATCTTTTCATCATACGTTAATATTAAAATTCATAAAGCATGTCTGCTTGTAACAACTATCTCTCTTCATTATTTCTTTAATACCGCTTAAATATTTCATCTCAAACGTGGAACAGGATCAAAATATTTTCAACTAATTATTTTACTTATAACGTATGATGCTAAATTTTCAGATCATAGTGTATGTATAAGTATGTACACTCATTCGCTATAAAAACAGTAATTATAATCATAACTTACAAGAAAACTATCCTACATTTTAATGATCTTATTATCTAAATAAGATAACAAGCATACATAAAGGAAGAGAAATCGAGTTGTTCGAAAAGTTCTTAGCGAAATTTAATTAATAAAATCTCAAGATAAAATCTAAAATATTTTAATAGAATTTATTAAGCAATTTTTTTACATTGTTTATTTTATAATTATTCTGTTGTTGTTAAATAGAATAAATAAATAATATATCTATAAAGCGAGATGTTTTAACACTGTTTCATCGAAAGTTTCCAATTTTGAAAAAATATACGCCGAAAACTTTTCGAATTACTCGAATATGAAAAAATTATGACATGTATACAACAATAATTCGCTAAAATTGATTAACAATTAAATATTGAATTAAATTTCAGAATTATTTTGTAAAAAAAAAATAAAACAGCTTCTCGCGCTCTTTTCCCGTAGCTTTCGTACAGAATAAATATTATGTTCAAAGTGTTAGCATCTAGTAACTTGTAAAGGGGGCATATACATATTATGCACATCACCATTTTACAGTTGTAAAAAATCATAAAATTCCACTTCGTGGTTAACCCTCAAATTGAACGAACCAGTTAAATGGAAAAAAAGAAAGAAAGAAAGAAAAATACATTGAAAGATAACTCGAACGATGTTTAAAAACGTTTCGATATGTCATACATAAAAGTAAGTGGAGATACCAACGTAGATCATGCATGATACATAACGTCGTCATAACGTTACAGCTAGCTTTCTATTTTAGCTCCGTTTGGAACAGTGTGGATAGAGATGAAGACGCTGATGTTGGTACAGTGTACGCAATGTTATTCCAGCAACTCACGTCTACCAAAATCGCGTACGTAACAGAGATAACAGAGAGAGAGAGAGAGAGAGAGAGAGAGAGAGAGAGAGAGAGAGAGAGAGGTCTATATCGGATTCGGCAAGTTGTCGCACAGAGTTTGTTCCCTACTGTTACTTTCATTCCAGAACCTGATCATAAAACCGCGGCCCGATAACGAATAACATTGAATTCGATTGATGCGATTGTTGTTATCGCTTTTATCGGCGTAGGCCTCGCCGGAGCAATCGTTATTTTCGATATCGACCGTTACCATCGAGAGCGCGATACCTCCGAAGCCGTTTAACTCGAACGAAGGGAATTCTTTCCAGTTCAATCGTAGTTCAATCAAGATAGTACGAAGAAAGTATCACTTATTAGTAACTTGAGGGTATAGTTTCGTTGTGCAAGCGAAAATATACATTTAGTATATAGTATAAAGTTTCACGCGCAAGTATCGCATGCATGAAACGTTCTGGTAAGTCAGGTAAATAATAACAAAACCTTAGCTAAGCAATGATCGTAGAATCAATGAATGACGACGATTATGTAATTGGAAATTATTTCTGGCAGGCAGTGATAGTTGACAATGTTTGTTGACGAACTTTTCTACATCAGCAAAATATCGAGAAATTGTTTGAGGTTTTTATTCTAATTTCATCAAGTTCTTTGCGCGAACAGAGAAAATTGTAAAACGATTTTTTAAATTTGCAGCAGCGAATGAGGACAAGAAAGACAAATTTAGAAGCTCGTACGAATCCAAGAGATAAAAGTACACATTTCGTGCTAGTGAATATAATATTCATAAATCTTTGTTTCCTTAAGTGAGCTCCTGCATTGTTTTACTCTGTTGATACAATACTCTGCACTACTCTACAGAAGTATGTAACTATATGTACATATGTATATGCGTTATAACCTTCTTCTTGTCTTTTGGAAGAAAATATTCCAAGTATCCATATTCCAGCTGCAATTTTCAACGACATACATTTGTCGAAAAGTACAAATAATTTGATAGAAAAACGTACTTTAGATGTATTAATTTAGGGTATTAATTATTCCATTGTCAGTTTAGATCAAAAGACAAACATGGATCAAAATCGGAAAAGGAAAAGATTTTATTTCATTGTTAATTTGAGTACTTTCTTTAACTCAACTTTGATGAAACGAAAACTGAGTAAATAAACTTTAACTGATAAGTTAAAATATTTGATAGTATTAATATTGTAATAGAAAATGATATTAATTAATGAACTTCTCAACGCAAAAATACACGTGTTAAACATTTTAAACAGGCCACAAATATAACAAAATGCCAATGTATACTTTGAAAATAATCAAATATACGCACGAAAAATAGTGAAAATACACACGTTAAAATAAATCAATTAACAATAAGCCAATTAACAAGAAAACCGTCTCAAGAAAAAAAGAGCGCTCGATTTTTCTCGATCGATACCGATCGGATTTCCTCCTTGCACTAGGCTCGTCGTTTCATTCTTACTATTAAAAACCAGCTGTTCGTCTAAATCAATACCTATACAACATGCAATCTGAGACTATCTATAGAACAAGGAAAAGAGACAGAGAAAGAGAAAAGGAACTAAGTAAGAAAACAGTGACTGCTAGTAAGTAACGAGCACAGTATTTCTATATCATCGTGCCTCGTAGCAACGAATAATCGGCCTTTTTAAAGATTGAATTGCCTTCAGCGCGGGGCCAGATGATGACCTACCCCAGGTGATGTCGTTGAACCAAAATTGCGAGGATCCGCTTGTATCGTCGATCAAGGGCGGCATAGTCGGTGCAGAATCTGGCGGAGGATTACACGGCCCGTGAACACGACACGTACTAGTCCCTATACCTCGATTAGCAGTCGCGTACATAATCTCTGTTGCAGTGACTTCGTCGATATCAACGTCGGAAGTGTCGTCGATGCCTTTATCGCAGAGAAGCTTGATCCTGGACGACGAGGTGCCAGGCTGCGCAAATATATCATCACGCGGACTATTATGAGGCGAACATTCTGTTCTCATACTGGCGATAGGCTGCTCGTATTCTGCCGAGTCGCTACTGGGCGATGGTGGGTAGGTGCTGCTGCTAGATTTGATTGGTCGATCTCGTGGGAGAACTTGGATGCCGGTGGACGAAGTGGAGGGTCCTCCTTCGACGCCAGGAATCCTCCGCCCAACAGCAGCTGCGGCCGCGGCCGCAGTGGCCGCGGTGTAAGAATAGAAGGAACCACCCTGTATCATCATACTGCAGGGTGGTTCCTCTACTGCGGCACCAGGCCCTGTAGACAGGCCAGAGGAGGAGCCAGCGAGCTCACCTTGCACTTGCTGCACGCCGTATATCCCCTGTGAAATTCCCGTCTCGGGCTGATGATACTGTTGTTGCTGCTGCTGATGCAACGTCTGATGCTGTTGTTTATCCTTCTCGCGACGCGGCGACCGACCCCGATCGCTGACCGACGTTGCGCTCCAGTAACCCCACGCCATTTTAATTTAGTAGAGGAATTTATCTTGGAATATTTTTGTTTCGTCTATCCCGGTTGCCTAATGTCGTTCAACGGTAATACACCACTGGACTCCCGTCTTTTGCTCGCTACTACCCTCTAACTCCCACCCTAAGTTTTCCCTACTTTCCTTCCTAGAGGTAGGTGCGCACGCTCTTTCTCTATCTCTGTCTCGTTTCAGCTGGATGTCTTTCCCCGGACTCTTTCTCTCCTTCTTGCTCCTCCAATGATCTCTGTCCTCGTCTTTTACCCGTGGGCCCGACCTCTTGCAGGAGAACCCGGCTGAGAATGCGACGAGTCAGCGCGATCGATGCTGGTTTATCGCCACTTTTGCTACCTCTTCGACAGCGATTGTTAAAGCTGTGATGTCACCACCTCTCGACATGAATCGGAGACCATTGAAATTTTCCGCTGCGAGTCGAGAGGAGCGCTCTGTTATTGTTTTACGTTTCAGGCTAATCAACGTGTAATGCTATCTTTCTCTTTTGCTCGACTTTTCCCTGTCTTTAGCTTGTCGTTTTTACAAACTATTGCTTTTTTTTTTTGCTTGATTTTTTTTAGAGAAGTTATAAATTATATTCTGCTGTCTGGACGCGTCTCAACCAGAGCGGTCAAGTGTACTTGCGTGAGAAAACTTCGTGGCTAATCGGTTCGTGTAAGAATATCGACTGCTGCCGCGGGATTCGTTAACTACCGCCGCCGACCGACGCGCTTTACTCCACGAAATGCGCAAACGCTGGGATAAAGGCACACTCTGGAAAAAACAGGACTGATTTCTCTTCAACAAACTACCCAACCCTTTTCCCTTCTTTCTTCCTACCCCTCACTCTTATCCATTCTCAACTCTTCCTCGTTCTTGATATCCTTCACTTATTACCGTTTCTTTTTCTTTTTTTTAATATTCTGCTTCATTTTTGCATTCCGTTCATTTCTTTTTTCTCTCTTTCCTTGCATCTCACTTTCGTCACTTTTCTCTTCTAACGAGTGCTCTTTTTCTTACCGTTTTAACATAAAAACGTTTTTTGTTGACTTTTACTGGCTTTTTGAAATATCTTTCTTTTTTTTTTTTATAGAGGATGTCGCAGCAATCGCGATATAATTGGCAAGGGGATGTTTTTAAGGTGAGGAAATAAATTGAAAATATAGTTTGAAATTTCTTCATACGCGTTCCTTGTAATTAACCAAGCTCTAGTATACTCGACAAATTTTCAAATTCAATTTTCTCTAAAATAAAGCATTATATACAAATTTTACTCTATATCTTTGACTTTGATTGCTATATATTTATCCTATAGCTAATTGTTAAGTGGAGTGTGATTAATAATCACACGCACTTAAGGTACATAAGAAAGTATGTGAATTATTCTTAAATTTGATCATTACAGGAAATGCGATCAAATTCGTCAGTAAATTACGCTTGGCTCGCCTATATTATGATATTGCAACAAAATACGTAATAATATGTAATACTAACGCTTTCCAACTGATGATATTTCATAAAATATATAAAATATTTGTTCAAGTTTTATCACAAATTATATACATCTAGTTTTATATCAAAAAATGTGATTGTCATCTCCGATATTTAATATTAAATATACTGTTCGATAAAATATGTAATTTTGCAGATTAATATTAGAAGCTAATTATAATAAATACATGTAGTAATTCGAATACAAATTATTCGTTATAATTATAATTTCATATTGGCATAAATTTTAGACTTATATGCCATTTATGTGTATATATATGTATGAGAACTTGAATAATTAAATTAAATTAAATTATATTCTTATTAAAATTTGGCAACATTTTAATATTATTACATTTAACATAATTATATTTTAATTTAAAATATTATTTATTGAATTCGAAAAATTTTAATTTTATACATTTGATAATGTATATTTGAGTATTCTTTTCAATATAAGCAATAAAACTAAAATTCATTGAAACAAAAAATATTGTCTATTGTAAACATTTGTGTAATTAACATATACTTTTGCTTGAAAAAGTGCTATATTTAAATAACATATTTTGTCCAAACATAAAAAGTAAATTTCTAATATAATCTATAACTGTATTAAAAAAGAAATGTTGTCATATTAAACAATTATTTTGTGCTATTTATACACTAACTATATATACACACACATATATTTTTTTTTTCAACATATAATGAATTAAAAGAAATACTTACCATGTATAGTTATTTCAGTATCCTTCTCGACCTTGTAGAGACGCAATGCTTCATCTAGTTCATGCTGGGTAGCAATCCTGCATGGATCTCCTTCATCATCAATCCATTTCATTGTAAACTGAGTTGGTCCTGTTGCACCAAATCCACATATTGTACGCATTTCCTCTCGTAATGTATCTACTGAAATGCCCGGAGTGATATAGGTAATCTGTACTTCCCTAATACAAACATAAATCATTATAATTATTTTTTCTTTAAAAATTTCAAATGTATAGATTAATAATTACTTCAATTATGAACTTAATATTTTATGTTATATTTTATTATAATAAAAATATTATATACATAACACCACTCTACTCTTATGACAACTGAAAAATAATTTATATAAATTTATAAATAAACTTTAGTCACTGCATCATGTATTGTTATTACATACAAAATATTTTCTCAACTAATTTAACAATTTAAACAGTAATAACAATAACAATAATATTTTCACAAAGTTAAGAATATCAACTATAGGACTAAAATATATGCAATTAAACTGAATTGCTTTGTTATTCAAAGTTACTTGTATCAAATTTAATGGCATTCGACTTATAATGGCTTCTTCTAGATTTAATTCATATTCAAATTTCTAGTTTTAATTCATATAATAAAATGCCATTAATTAACTAAGTAATAAGAACATGTAAATATATCTATGTTTCCTTTAGTGTTTCAGATATATATTAATAATTTACTGTTTGTATTATTAATATTAACTTGTTAAATCCAAATATATCATTTGTATTACCCATTGTAAATAATTTTCACTCGAATATCATCACTATCTGTTGTCTGTGTAGGCATTTTTATTTGGAAATTCTTCTCTTTGCTGAAAAAAGACACCGTTAAATGATACATTCCTTAAAAATAGTTTGAATACATGAAACATATCATTAACAGGGCAATATTAACGGAAATAAATCAGTTATGTAATAATAAATATCACAATAGATACTCGCATATAACTATAGGAAATTTATTTACAATATTATGTATTTCTTTTTAAATTACTTTTTTCCAAATTAGTGACAATTGCACATTGTAACTTGTACGATTTTCATATTTAAAAAGAAAATACAATGTAACTATATTTTTAAGCCAGCTACTGCGACAATTTATTATGACATAAATTCACCAGACATTTATGAAAATGAGAGCGACGTGATTACAAATCTAACTATTCAAAAAAGTTTTCTCTATGTTTTTTCTTAAACATTAGCCAAAGATTAATTAAAATAGTTGAAACTTACGAACTAAAGTGTTTAACGTCCACTACAATACATAGAAACCAGTTCAACCGAACTAATTTTAATGTTTTTAATGCAATGCGATGATTTTCTTCAAGAAATGATTAAATTGCTATGTCAGACAGAATATCACGTAATATACCTTCGGGAAAAAAAATAAAACAATTGTCTTGCTTTGCAAATTATTTGCTAGAAATAATCATGTAACAAACACAAAATTGAAAAGCATTTAACACAGCAAAACGCGTTGTCACTTGGCAGCCGCCATGTTTATTAGACATACATCTTCATGAGGAATAAGGAGATCCCTATTTTCCCTATATAAAACGATGTATATGTATTGCATTTATTAAAAAGATCTTGTTGATATCAATGATCAATTAAAATCAATTAAATTATTTCGTAACAATTAATTGATCGTAACTATTACGAGAATTATTCGCTTTATTCAAAAATTATGACTTTGTAATGACATTTTTTCAAACTATATATTATATATATTACAAAAAACATATGCGTACATATAATCTATTTAAAAATTACTTCTATTTTTTAATAATATGATATACAAGCTATTATTTAATTTCGCATGTATCGTATATATGCAATACAAGTTATACAACTTGTAGAAATATTTAAGTGTATTATTTATAATTGTAATTTATTAATAGATTCTTCTTAATTTATATTACTTGTTAATGCGACAGATTAAACATTCTTGCAATTTATGATTCATATCATATTTATATTAATCTTGAATAAGATAAAGATAATTATAAGAAATTGAAGGCGTGGTAAATTCCAACTATCTTCAGTGATATTGCAAAGGCACGAAATTATTCAATAATTTCTCAGAAAATTTTAATAATCGTTACTTTACCTAGAAAAAGATTTATATTGTTATTTACATATTATTTATAATTTCTTAAATATATGCTTCTATTCTACTTATTTTTATTTCCTATATAACTGTTTCATAATGAACGTTGGTACGAATTAAACTTAAAAATCACTAGATTTTCAAAGTTTGCTAGTAGCTTGTAAATATCAAGTCAAGCGTCTTTGTAACATAGGATAAATAATTGGAATTTCGTGTGTTATAAATAATAGTAAATAATGAAAAATAAAATTTTTTCTATCTCCATCAAATTGACGTAAAATCAGTGGTCTTAAAGTCCATTTTATTCATTAGTGTACTGTTATTCTAATTACTTTGTTACTTTGAGGTTATATTACATGGAAGATTAGAAACACTATTACGCGAGATTAAAGTAAGTAAAAATTTGTTCATAAAACATGTTAAAATATATTATAAAACAATTTAATTTTCAAATTTTAGTTACAAGATGAAGAGATCACATTCTAAACGAGAAAGAGATGAATACGAAAATTATAGACACTCGAGGGATTTCGATCGAGACCGAGATCGAGATAGAGATAAAAATCGCGAGCGCAATCGTGACCGTGATCGAAATCGAGATCGAGATCGAGATCGAGATGGAATTAGGGATCGTGATCAAGAACGCGACAGAGACTATTATTATTACGATAATAAAAATAGTAAAAGAAATGTTTCTCACAAGAGGGATCATGATCTCGAAGAAGCTAACAGAGATGAGCGGTCATACAACCGACGTGAATTGAGAAAAATGAAAGATCACAGGGAGGAAAAGGAGAATAGGAAGAAGTCAGAAAAAGATAAAGCTTCAGATAAAGAAATGGAGAAAAAACAAGAAACGAATGCTTCTAATGAAGCAATTGAAAGACAAAATCGAACGGTTGAGTTGTTAACATCAAGAACAGGTGGTGCTTATATACCACCTGCAAAGCTGCGTATAATGCAGGCGGAGATTACCGATAAATCAGGGGCAGCGTATCAACGTATTGCATGGGAAGCCCTCAAAAAATCGATACACGGTTACATTAACAAAGTTAACGTGAGTAATATTGGGCTTATAACTAGGGAACTTTTGAAAGAAAATATCGTCAGAGGTAGAGGTTTGCTTGCTAGATCCATCATACAAGCTCAAGCAGCATCACCAACCTTCACGTCCGTTTATGCAGCCCTCACTGCAATCATTAATTCTAAATTCCCCAATATAGGAGAATTAATATTAAAACGTCTAGTAATACAGTTTAAACGCGGGTTTAGAAGAAACGACAAGCCTCTCTGTATATCTTCTGGGACATTTATAGCACATTTAGTAAATCAAAGAGTAGCACATGAAATTGTAGCTTTGGAAATTTTGACGTTATTAGTAGAAACACCAACAGATGATTCAGTAGAAGTGGCTATTGCATTTTTGAAGGAGTGCGGTATGAAGTTAACAGAGGTTTCTAGAAAAGGTATTGAAGCTATATTTGAAATGTTAAGAAATATATTACACGAAGGACAACTGGATAAGCGTGTACAATATATGATTGAAGTTATGTTTCAAGTCAGAAAGGATGGATTTAAAGATCATGAAGCTGTTCCAGAAGAGCTTGATCTTGTGGAAGAAGAGAATCAGTTTACTCATTTAATAACATTAGATGAAGCAACAGATTCTCAAGATATATTGAATGTATTTAAGTTTGATACAGAATATGTCGATAATGAAGACAAGTATAAACAATTGAGTAAAGAAATATTAGGTTCAGACGTTAGTAGTTCAGAAAGTGAAGAAGAGGATGAAGAAGAGAGTTCTGACGAAGATAGTACTACTGCTGTAGTAGAAGAGAAAGAAGACGCAATTGTAGATAACACAGAAACAAATCTCACTGCTCTTAGGAGAACGATATATCTAACAATACATTCGTCACTCGATTTTGAAGAATGTGCGCATAAATTAATGAAAATGCAATTAAAACCTGGACAAGAAACTGAACTTTGTCACATGTTCTTAGATTGTTGTGCAGAAATGAGAACGTACGAAAAATTTTTCGGGTTATTGGCTGGTCGATTTTGTGCTATTAATAAAATGTATGTTACGCCATTTGAACAAATTTTTCAAGATTCATATCATACGATACACCGCTTAGATACAAATAAATTACGTAATGTATCAAAATTTTTCGCTCACTTACTATTTACTGATTCTATATCGTGGGAAGTATTGTCTTGTATAAAGTTAACTGAGGAGGATACGACCAGTTCCAATAGAATATTTATCAAAATTTTATTTCAAGAACTTTCTGAATATATGGGATTATCTAAGCTCAATCAACGTGTGAAAGATGTTACATTGCAACATGCATTTGAAGGATTATTTCCCAGAGATGATCCTAAAAATACTCGTTTTGCAATCAATTTTTTTACATCTATTGGACTAGGTGGTCTCACAGATGATTTAAGGGAACATTTGAAATCTCATCCAAAACCTGTTGCAATTCCAGCATTAGAGCAAAAAAATGAGAGTGCAAGTGAGATTTCTTCTGCAGATTCTTCTCTCTCCAGTTCAAGTGACTCGTCGTCATCTTCAACCTCTTCAAGTAGTTCAAGTTCTGATGACTCTGATGTATCTTTGGATAAAGAAACGAAGAAAGGAAAGAAAAAATTGAGAAGAGAACAAAAAAAGAAACAACCAATCAAGGAAAACAAAAAGAAACATAAAAAAAAAGTAAAACATAAAAGGGTGAAAAAGATCACGTAGAATTTGTGTATAAAATAAAAAAATATTTTTATCTTTCATTAACGTTACGTTATATACAACAGCTGGAATTAAGGAAGCTTATATGTATATATTGAAACACAAAATTTTTAAAACAAAAATAAATTACGTTGTCAATAAAAGTATCAAACGTATTTATTATGTTTTTTTTCTGTATTATTTATATTAGCAAGGGATAATATTCATACCATTTATACAAGATATTCTATCGTGTTTGTTCAGATTTACCTGAAATATATTATAATAAACTACGTATATTATCGAGACAATGAAAGTGCGAAGTACGCGACCCATGTTAAGCTCGCCCTGACAATGAACGCGGAACAAACGCACTTCTATCCATGTGGGTGTGCTCAGCGAGCAGCGTGTAGGTTATTTTGACGGGGGAATCACGTGATTAAATACTTAGCCATCGCCACCCCGCCAGACCGACACTACAACACGCAATACGCAGACTCAACCATTTCACATCCTTCGGAAACGAGTGTGGCTGACCGAAGTTGATCTGTAACGCGTGCATATACGTTGCACACACATACGTGTACGTCACATATTCGATAGATACGAAAATACGATAGAGACGAAACTGCTAACGTGGTAGGCACACAGAGCGCGGTAGGAGACCAAGCGTTTTGCTAGCTTGGTGTTTAGACGGGGTGTTAACGTTAACAAGAACCAGAGTGAACTTTGCTCGTCGATACGATACTCGCGATGCTCCTGTACTGTCTACGAATTGTTTGTACATAAATAAAAGAGACTACGTGCCGAGAGTGTGCCCAGATTCAACATATACAGGATCGTCACGTACATGCATGAAATTACATACTGTATATACTTTACTGTACACTTTAATTAAGAGCACAATGCTCTGTATAGTTACGAAGCTACATAACGAAGTATATATGTATCTCCTATAAGTGCTGTCGTCTCATGTTTACATACGCGTACAGTTATAGCTGTGTGTGTGTGTGTGTGTGTGTGTATAAGTGAGAAAGAAAGAGAACAGAAGCAGAGTGAAGTTTTTGTACTGCAAAAAACGACGTTCCGCGGAAGGTTGTCGTAAGAAGTACCAATCTAAACACCACAATATATCAAGACGACATTTCTAATATCACGTGTGGCGTGTACGAAACGACTGTCTCTCCTTTTGTTGTGCATCGATGTACAATGCATCAAGTCCGTAATTGACGCACGTACGATGCCATAAAGAATAATGCTCGTTTTTTCCAGTGGTGAGTGTCCTGGAGCGATCGATATTCCTCGGTCGCGGTGTGCCAAGTCAATTTATTCTCAAAGAGTGTCACTCATCCTAGTGATGATGTTCATCGATCGAACGTACCGTCGATTTAATTACTGCAACAAATAGCATTAACGTGAATATTTATTGGTTGTTGTCGACCGTGGTGGCGACAGCGGTCGTGTAGTGGTAGTGGTCGTCGTCGTCGTCATCGTGGTCGTGGTCGTACGGTAACGACAAGAGTGGTCAGTGCAGAGTGACAGTGGCGACGACGGTGGTGGTAACTGTGACGGCGGCGGCAGCGACAGTGGTGGTAGAAATAGCTGCGGCGGCGGCGATAATCCAATGGCGGTCGCGATCGCGATAGCGACTACAGTGACGGTGGACACGATAATATCGCGAACGGGTGACGATAAAGACGAACGCCAGTGATAACGAAATAGCTCACGACACAATGCGCGGTACATCGCCCCCCGAGGAAACGTACCATTGATATGGGAGTAACGGCGGAACATCGCAGAATTGTGCAAATGGAATCGGCAATAAGCAGAAGTCGAATGAGTTGCGGGGAATAATTTTATTAACGACAGAGTTGCGTTCGACGGTGGCGTGTATTGGTAATGTAAACGAGAAATTGAACACCGAAAGCGAAACGTTCGCTGCAGTGATCGTGCTTGTGTTCGCAGTGAAACGGACAGAGAGGTCGAGAGCGAGAGAATTATCATGTATATGGAGGTTCCTTTGCAATGGACAATAGACTGCGGATAACGTAACGTAAGGGGAGAAGAATACACGTGAACGGGTTAGGCTTGTTCCTGACCGAAAAATAGAAAACACACAACAAGGATGAAACGTTTTGTATGTTCGGTCGTGCGTTCGCTTTTTCAGAACACGAGCTAATACGTCGAAGAGTTGGAAGTGTTCGCGTAGAGCGAACGTGCGTGTATTGTGGGTGTAAATACGCCTATGTTTTCGAGTCGGATGAAATAGCGTGGTATGTCACGAGCACTGAGAATTCCGCGCGGTCCCGTTTTATCTTCTCGAATTTCTTTCATGCAGATATTCCACGAATAATGGAGACGTTATTACCGGGGAATGCGAACAGTCAGTCGTATAGCCCGCAGTTGAAGACCGTTTTGAAGACATATCAATTATCTGCTGTAAAAAGCTTACAGGGTCCAAGCTCGGCCCTGCTTGGTATGGACTGCAAAAGCCTACTGCAGGAGGAACCCTGTTATTCGCCCAACCGATCGAGTGGTTGCGTTGCCGATGCGGAGCCGATCTCTAAGGACACCGTCGAAAAGGACAACAATCCGTCGGTAACGCCTATTGGCTCTTGCAAGACCTCGGTTCGTAGGAGCGAGCAATCGCACGAAGACTCCGACGAAGATCCGCAACTAGAACGTTCGAAGAACACCTCTGAGAAGAGGGAATTGGAGTTTCAGATACCGATCTTGACAGCACCGGACCAAAGTTGCTCCGAGAGATGCGAGACGATCCTTGAGGGCGAGAGGATATCGTGTTTTGTCGTAGGCGGTGAGAGGAGGTTATGTTTACCGCAGATATTGAACACTGTTCTGCAAGAATTTTCGCTTCATCAAATCAATCAAGTCTGCGACGAGTTACAAATTTATTGTTCGCGATGCACCCGTGATCAATTGGAAGAACTTAAGCATTCGGGGATTCTACCGCGCAACGCACCTTCCTGTGGCCTTATCACTCAAACAGATGCCGAGAGGCTCGTCAGTGCTTTGCTGTTACGGACAGAGTCGTGCGATCCCTCTCAGATCGGTAATCAAGATAGCCTCGATAAGAAAGCATGTACCAAAAGTGACGACGAGGAGTCTATTGTCAAGTTTAAGGTGTATCACGAGTGCTTCGGTAAATGTAAAGGAATCTTCGATGCGAGTCTGTTCGAGTCGGACGAGTCTGTATGTATAGAGTGTACAGATTGTGGTTATCAATTCTCGCCTCAACGTTTTGTCAGACATGCTCATAGATCTCTTGAAAATCGTACCTGTCACTGGGGCTTTGATTCTGCAAATTGGCGAGCATATCTGTTGCTTTCGCGAGATCAAGATCATTATAACAAATCGCTCAGCTTGTTTCGAGAACTGAAGGAGAAACATCTCACACTGGGCTCGAAACGAAAGTCAGAGGTATTGTATTCTTATTTACATATAAGAACACTAAAATTCCTATTATATTATTTCTTACTAATAACATAATATCATATTTAATATATATGTGAAAAAGCTTACATGCTATTATTCTATGGTATTTGTTCTGTATCGAAAAAAAAAACAAGCAGAATAGAAAGAAGAAACTAAAGAATCCTTTTCCAGTTGCGGCACGATTCGGAGAAATTAAAACGAATTAGAAAAGATATAGGAAGAGAAGATTGTCCAGGAATTTATAATGGAAACGGCTTAGGCATGTATCATCCTGTATCTCAGGTAGCTAATACAACTGATCCATATCTACAAATGTCATGGGCAGTCTTTGAATTAGCAGCTAGAGGAGCTTCAGCTTTTAGACCGTGGAATACCACAAATACTTGCAAGCATAAGGATAAGTAAGTCTAGTAAACAAACATAGTCAGGACAATCTGCTATGTTTTATAACATGTTCTTGGTATTTTGTAAACAGTTCATCATTGGTGCCTGCGTATCTCAGTCGTGGTCCACCTGTACTACAACATCCAGAGCATGTGGTTCCTCTGTCTGAATGCAAACGTTTTGAACCGCATTTTCAACCAAACGTAGCCTTAGCACCTATACCTGCACCATCAGTGCCTGTAGTACTTCCACCATCTGCTCATCATCAACGACGACTTCATCATGAACATAAACGTTATAATCATCATTTGTCGAGTTCTAACGAGAAGAAAGAAGTTTCGTCGGATAACGTCAAGTCTGAAATAACATCTCCCAGTTCCGCTATCGGCGTGTATTCCGTATTCCCTTCATACGCACCGAATACGACCGAAAGCGATCAGAAAGAACTGTCACAAAAGACTAAGCACGAGATGGGTGAAGAAGAAGAAAGTAGTGCTGCTGTAACATCTTCGACGATAAACATAGAACCACCTTTAGCCGAAATTGGAACCTCTTCGCTGGAAAGTGATTCCGACTCGGAAGGAACGGCAGCGATAGACTTGGAGGAAAGGTTATTAGCTTTGGATGTACCACAAGATGTTCTAGAATTGGCACGACGCATAGTTTCAGAAAATGCACAATTACGACGTCATCGGCGTTCAGACGCACGCGAAATATCACGATTACGCAATCAGTTACAAATGCAGCAAATACAATCATCTAATGATGGTGATAAAAAGGAGGAACTGATAAACGCAGCGAGTGCAGCAGACAGTACAGAAGGTAGTGAGGAAACGGAAGTTGTATTACCGTCAACTAATAAAGAGTCTGAACCTATTGTTCTAGCTGTTAGTAAAGAATAAAATCAGTGATTAGAGTTTTTTAAATTATTTAATACAAAATTGCTCAGCAATTTTTTGCAACGCTCATCTTTTATCAGATAAGCATGCATTAAATTTAGTACTAGCTATAACGATAATGATAAATTCTAAATAAATAACAATTGTTTAGATTATGTGATATATAGAAAGCCTTTAACATTGTAGTCGTTAATTTGAAAGTTTTATTGTAACCAATACTTTCATTATATCGATTTTAATTAAAATCGAATGTAGATATTGTAATATATAGAAAAAGTAACATAAGTTAACCAAAATTTATTATGCCATTTAATATTATACTTAATGGTTTTTAAATAAGTTTCTTATGCATATTAAATATGCATATACCACAAAGATTTTATGATCATTTGTTTAATTATAAAATTAAACAATGGTCAGAAAATAAGAGATTAAATTACTTTTCATTTACTTTTTTATAGTCATGATTGCATAATGTAAATAATGACCCAAGTATCATAGATATATGTTTATATTGATAATATTATTATGTAAAATATTGCTAAAGTACAAAAAATCTTTAGGTGCTATATTATATTAGGAATGTTCTAAGCAGAAATCTAGGTGTATTTCAATTCATATTACATCGTAATATCGAAAATCTCGATTATGTTCTAGTTATTGTCCTATTATAGCGTTAATAATTGCGAAATTTTATTTCGTCCTAATAATTTTTTTGTTAGAGTGATTAGTTAATCTATATATTTCAAAATTGCGAAATTATTATTCAAATGATATATCATAGTAAATCGAAATTTAATTTATATTTGAAAAAGTTATTACATTTTTGTATGTTGAATTATTCTTGTATTATAAGAAGAAATTATTTTCAACTTGTTAAATATACATTCATTATATCACGAACCATTGGATAAAGGATGGAATATATTATTTCGTAAAAGAATGTGTAAAATCGTGTTATGAATATTTTTTTCTGTCTTTCTCTCTTTTTTTTTATATTGATATTTATTTGTGACATGTATCTACATATCATTTTAGTTATATGTAAAATTAAAAGAATTTAACCCCGTGGGTTTTGAAATATTAAATGTGATTTATTATAAATATTTTTACACGATCAGAAATTAATTTGTATGAACATAATATAATCCATATTTATAAGCAATTCTGAAATGAAGTTATAAGCACAACTAATTTTTATTTAATGTTATTTTCATTTCTACTCGTTATAATAATAGAAGCAACACATTTTTTCCAATTATCCTTGCAAAAGCAACACTGACTTAGAGATATACCTAGATACATATTAGACATCTAAGTATAAGAAAATACGGATATGAAAATATAAAGATTATAAAGAAAGAATATTTGTACATGTTCTTGATATATATTTCTTTTTAATCTTATTAATTTAAATGTTTGCCTTTATTTCTTTATTTTCTTAAATTTGTTATCATTGTATTGTTTATTCCATCTCGCAATATGTAAAATTATTATAATTTAAACATAAATTTTAAAAATTCAATGTATTATTGTTGAATCATAACATGATTTCGTCCCTTTTTTTCTAAAGGGCTAGTTAAATTTTTCAAATATATAAAATTTTTTAAAAATTAAACATATATTGGAAAGGTTATTTTATAAGCTTTATAAGCTTTTTGTATCAGATACATTTTAGAACAGTATGAAATAAATCTCACACATATTTACATATGATATAGCAAGAAAAAAAAAACAGTAACTATACAACAGTTGTGTATTTGAAATAAACATATACACATATTTCGAGACTGCTTCGGAGATCTCTTATCACATACATTTTTCTAACATAACAAGAGTGCCAGTAATTCTTGTATCATATTGAAGCACAACGCATAAGAAATTTCCATTTTCAATTTTCTTATTCATAAACACTTCGCTTTTTAAACCTAAGTAAATCATGAATTTCCAAAGCAATCCATTAAAGGAAGGAAAAAAATTGATAAAAATATATAAATATAATTGAATACTTAGGATAAATGCATTCATTATTATATTCCATATAACATTTGGTCAATATATATATTCGAACTTCATATATATATATCATATATATATATGACATGTAAGTTACATTGTATTGTTGTAATAATATAAGCATCCCACCTAAGGTGAACAGTGTAATAATTTATGATTTTCATACACTCAGTTTATTATAGAATATCTAGAATATTGTAGTAAATAATACATGCACGAATTGCATACAAAACTCGATTGTTTGCATATATCTGAGATCTGCGTATAAAAATTTTCAATAAAAAAATCATGTAACTGCCATGACTAAAGATGTATTTTAATTTTGAATGGATGACGTATTTTAAGTTAAAGTGGGAAATTATAAATACATAATACGTGACGCCTGACTTTATTAACATTTATGCACGGAAACGCATTAATGTGGATTTCGTTCGTTCGAATAAATATTTTTCTGCCGATTCTCTTGGAGTGATTTATAAGAGGGTACAAAACGTTATTAAGTGTTTCGTAAATAAGAAATACTGTTATTGTTATGGTATATTCGGTTCAATTTGCACTGTCGAATAGTAACTAGTATACTTATTGCATTATTATACGCATACGTTCAATATTATGCGTGATATTGTAGCCAATGTGCGTATATTTATGCATTAATATCAGAAAACTCGTTCGATTCTCATTTCAAATATAGTAGGCTATAATAGGATTTCGTGCTCATGATAGATGTAATGATACGAAATACTAATCGAACGAATTTCGATGTCCCATTGTTTTCTCTTTACATGCCCATGAATCCGGAACTCAAGAAAATAAACTATTGAGCGATATAGATAAAGCGTTCGTTATATGCTAAATATTCAGACGCAATAAAACATAATTATTCGACGCAAATTATTTCATAGAATTTAAATGACCTTATACGTGATAATTATAAGATAGAATTATGCGTAAAATATTGCTTCGTGAATGAACTTAGTAACTAGTGTTTATTGGTCTTTAATAAAATATATACATGCATAAGTAGAATGCACACTCATTAGAGAGAAAGAGAGAGAGAGAGAAGTATGATGAAACGTTTTATTTCAGACTGATTTCGAGTTTATTTCGTCGATAAAACAAACAATGAATAGAAGCTATGTTAATCAATTAGTAATAATATGAAAACAATTGGTATTTACCGGGGACGTGGTATGTATATTATGTTAGTAAAGTGTGCTGAGATTCTCGCGTAATAAATTATCTCGGATACGCTATCAATAGTTTATTTTCTTAATTTATACTTACTCTTCGATAAACGACATAATAGATTTAGACGTGCAGTAGCTTACGAAAGTATTTGAACACCGACCATAGAAATCTTTTATATTTATTGCACACACGTGTTACACCAAACATTTTAAATTTTCAATAGCACAGTAACGACACGATCATGTCATAATTGTACATGTATTGCACATGAATTTGAAACTTGAGTATGCAATTTTTAGATGTTTCGAAATTTTGCCAGTATATTCATGGTAATCAAAGTCTCATTGCTACGAATGAAATTTAAAAATGTTTCGTGTCACGCGTGCAAGATATTCGTAAAAGATTTTTACGATTGTTCGAATACTTTTACGAGCAACTATAAATGTGTTTCGTACATTACATAATACTCATAAGGAATTAAGTACATAAAAGAAGTGCAATACGAAAGTACAAAATTTGATGTTTCATTTGAATTTTATATATTTTACAACAAAAGAAAAGAACAACAAAAGAGATACGTGCGGATAGCTTTTTCGATATTCTAAATTTTTTTAAGATATATAAGACTTTCGAGAATCTTTTACTATCAGAATATCTTTACTGTATGTAAGACCATGTCCCTGATAACGTACTTACATATATAACGTTGAACTTTTGAATAATATTGTCTAATAATAATAAAAAAAAGAAATGAAAGCGGTTTAGAACGATTTAATGTTATACAATTTTCTAACCACTTTAAACATTATCTTGAATTTTTGTATGACCGAATTTCTATATTCGAACGACGAATTCCATGTTCTTATGGATGGATATTTAATATATGAAGTAGCTCCGGTAGTGATCTGATTTTTCGCATAATTGTAGGGTAAATGTATATATAATTATTTTCAAAAAAAAAAAAGAATACTCATTGTTAAATGTATATGAGGGGAAATTGTTATATATAAGGCTATTATCGTCATTTATATTAATTGAAATAATAAACGACGTTTCGATTAAATAAGATTTTTCCACGTTATTGCTTCGAATTCTTTTTATTATACATACTAATACATTATATAAAATTTGTTATATATATATTTATTCGTAAATTATATGTTACATTTTTAGACAACTGTAAAAGTTGAATGGCAAGTATTTAATTCTAATAATGAAGATATATTATATACATATAGACCACTATCGATGATTAAAACGCGAATTATCAAAATTTTTATAACAAATTGTAACTTTTATTTCGGTTGAAACGTATACGACGGCGTAATTGCATAACTACGCGATTGTCTCGAACAACATTTTTACGTACTCGTGATGCATGCATAATTTAAAATTTAACGGTATAGACAAATGTTTTTGTTTGACATATTACACAATAGTGTATTGCTGAAGCGCCGTCTACCTGTTGCATTCACGACTATGAATATCTAAATTTCAGTTTCGTCTATAGTCCTTCGAGAAAACGAAGAATTAATTGGGTTTTTGGTCTGCAATTTTACCGTTATACTCTCATATCGTGTTCGTACATATTAAATACTAAAATGCTTGAAATATCAATCTGGTTTTGAAGGCATGAGAAGAGCCGATAATTTCTGCTGGAATGTTTAATATACTTATTCTTGTTATGTCTTGTCTCAGTGAGGTCCTGGTATTTAACGATTCATGTTCTGGAAATATAATCCTGTGTGATCTTTGAAAAAGTAGAATGGCCTTTTTGTGTCCGGTTCGTATACGTCGAGGGAAGAAAAAGAAACGTAAGTAACAAAATATGGAATAACTCTTTCGAGATATTTGTTCAGGCTTAATTTCTGTTGAAAGTAGAATACCTTTCTATATGTACACGTATACATACTGTTATACATTTTTATCAAAATTGCAAATGTGTCTACGATTGTTGTTTTGTCTTTAAAATAATTCAAAGAAATAGATGAATAATTTAAAAGATAAAAGAAACATTTAAATCTAAAAAGTGACTTGAAAGATAGATATGGTTAAAATTTTCTTAGATATGGTTGAACAGTGTAAAACTATATTACAATAGTGTTGTAAACTAACAAATTTATTACTGAACTTCAGTAACTTTTTATTGTATCAATATTTTAACTAATTAGTAGAAAACAGTCTATTTATATATGATTCTTTATTGTTGTATATTATAAAATTATTCTAGACTTAATTATTTTGACTATCTAAAATTAGTTCACAGAAATTCAACTAAAAACTTTAAATTTCATTTTGCAGCGGGTGTGCACAATTTTAATTTGGAGAAAGATTGTGCAGGAGCAGGTGGTACAGGACTTGGCTTAGGAACAAAAGTACCATTACCCCCTGGTCGTATAACAGGAAGTGCTAGTATTGAGACATTAGTTCGTGTAGGTATAGAAAAAGAAAATGGTCTGTCGCCAGATAGTAAAATGGTTATTGTTCATGATTTCACGCCATGTGTTGATGATGAACTTCAAGTAAAACGAGGCCAGGTTAGTAATTTCTTATCATGTGTTTTTATATATGTGAATAACTTTGTACATATTTGCTCTAACATTGTGTTCTCATACTTGTTTTGTGTTGATAAATATTTATCATTTATAAAACTTGCTATTAATTTTAATTTTATTCTTGCATTTTTATTTGTGTTATTTTGTTCTGTTCTTTGCATGTTCTAGGTTGTAAATGTTTTATATAGAGAGAATGATTGGGTATATGTAATAGCAGCTGATACACGTATGGAAGGTTTTGTTCCACATTCATATTGTGCACCTTATACATCTCAGCTTGCTGAATTAACACTTGCCACTCTTATGAACAATGTGAAAAAGAAATTACCAAGGTCTAATGAGACTGATTGTGATTTTACTGGTACAGGTCGTCCACAAACTATAGATACGCAACAGACTGACACTGGATCAGCATCAGACTGTGAAAGTTATGCTCGTAATGTCACTACTGCTGATGTGAATGTTAATAGATCCAACATTACACAGTCCCAAAATTCTATTCAAACTGTATCCTCTCAACCAGATGTGCACCCTTTTTTCAAGGTACAAATATTTTATTTTTATATATTCTAGTATTAATAATTTATTCTTTGATTTATTAATTCACAGAAAAATATATAAGTTATTTGTTATTTGTATAATATTATAGGATCCATCGGCTGGAAGATATATCGTACTTTATACTTTTGTGGCCAGAGATGAAAATGATGTTAGTGTTGAAAGAGGTGAATTTGTAACTGTACTCAATCGAGATGATCCTGACTGGTTTTGGGTACTTAGACATTGTGATGGTAATGAAGGATTTGTGCCATCTGGATTTGTATATCCAGGACATGTTCTTCATTCGTATGCAACGACAACTACTACAACTACCACTACTACCACAGTAGCTACGACATCTACAGAAACACATGGCTTAGGTTGGTTTTCACCTTTTAGTAAAAATTAAAATTAATAAAATTTAGGATTAACAAGGATTAAAAAATGAGTTAATGAAACTCTAAATTTAAGGTTATAATTTTGCATATACGAAGAGCTAAATATTTACAATTGTTTTTATTATTTCAAGGGAAAGGGAATAACAACATGACAGGGAATGAATCATTGCAGCAAAAAGGCTTGCGAGATTTTCGAGACGAAACAAATGGCACAGAATTAGTTGTACTTTATGATTACAAGGCGCAGGCGCCAGATGATTTATCTGTGAGAAGAGCTGATTGGATATATGCAGATTTAGGAAATCAAACTGTGGACGGTTGGTTGTGGGCATATGCACCTAAAACTCGAAAATATGGATTTATTCCAAAAGCGTACGCCCGGCCTCCTGCTATGACAAGTTTATAACATATCACAGACATACTTTTCTATCCTTTTGCGTTTCATACATATATTCAAATAATAATATACTATTACATAGTATTATATTGCAAATGGTATCCGACAATTTGGATATACATCAAAGACACAATTTTCTTCGTGTAAGTATTATTATTAATGGGGGATAAATTGGAATTTAATTACATATATACATGAATTTTGTAATATATTTAATGTACAGTAACATTAATATTGAGTGTAGCACAATCTGATGTAATGTGACTAAGGAGACCTTCGTGCAGAACTATACAATCACCTGTTGAATAAATGTCTTGAGGACATTGAGCTGTTCTTAATGAGTTCACTGGACCTGTGTATGTTAGGCAACGTAAACCTTCATTATCAATCTTGTCCACAGCCTGTTGTGGAAATAGTCGGTATGTGTATCATGTACAGACGTATTAATCATTTGTGCAATTGAGCTTTTTTGTTAATTATATAATATACCTGAATACTACATAAAAGTTTGTTCGTTGTGTTTCCAATATCCAGTCCGGCAACCCAAGCGATTATTATATCTTTCTTATGAAAATTTTTCGTTTTATTAATTTTTTCGTTAGATATATATTGATTTGCACACTGTAGCCGGGCGGCTAGTACTGGTAATGGTAAACGATTTCGATATTTTGGATTGATTTGACTGCCATTAAACAACCTCGCAGCAGGTTTTCTTGGTGTAAAAATTTAATGTTAATTACTATAGGCACTATTTAAATGTTTTAAATTCTTCTTAATATGTCTGTACGTAAAAATCTTTTTATTACTCTATTGTCATTAATAATTGAGCAACATTTTATAGATACTTCTAAAGAAAATTTTTTGCAAAAATTATTTCTTTTTTTCACCTTATTAGCAGTAATGATTTTTAAACGTACAAATGTTATTCCATATTTAAATTAAACAATTTTATACTCACGAGAGTTTACCAGAAATAAGAAGGAGAGCTAGACATCGACTAGAATTGGAAGATAAAGCATTGAAACTGACAATGAGTGTACTTTTGATGCCGGGTTCTACATTTAGAATAGGCACCTCCGGATGATCAAAGATGAAATGATGCGTTAACGCTGAGAAAGCTACGTTTATGGCACAGTCAATTCGTGGACAACGGATCGGTCTACGAGAACATTCTGCAGTAATTTGTCCATTAATTTTTGCTTCGGACACGTACGATTCTGCATTCTTCTTTTTAAATAAATTACAATAACTTCGTCGCTGCTTTTCTCTGTCGCAATTTTTGTTTCGCTCTTCGCTCATATTATTTTGGTCTCTAACTTGTTGGTAGTCAGAAATATCTTCGAAATCACCCTTATAATATGCTAATATGTTTTCCTCGATGTTTTGTACTTTAGGAGAGTAATTCTGATTCCAAGATTTAAAATACGGCTGCTCAACGTTAATAGAATCACATTGTTGCAATCTTTGATGATGTTTTGAGTAATAGTCTGATTGCTGCATTCTCTTTACGTGCGTGTATGTAGAATCCAAACTGATATTGCTTTCTCGCGATGAATTTACATTTGATTGCTGATACTTTGTGTGACAAAGAATGCAGCCTGGATCTGCAATGTATAGTTGTTATAGAAATAATTGAAATACAAAAATAATACGAAACCATAAAATTCAAATTTTTATAAAATATTTATATTAAAATAATTATTGAATTAACAATTTTAAAAGATTGCATTAATTAACCTGATTGAATTGCAAAGTGCTGAATACAACGTTGGCACAAAATATGTCCATTAGAGCAAGAAACATTTTGATTAAGATAAGAATTTATATTTCCAAGACAAATAGTACAAAATCCAAGCATTGAGTTTCCTTGTTCCTCGTTTTCTTTCTTCTTATCTTGTTCATCATTTAGTTCTGTTTCTTTGACTGTTGGAATTCTAAGTGTCCTCGTTTCATCATTTTGTTTTTTCAGTTCTGCATGCTGAAAGAATTCTTTCATGCTATTGTTACATTTAACCAAGCTGTAAATTACTACTTTTAAATTTGAAAAGCTATTCAAAATATAATTTCTTCATTTAAAGTAGCTAAAATATATGTTTATAAAAAAAAGGTGTATTTGAAATATATAAAAAAATTTATTGTGTATTTAGGACATAAATTAGTCTTTCCTTTAAAAGAGAATTTTGATGGTGAGAAATTAATACGTAATTCAATCTATTTATTCACAGTTTCGGAATTCGTCTCCCTTGAATATTAAATCACATGCCTCGTTCTGATTCTTTATTAAATTGCAATTTGCTCCATTTTCAAGTCGCTGATTCTCTTTTTCCATCTTTTTCTTTGGATTCTCGGGTCAGCTCATGTATCTCTTCAAACAATAACTCTTTCAATCTTTGTCTATCGTATTTCGACGTAGTACGCTCTCTTTACTATAAAATGTTATGAATATTATTGTGTAACTTTTGCTATCCTAATCTAGGCAAAATAATAATTTCCAAAATTTTGATATGAAAATTATATGAATATCTTGTTTACTTATTTATTATTATCGTTTACAAAACTCAGATGTTTATATATTCAATTTTTTTTTTTAATTTATACGCGAAAAGATAAATTACAAAAAAATTTTAATTTTACAGAAATTATGTACATAACACTTTTGGTATAATGAGAGATTTTTATAATGAAAAATTCAGATAATTTACCAAATTTGAAAGTCTTGGCTAGTATGTCATCAATGTTGTTTTATTATTTTTAGAAAACTTCTCCAATTTGCTTGGCTTCGATAGGTTCATAGACTACTTTTATAAAAATATAATATTTTCGAACGAATTATTTAAATCAGCGTATAAAATATCTGTTCATGAAAGCTTTTTATTTTCAGCTCGCTACAATTTATTAATTGAGAACTTTTATGTGTACTGATAATGTAAACTTCGATACGTATGATTTGCCGATTAGATTTGAGAAACCATTTTGACACCTATCTTCTTTCTCACTTTCAAATATTTAACAACCCTTCGAAGAAACATGTTTTTTAACGCATTATTTTTTTCCTATTTTTGTTTAGAGATTTATTTAAAATTTATTTTTTCCAAGTTTTTATCGAACAAATACATCGAGAAATTTATTAATTAATTTATTTATGTTGACTATGTTATTTATAATTTAATTATAAAAATTCTTATATTTAAATATAATAAAATTATATATAAATATACAAGTTTAGAAATTTTACTATTATTATGCAAAATTACTTTTCTTATTGTCAGTTAATCGCATTTGCATACGCATGATAGCTATTCAGTATTGATAAGTTGCTGATGAAAAACAGTTATCTACTATACATTAAAAATTGTTTATAGGTAATATCAACGTTAATTTCAACTATTATGTTAAAATTTAAAAATTATATTTTCATCTTGGAAGAAAATTGGAGTCATATTTTTAATTATTTTGTAATTTTTTAATATTAATACGAAGATAATTTACATTGTATATTCGATGCATAAAATAGATTTTATTGTTTTTATTAGCAATTCATAGTTTAAAACATTAATGTTGTATAGAAAATCACTGTTATCAAAGTAGTCACTACTTAGTAAATACTTAGTTCATAATAATCATTGTATTTAGTATGATTAAAAAAATTTTTAACATAAATTAGGATATTGCGAAATATACGAAATTTTTTAAACACAATAAATAATATATTGGCAAAATGATCTGTAAAACGGGAATATTTCAAAACTGTATAAAATGTTTTAATAGACTTCATTTAAATTACAAATTCCTTGATGCAATATTTTGATAACATAATAGTACTTCAGAGAGAAGTTCCTAGAATATATTAAGTGCTGAACAAAAATTTTATTATATTTTATAAATATAAAATTTCTACAACATGAACAAAGTCTGTAATAAACATACAGAACTGATAAAAGCATTACATATATGTAATTAATAAAGCATGCTAGGCATAAACCAGAATGAAAAATAATTTAATACACAACTAAATACAAGGACAAACTATGTACTTGTTACAAAATATTATCATAAATATACAAATTTTTTGACATAACATCTTTTTTTATATATACATTATAAAATTTCAAACTCAGTTAGTATATTTGATATGCACGAGACTTGCATACATTCTGCACTACTAAAACCTAATTTTTAAACAATTTTTTTCCATATTCACATTCACATTTACAATTCATATTTACGTATTCTATTAGGTATATATCAAACAAAATTTATACAATGAATATTACTGAATTTGTATATAACTGAAAACAAAAAATAGCACAATTTTTCATTTATAAAATTACTTAAACATATAAAGAAAATTATGAGATTTGCAATATATCACATATGTTTAATTCGATTGTAACTTTTATTCTTTATTTTGTAGACTTGAAAAACAAATCATCTTTCAAATTTACTAATTTTCCTACACTTGAGGTTTTTTTGTGATTTAAACGTAAGTCATCTGACCACATAAAATTTTGTTTTTCATCTAAGTTAATCATACTCAAACTTTTATTTCTACTATTAACAAACGAATTATCTTTCTCAAATAGTGATAACAATGGTAATTCGTTAATATTTAATTGTTTTTTTTTCGATTCTGAAACAGGAGATTCACTACGACCAGTTAAATTTCTATTCAAACAATTTTCACTCGATAAATTTACAACCGATTTTACTTTTATTAGAGAACTGGCACTAGGAGATAAGAATTGTGTAGAATTAGACATCGATTGTAAATTTATTTTGCTTAAGCTATTTAATTGTGCATCATGAACTTGTTTTGTAACGTTTAGGCCATTATCATTAGTTTTTTTTGTCTTAAACGTATTATATTTTAAATCTGTAATATCGTCAAATTTGAAATTCTCAGTCTTATGATCTACAATATTACATAAACTTTGATGTTTTTCTATGGAACTAGTATCAAGATTTAAAGATAAAAAAACATTGCTATTACTTTGAGATTTGTTATTACTAAAACCAAAATTGAAAATATTATTTGGCACATATTTTGCTATACTTTGACGTATACCCTTTTCTGTAACTTTCGGGCCTAAAGTAAGTATATTTGTTTTTGTAGGAGTATTATTTAAAGACTTTGATACATTATTTTTTAAATTACTTTTGTGTTTGTTTAACATTACTGAATCAATAATTTCACTTTTTACTGAATTTGATTCTTCAAAATATGTCGTCAAAGGCTTATTTACAAATGAACTTTTCAACATTTGAAGATCTTTTAATAATTTTTTCGACTGATTTAAATTTTGCATAAAGTGATCTTTATCATGCAAAAATTTATAATTTAATTCTTGTATGAAATTATTTGATTTTGCATTTTCATCACTGTAAAATTGTAAATCGGACGTACTTTTATTTTTATCACCATCAAGTACCGAATTATCGATGGTTAAATTATTATTCAAATTTCCTATGTTAGCTCCTAGTTCGAATTCCCATTGCGACGATATTGCTTCGCTTCCATCAACTGACCTTTTTCCAAGAGTTTCAGTATCTTCTTGTAATTGACAAATATTCTGTAACATAAGAAATTTTTCATTGGCACATAAATTTTTATTACAACAAAAATAATGAAGTACTGACATTATAATCTTGCATTCTATTATACTTCTTCAGTTGATTATTCATGGAATCCTTTATTTTATTGCCATTTAATTGGTTAAATTCTACATTATAATTTGAAATCTTTTGTGGACTAACTAATTCTGCACCAACACCTGGTTCTCGGGGTCCATTAGCTATAAAATCTAAAAATACAATTTAAAAAATGCAATTTAACTATAAATAATTATTAAGTAAAATAATTAAGGAAGTAGTATGTACCATAATCTCGACGTTGTTGATGTATTTGATTACTAATTTCTTCTAGTCTACGAAGACTTGCAGCATAATTAGTCTTTGCATCTTGTATTGCTTTCTGTAAACATTCGACTCGTTCTTTTTGAGTTGCCAACATTTGGTCACAATGTGCTTTAAGTTCGAAATATGGTCGTGCTTTTATTATAGAACGGCGATGTTTTTCCTCCAATTGCAACAGTTTTTTTTCAGCGTCATGAAACAGTACCGCTCTTCTGTAATGTTCTCTGCCACACTCTGCTTTTTGATTTTCAGCATCCATGACCTAGGTCACAATGTGATCAAAATTAAATAAATTAAACTTTATTTTTTATTTTCTCTTGTCATTATCATTATATCATTCATTTTATAACTTACTTTAAGCGTTGCATGATTTAGCATATCTTGCCAAGCTTGATCAAAATTCCATTCATGTTGATGCGACACAAATCTACTTTCAGCCAATGCCACCGTTTCTTTTGCTGCTGCATGGATTTCGCTTGCTCTTTGAAATAATTGAGCTTGTTGTTGACATTTTATCTGTATTGAATTTTGTTGAATTATTTTCGAAAATCTAACAAACATTTTCATTATCTCACCTGAGCTTGGCGCGCTATTTCAAGTGCTTCATAATAACATCTTGCTTTCTCAACAGAACTATTTCCTATTTTATTTAATATTTCTTTTAATCTTTTGGTAGTTTCTGATAATAATTGCCTAAAAGCAGTGTGAGCTTCCTAGACAATAAACATTGCATTTTTTATTAATTCCATAAATTATTAAAGATTAAATATTATTTTTAATTATATATTTTGAACTATATCTTTATATCAAACCAGTATAAAAGTATAAGAAATTTTTAACTTCATTGTGTACAAAAATCAGTAACACTTACACCTAATTCAGTTTCAAGTTTATTTATGTCATCTGTGGCATCATTTAAGTTCTCCAATTCAATCTAAAAATGTTAAACTCGTTATTGCTTTTCCTTGAAAATAAAATTCAGAACAGTTTAGATAATTTTATGTAATACATTTTTTTAATATTAAACTCTCGTAATAACAATTTAGATTATTTAATACTTTTAATATTCCAAAAAATTGTGACTGGTTCTTTTTATACATTTTTCATAAGATATCATTTTTAACTAAATTTCATAGAAGTATTTTTTTAATAATACTTAACAGAAATTAATATTTACAGATCTACTCAATAAAAAATAATATTACAGTAATACATTTTCGTGTTTAGTAAATTACAAAATAAATTATACTCATTAAAATAACAATAACAATAATTATAACATAATATCGTAATAAAGACTGTTGTTATTTTGTTACTAACTAGTGAAATTAAAGAAACAAAAATACACAATTGCACGTTATAATAAATTGTTTGCGGCAATAAAGATATATGTTAAACAATTCTTGTAAGAATATTATCAAAATGACAATTTACAATTGATTGTTTGTATTTCTTGTTCGATAGAAAATTGAGAATAAAAACGAGGTGAAAGCAAAGTGGAACATGGTACCAGGCTGTATTAGTCTGTTACGAACATTTAGTAATCATTTACTTACGTATGTAACCTATAACAGGCAAATATTTCTTTAAAAAACTGTATTTATCAGTTTATCGAAGACAAATGGGAAAAAATTGTCTCAAAGAGGATAATTACCTGTATACGGGGATCTAAAGCTTCGTCGACGTTATCCGTAACATCCATTCTTTAATTTTTGTCACATTTAAATGACTTGACTCGTCATCACTCGACTTGGTTCAGCTTAATTGTTACAGGTTTATGTGAATGTACATAATTGTGCAAATTATAAATGATCTTCATAGCAGTCGACGTGCAACATTGTTTGTTGTCACTTCAAATATTGAAAAAAAAATATAAATTGTTAAATTGTACGTAACATTTGAGATTTCTAAAAAGTTGCTAACAATAAGTGTTAAGCCGAGCTATATATAGGCGATACATAGTATACTATATTAGTGAATAAACACTATATATAGACTATGTAATTTTTCCTTAAATCCAATGAACGTGCATAACTGTCTTTTTCTTTTCTTTTTTTTACAAGCTATCAACTTTGTAAGTAATATAAACAATATAAATAATGAATCCTTAAATGAATCATTGAACGTTCAAATAACTTGTAACCTTGTTTTATCTTCACTACTCTTTTGTAATGTAACTGTGCATACATTACAACTGTTTGTAATAAATCTTGTAAAGTAGTTCTTTTAACTTAATTTTAAATAATTTTAAGATTTTCATAAAATAATTTTAAAACTATTTAAAATTAAATTATATATATATATTTTTTAAGTTTATTTAATAAATTAAAAATAGTAAACTGGAATTTTACTATCTAGCTAGAGAATTCAGAACAAATTGTTTTGAAATTGAAATATGCTTTCTAAAAGTAAATGTTAGTTTTAAAGTAATCCAATAAATTTATAATCTATGGGAATCCCTACAGTAAAGTACTTTATATTCTGAAAGTTGTCCATTCTGTTGGCTTATAGTCTCTAACATGGCTATTTAAAAGTTAAAGTACTGCATATAAACAATAATCATCTAATTACTAATACAATATATTATTAAAAAAACAAAATTACTTAACTAAGTAAAATATTATTTACCTTTTTTCTTATGTACAAATTTGTATCTTGTGTTTCAATTTGTATTTCAATTTTATTCATTTCGTCTAATTTTTTATATGTACCAATTACAATATTTTAATTATAAATTACAAATTTTGTTACTATTGTAAACGTTTTGTTTTACAAATTATTTTTGTTATCACTTTTATGTATTATCTAGATATATTTTTGTGCTAGCAGTTGGTAACTCTTCATTCATATATATATATATATATATATATATAATGGGTAACTTAGGCGGGAGTTTCTTAACACATCGGATATTCTTACATTCAGTTAAATTTGTTCTCTAATTGGTTTGAATTTGTTTTATTTTCAAATAGACGTTAGAACTTTCAATCATTTGTCGAAATGGAAAATAAGGATTGTGATGTGAAAGTTCTTATTTCTAGTGACACAAGTTCGGTTACAGGTAAAACATTTTTCAAATTATTATGAAAGCAGTGAAACAATTGCATGCTCGATTTAAAAATTCACGTTAGAGATTATGAAATTAAAGATTTTCTTTGAAAGAAAAATTAACGTGTATTATAATATTTGCAATAGTAAGAAAAGATTGTTAATTTTCTATTTTTACTTTTTGCACATGAAAAGACAATTCCAAGAGCATTGTAGACAATGTAAAATTTAACAATGAGCCATTGGAGAAGATTACTGTGATAACTAGAAAAAAAAGGAAACGAGAAGATGATGAAAGTAAACGTTTAGCAGAAGAAAAATACAATCAGGAGAATCAAGAGCAACAATATAAACGATTAATGCATTTGTTACATAAAAGTAAATTTTACTCTTCTTATATTGTTAGTAAAATTGACAAAAGTTTCAATAACGAGGTCAACAAATATAATAGAACTACAAAAAGAAATACGAAGGAAGCAGAGTATGCAGATGAAAATATATCACCACAAGACAAAACAAAGAAGAATAAGAAGAATATAGAAGAATATCTATCTGAAGATGTAAGCAAGCACAATAGTATAATAATAATAAATATATATAATTTTTATGTTATTTTATGTCTTTAATGTTTCTTTTTCATACATATTGTTGTATATATATTTTTCAGATACAAAAGAAAATACATGCTAGTAAAAACAAATTGAATTTGAGTGATGAAAAGATTAAAAATGATCTGGAAGATGATCCTGAAAATGAAACAAAGAATACTGTTGAAACGTCAAAATATTTCATAGGAGAGTTACGAGATTATCAGAAGGAAGGACTCCAGTGGCTAAAGATTCTTTATGAGAATGGTATAAATGGAATTTTGGCTGATGAAATGGGGCTTGGAAAAACGATTCAAGTTATAGCATTACTGTGTCATCTAATTGAGAAACAACAAGATGGGCCATATTTGTTAATTGCTCCTTTGTCAACTTTATCGAATTGGATGTCAGAATTTAAAAAGTTTGCACCGAAATTACCTTTCGTGTTATTTCATGGAACACCAGAGGAGAGATTTAGGCTAAAATACAAAATTAGACGCAAATATGAGATTACAGAAACTTACAGTACATTTCCCATTGTACTCACGTCTTTTGAAACGCCCTTGCTTGAAAGCAGTTTTCTTAGATCTTTCACCTGGAGATATATAATTATAGATGAAGGACACAGAATTAAAAATCATAACTGTCAACTTGTTAAGTATGTTGTACAAAATTTAATTATATATACTATAAATATGTACAAAATTTAATTATATATACTATAAATATGTACTATAAATATTGAACTACAAATGATATAATTTGATATGATAATTTATTATTATTATTATTATTTTATAGGATTCTAAAAATTTGTAAGTCTATGAATAGACTTTTATTAACAGGCACACCATTACAAAATAATTTAGCAGAATTGTGGTCCTTGTTAAATTTTTTATTACCAGAAATTTTTGATGATTTAGCTGTTTTTGAATCCTGGTTTAATGCAAAAGACCATCAAGGTGATGAAGCAACAAAAAAGTTTTTAAAATTAGAAGAAGAAAAACGTATATTGTCAATATTACGTGAAATATTACAACCATTTCTGTTAAGACGTGAAAAGAGCGACGTTTGTTTGGATATTCCGCCAAAAAAGGAATTAATTGTTTATGCTCCTTTGACAGAATTACAACATAATTTATATAAGACGATATTGAATCATGATATAGATCAATTAAATAATATTGGACAAGATTTAATTACATACACAGAGGATGGCAAAAGACCTAAAAGAAAATCTGTCTTGAGAAATATGGATAATGTTATGAATACTAGAAGAGATAGCGAGACGTATAAAAACAAAAAATTTGAAAATGAAAATTTATTAATGTGGGAAAAATACACTGATGTTACGGACCTTAATAGAGATTTCCTAATCAAAATTCGCAGTAGACATGGTAAATTATTATTTAAGATAAATAGTATAACATATATTAATCATTTTTTTAATGCTTATCTTTTCATTTTTTCAGTTAGTCTGTACAAAAAAATTGTAAATCACCCATATTTAATACATCATCCATTAGGCTTAGATTTATTGCCAAAAATAGATGAAGAATTAGTTAGATCATCTGGCAAGCTCTTAGTATTAGATGCAATGCTCGCAAGACTTAAACAGCAAGGGCACAAAGTTTTATTATTTTCTACGATGACAACGATACTAGATATTATAGAAGATTATCTTTCTTTACGTGATTATAAATATGTTAGATTAGACGGCAAATTTAAGTTTTTGGAGCGAGAAGAAAACATTCACAATTTCAATACAAATTCTGAAATATTTCTCTTCCTTATATCTATAAGAGCTGGTGGAGTTGGATTGAATCTTGTTGGAGCAGATACTGTTATCATATATGACTCTGATTGGGTATGTTGTTATTTGATTTATTATTCTTATCTAATTTCTTATCATTAATGAAGTGTAAAGATCATAATATTACATTATTAATCAAAAATAATTTAATCCCATGTCCAGAATCCTCAAGTAGATATACAAGCTATGGCACGCTGCCATAGAATAGGTCAGACACGACCAGTAATGATATATAAATTATGTACCAAAGGAACTATCGATGAAGCAATTCTTAATGTTGCTGAAGCAAAACGCCTTCTAGAAAAAGTAGTAATTTCCAAACACGTTCAATCAGTAAATGTAAATAACAAATTCGATTTACTGAAATTACAAGAACTTCTAGAATCAAAAACATGTCAAGTTGCATCTGAAAATGAAGGTAAATGATTGAAGTGTACATTTCATACGATTTTAATAACTAATTTTTTATAATTTTTAATACAGTTTTTACAGAGGAAGAACTTAACAACCTATTAGATAGAAGTGAGTTGTATAAAAAACAAGGAGAATCCTAAATTTTAAATTAAATCATTAAATTTTTAACTTCAATTGAACCTCAATTTTTTTCTTAAAGAGGATAATAAAATATAAAAATATAAAAAGATAAGAAGTTGTTATAAGATAGTTTTATATTATTATACACTATATAATATTTGTATGATATTTATAATATTATTATATATTTTTGTACTATTTATTACATAATACTAATTACTTCGATAAATTTATTAGTGAACTTTTATTAAAAAATAAAAAAAATATTTTTATACAGTAAATATTTGTATTCGTTATGCCCATAAATAATCATTAATTTCATAATTACAAAAATATAAAAAGTTTAAAATAATAAATATTAATTAAAAAAATGTCCAACATATAAAATAGCAACAATTGTACTAGTCTGAAATACTTATGATTTATTTAATTTTGTGCGTAAAAAATACTTCCCAGTTATATTTTTACTTTTATAAGATTGATTTAGTTGATCACGAAATTCAGCTTCCAATTTTGTATAAATTCCTCCTGCTTTGAATAGTATTGTTTGTATTACATTAAACTAAATAGTATTCACTAAAAATATAATATAGTTAATATACCATTTAATTGCTTTTTTATCCGATTGTGTTTAGTAGATGATTTTAATAACGAATAAGAGTCTGTAGATATTCTTTTCGTTAATAGCGTTATCATTTGTAAAGCTGCACTTTCTTCAAAATCTCTTTGATTATCTTGATTGTGTCTTACATTTAAGTTACCACTCCATGATCGACCATTATTTCTAGAATTATTTCATATCAATAAACACGAATGATTTAATCAATTTTAAATAATAGTGTAAATTTTTTTTCATACAACATTAAATACCTCCATATGATTTCATTTCTTGATTTCTTCTTTATTTTACTTTTAGATTTTAATGAAGGCCACGCGTAAGATTCTTCACTGTAATTTGATTCTTCATCAATACTACTATTTTCATAAGTTGTAATACCATCATCAATATCACTATCCGTCATCGAAGACGTAATCGATGAAGTGTCTGTTGTAATAGAAATTTGTTGACGAATCTTCTGCGACGATTTTTGTAGATCTTGCATCTGAGATATTCGTCGGAATCCTGAACCACTCCAAATTTTTCCTAAATGTTTTAAAAGTTTATCGCTAGGTTATTGCCTAGAAATCTTAAGAAATATTAATTTACCTAAAAGTCCAAGTCTTGGTCGCTGTGGTGTAAGTTCTATACCGATCCACCACATTATATCTTTGCATATTAATTTCCCCGGTTGAAGTGACGCGTCACGAGCTACTAGTCTTGTAATTTTCTCTGGGAAAAATAATTGTGGTGGTTCCATACCTATTATTTCCCTATGTACTGTAAAAATATTCAATACATTTATATCTCTTTGCGTTCTAATATTCGGGATATGTTCCTGAGGGAAAAAGAAAATATTATATAGAAATAATTCGATAGTTACTACGATATATATGTATATATATAATTACGAATTTTAAAAATTTTCAAAATTCAAGAGATACTAACAAATGCATACCCTATACCTACAACCTTCATAATTTGGTAATACTTCGAACTTGTATGCTCGTTGACTGCAACACGGATATCTGCCCAAAGGGAATGGTATAGACCGCTGTTGCTCATTAATAAAAAATTGTGGAAATTCTGCGTGATAGCAGCACCACTTAAACTGATGCATTGGAAAATATATATTACACTGTGTACAAAATAAAAAATGACAATCACCCCAGAGTCTCCAATAAACTTTACGCCAAGAACGCAATTCCATTCGAAGAGTAACAATGTAATCATTTAAAGTCCATGTTAAATCTCTGTAACAGAACATGGATTTTATTGCAACTATAAATTTTGAGTCATATTAAGTTTAAATATTAAAGTCATACCTTACGTGTTTACTGTGAATATTTCCCTGGTTATCAATTTTCATTGCACTTGGAACACATGGCACATAATTAGAAATTGATTGAATAATATTTTTCCCACATTTGCTGCATTTAAATAAAGTAGCTAAAGAACTATAGTGTCCTCTTTTATTATCTGGTATTCCTTCAGCAAGTGACATAATTAACTTACAAAATAATTTACTTTGAATTTTATCCTTTTTGTCTTTTAATGCTTCAACGTCTTCATTTGTAAATTTTTCTACCAATCTGAAGAACAAATATTAATTAAATGCAATATATTATAAATCAATTAAAAATAAATATAGCATCTAAAGTATTTGAAAATGTGTAGAAGTAAAACTTAGAAGTACCTTATCAAAAGATTATCATTTAAACCAGTTATCGATGTCTTTAATATATCGGATATATTTTCATAGCAATATTGCAGGCAACTTTCCAATAGCGATTCCATTTGTAAAAATGATGCAGACACCATAATTGGAATGACATTATTGATTTCCAAAGTTGGCCATTCAGATTTTTTTAGAATATCTTTTTTCACCCATCTCATTAGCCAGTCAAAAATTGTAACATCACAGTGAACTGATATATCTATTTCCTCTAATTTTTGTCCTACTGTCACATCAGCGAAATAACGCATCTTTTGAATAAGAAGTTTCTGAGAGCAATGGAAACTTTTTTTAATGTTTTTCTCTTCATCGCAAACATGAATTTCCACCTCATTGCTATACAAGCATATAATAAATTGTTATTAATTCATTCTATAAAAAATTATTTTTAAAATCAATATTCAATTTAATTTCAATCAATATTAATTATTGATACTTACTCGACCAATCTTTTACTTGATTTATTTTTATCTTTCTCTTTTTCTTTATGTGCAATATTTGTAATTGCTCTTGTCTCGATATTATTACTCAGTGAACTACATTTCTTCACTTCTGTATTTATAATTGATTTTTTAATAATAGGTTGTGAAATAACAGGCTTTGGAATCATGTATGGCAATATTGAATCTAATAAACCTTCGTGTAATACATCACTTAAATTTGTCTTCATCAATGAAATTAAAAAATTTTCTGTTGCATCTACAGATCTTGCAAAGTTTGCATCTTCTATTTGTAGTGGACTTTGTACAATTTGATTGCAACTTTCAAGATTAGTTACTAAATTCTTATTATTGCTACATATCTGTTTATTTTTAAATTGTATATTTGAAGGTATCATACATTTAATATCGTTATCATCTGTATCAGACAAAGTTTCTTCTGTTACACTACTGTTTTTATGTCTCTGCATGACATTACTATCAACGTATTTGTCATTGGTACTACTATGATTTTGTATATCACAGTGTAAATTAATTTTTGCTAGTTTGCTCCAATCAAGCTTGTTTCTTGCGGCCAATATTGCAGTCAAATTTTCACAATTGTCATTAACTTGATACACAAGTTTTATAAATTCAAAAAACATTCCAATCGTTAACTTTGATTGACTGCAATCCTCAAGTTTACAAAATATTTCTAAAAAAATCAGGAGCGCATATTCCTTATTATTTTATGTTAAACTGATATGATGAATTTGTAAATGATAATTTTTCCCAACTTCTTTTTTCAACTACATTGGCTAAACATGGCTTAGGCGTGAAAATTAGGCAATAAGGATAAAATGAAAAGTAATAAATATCAAATACAATGATCTGAAGTTATATGATATATGAATTAGTTTGTAAATACATACTTTTTTTGGTTGTTGAACCACACATTTCTAACAATTTGTGTATATTCTCTTTTAGAGACAAGTTAGTAATCTGATTTATTTCCATTTTTTTTAATAAATACAAATTTATTTTTAAAATTTAATTACAATCTATCTTTATATATTCATTGAATATAATTTAGTTTACAATTGTATTCAATAATTAGTCGTATAAATTAGTTATTTATATGTGAAACTTTCATTTCAATGCAATTCTTAATTTAATGAAAGTATTCGTATCTCTAACTTGAAAATTAGAACAAATCCTTCGATAATATTGACAAAACAATAGTATCCTCGAGTAAATTTGTTTATTTTGAGAATTTACAATGAACATTTTCAATAATTTGAATTTGAATACAATTCATACTTAATTGATATAATATTTCATATTACATTTATCCAACGAATTTATCGTTATAATAAATTTTTTTTTTTACATTAGTAATTGATGTATGAGATAATACATATGTGTGTGTGTGTGTGTGTGTGTAATATATATGTATGTATGTGTGTATATAATATCACCAAAAAACAACTACATAACTATATGCTTGAAAAATCACATTCAAGTACATGTAATATTATACACATTACAATAAATAATTTTTTTAAGAAATTAAACTTATCAACCGTTTTAAATTACATTTGCCTAATGCTAGTTATTTTTACTAAAGTAAGTTGTTTTAATCTACAATATTTATTTTTATAAATATAATTGATTTTGTTCAAAAATTTGAAACATGTATAATTTTGTAAAAATGTTTCCCTTTTTTCATTTTCATTCTATATGCAGTCAATATAACTAAATGAAATCTAGGGAAATGATCATTTTCAAAACGCTGCTGTAGTTGTCCACGAATTTGTAATATCATTCATTATCGCGTTATGAATTAATAAGTTTCTGCGTTGCAATTTAGGATCTAAAAAGCGACTTTAATCGACTTAATATAAGAAGCCTGCCTATGACATTACTGCAACTGAAACTTTTTACATTCTACAATTTTTACATTCTCGTCGTTTAAATTGCATAGGAATTTTTTCTGTCTTTCAAAAGTGTGGCTACAGTTTTTCTCAGAAAGGAAAATATGTACGTACGTGAATTACAAACGTAACAAATGCTGTACGTAACAAATGGCGTACAATACGTGTTAAGAGTCTTGTTGTTATATTTTTTTTTTTAGCATAAACGAAACATCGACAATATTTTCAAAAATTTCGCGCAGTAACGGCTAGTCGTTATCACCTATTTTATCGTTATCACGCCGGACCAATCGTGTTGGACAAATGTGAAATAGCGTGAAAAGCCGGACATGCAATAATTTTTATACCCTACCCTAGGAAAGTGAGAGGAATAGTCACTCAGAGTAATTATGGGTGAGTTCAGGATATTTGCCTATGTTCTCCAATCACTGTTTAACACTTCATACATTTTTTTAGAAGATTCCACGGAGGCACAAAAGTGGCAGCAACATTTATCTCTATTGCGGGAGCAGTACGTTAATTTATATAATACAAACACAGAACTTCAACGCGAGTATGCTATTGTGACTGCAAATAAACAAGATACTGGATTTATTGGTAGACTCTTGACGACTATTGCATCCTTATACAGCCAACATCGTTATAGGTAATAAACTAACGTTAAATAATAATTGTGCAAACTCTGTCATTAACAAATCTATATCTTTAGCGATGTAATTATCAAATTGAAAGATCAAGAGATACCAGCACATAAATTCGTGTTATCTGCTAGAACAGATTTTTTCAGTGATTCAGTACTATCAGAAGTCACTATTTTAGGTAAAATGTCAAAATATTAAGTGAAACAATGAATGAATTACATATGTACAAATATTTATATTTAATAAGAGATACATCCTTTAGATTGGTCTTGCTTGGAGCCTAATGTTGGATTAGTGTTATTGAAATGGATATACACGGGAAAGGTGTCTCAAGAAAATTTAACGTTAGATTTAATGAAAGCAGCATCTAATTTTCAGCTGATGGAATTAGTTGAGCAGTGTGAAAAATATTTAATTGGAATTGTAGGACTCAAAAATTGTGTGCAATTATACGCAGTTGCTGAAGAATTGGGTACATTGAAATTGAAAGAGCATTGTAGCTCTTTGATTTCAGCACATTGGGTAAGGAGAAATACAAATAGAAATACAAATTACGCAACTTTAATTCTTTAATTGATCAAAATTTCATGTTGTTAGGAAGATTTAACAGGAGAAGACTTTAAGGAAATGCCTGGCTCTCTGTTGTACAAATTATTACAGACTAAAAGTAGATATCCATTACATGCTGCTGTTCGACTGATGAGGGAAGATGTGGTTTTTTTATATTTAGTGGAAAACAATTCAGAGGTAAGTTGCATATTTTAAATTATTACAAACATTTATTTATGTACAAATTTATTTGTTATGTACAATAGATCTTACAAGTACAATATTTTATGATACAAGATTTTATGACAATGATCATGTTTCAATCTTTTTACACTGTTCTTTTCATTTTTGTACATAATAATATTATCAAACTAATTTAATAATTACCATTATCACAGTAGATTGCTAAATACAGTATCAAAGGATTATTTCATTTTTTTATTCAAACTTTTATTAATTCACAGTTTCATAATCTATAAGAATGTAAAAAAAGTAAAGTAAAGATCGATTTTTATAACATTTTTTAAACAACGATGAAATATATTAAAAAATTTTTTGTCATGTTTAGTAAGTACTTAGAGGAAGAGTATCATAATAGTAAGTTAGTTGTAAACAGTAATACTGTTATTGATATAAAAATATGATATATATTGATGATTTCAATTGATTGTGATGAATTACATAAATGATGTCCACAAAAACAATATTCTGGTGGACCAGCTGGTGCTCCTCTATCTTCACCAATAAAACAACCTTCTTTGTAAGCGGACGTCACAATTTCTTCTTTATTTTGCCACTTATTATCACTATAGATCGGTACTGTACGTTTTTGAGGTGCACAGTCCCTTTCTACAGTTGTGATTATAGATGCTGGCAAAGATGATAAAATAATGAATATGCCAAACATGTTTCTTGATTTATACGTAGAAACAGTTTACTTACTTTTATATTTGGAATAAATAGTTCTTTTTCTGCAAAGTGTGGATGAAGGACAGTGCACTTGAAACCGAAGACTTTTATCAAATTGAGAACATAGTAAATCAGTTTTTTCATGTCCTGGTTGTGATGCATAACATTTAAAACATACGATACCCTCCGCAGTTATTTGCATCATTATTGCAACTAAAAATATTATATATTCACAAGATATGGTATTAATTATTTTGTGTAAAGATAGGTTAGGCGCAAACATACATAGATAAACTATAGCAATGAACAAAGTCTTTTTTGACTGTATTTGGAAAGTCATCTCAAATGCAATATAGTTAAATTCAACAATACTATTTACACCTGTTTTAATGTAAATTTTTATTTATATTTATTTATCTTGCATTTCAATTCGTCATTGTCATTATGCAAACCTGAAACAATTTTTTGAACAACATAAGTTTATCTAACATTAGAAAAAATAATATTTGGAAATAAAAATGATTTGATATAAACACTCGTTAGAATTGATTGTATCTTCTACAATCGTAGTAATTATTGTAGTTTGAATGTACGTAGCTATATATATTTGTGGTAGACGTAACAAAATAATTTTCTACATTGATTCTAGTTTATATTCGATAAAGATGTTAATAGTCTTTGATATATGTTAATAAAAAAAAGCATTTAAAAAATTTATTTCATTGATCGAGCAGTCACAAAAGTGAAAGCTGCTAATTTTTCAAAATGAAAAGAAAATAAGTATTGATCGAACAGTATAGGAAAGATCTCTGTCGAATTCATACTTGTTTGTTTAAAAAATTCAGAATATCGTGAAGAATTCAGTGTCTACGCTCGATTCCATCGTAAGACAATAGATCATACTCGATCGAACACTTTCACACATTCTGAAACAACACTCTTTATTAATATTCACTAAACGTCACATAGCGATCGTAAGATTTCGATTAACAGTTTCTCGCTCCGCTACGAGGAAATATGCCTCTTTCAGAAGCTGATTGCGGTTAGACGAGTCTATCACATGCCACATCATGGTTTTTCTATCCTTTACAGACCACTGTTTCTGTTGAATCAGTGTACAATCTCCATATCCTCTTCCGTTTTAATCGTTCATGCTGTCTATGTGTATTCCTCAATACCAACTATGCCAGCACTATACGTGCACGGGCAACATCCGCTGGGCGTATCACGTTGTATGTTGTATATCTTTTGCATAAAATCGAAACAGTGGTTCTCAATCAACTGTGTGTGTGTGTGTGTGTGTGTGTGTGCGCGCGCGCGCGTGTGTGTATCACGAAACTTTAAAATTCCATTTACAAATTTCATTATTTTAATACAATTATAAATTAAATGTATATAAAGTAGATTATTATAAGCAACTAAACATTTTATTATTTCAGTTAACGAAAGCTGTTAATGCCTTGGATTACAAAGGAGAAATGCCCTTGGAAGTTGCATTAAAAACTCGTCAACCATCATTGGCGCGTACTTTAGTCGAACACGGGGCCGACTTAAGCGCAAAGGATTCAAGAGGTCTTTCCTTGCTCCAAGCTGCTATTTTCAAAGGGGATTCCTACGCGGCTGATTTTATAATAGAACAACTGGAGAATAATGGGAATACAAAAGAGTTGTGCGAGACTATGAAACCTGCTGTGAATGCGAGAGACATAAAAAATCTTGAAGAACTTGACGGATGTACTGCGCTGCATTTGATAACAAAGCATAATTCAGAAAATATGTTAGCGGTTGCATCTAGATTACTTCAAGCCGGCATTGACCCTAACTTACAGAATCACAGAGGATGGTACGATTGTTTGATTATTTTTGGTTTTATAGCTACCTCATGGAGAATCAATATATGTATATTTTAAAAGGAAATTAACAGAATCTGAAGGAATAGAATTTGCGTGAAAATTAAAACTAACATTGATTCAATATTAGTAATCCATAATTGAGATTCTGAGAGAACTTTAAAACGTATGTTAGAAGTAGAATCTGCACAGAGGTTTTACTCACTAAGTGCTTAAGTTCTGACAAATGCTTAAATATTTGCAGTTCTAAGGCGTTATAAGGCATTAAAAGTATTAAACTTTTAATCGAAGACTCTTCATTGTTGATTTTTATTCTTACAGGACTGCCTTACACAGTTGTATTCAGGACAGAAACGAACCACTTTTTGATATTTTACTAAAATGTCAGGATATAGATTTGAACAAAGTTACCAATAATAATGATACTCCATTATGTATCGCGATGAAAACAAATCCATTTAACGAATTTTTTGCTAAGAAACTACTAGCCAAAGGTGCAATTGCAAATCCTGTACACAAGAATACAGGAGATACTTTACTACACATTTTGATAAGGGAATATAAAGAAGAAGCTGCTTTATTTTTAATCGATTATTGTAAGGATAACTTAATGCAAAAGAATAATGAAGAATACTCGGTTTTACATGAAGTTTGTAAAGTTGGTTCAAAGAATTTAACACGAGCTTTATTGAAAACTGGCTTCCCAGTCGACGAAGTTGCATTGTCTACTGGTGATGCACCAATACATATTGCTGTTTCAAATTTGTATTTTGATATTGTAATGGAATTATTAGACGCACCTAATTCAAACACCCAATTGAATTTAAAAAACAACGCGAACGAAACTCCTTTAAGTTTGGCTATTAAAGCACCGTTCAAAAAGGGCAAAGACATAGTTTTAGCTTTAATAAAGGCTGGAGCAAATATCAACCAGTGCAATAATGAAGGTTTAACATTGTTGCATCAAGCAATATTAAAAGAGGATTCGGCGACAGCGATCTTTTTATTAGAAAATGGTGCCGACATGAATACTAGGTAAATAGCACTGATCTTAAACATTTTAAAAACAATTACATTTATTTGATATTGTGGAATTACACTAAAGAATTTAAAATCTGAATCTAAAAGTGAAATTTTATTTCACTTAGAACGGCAAACGGAGAAACACCGCTACAACTTTCTGTACACTGTAGACTAGGTGAAGTTGTAGAAGCGCTTTGTAAAAGAGGTGCAGATACTTCTGTAGGATGTCCATTGTGGGATGCACTGGATTCAGATCAAGAAGATGTAGCATCTATTCTAGTTAAATATGGAGCAGACACTGATTGTTGGGGTCTTGGTCCAGATGATTGCCAACAAACCCTGTTACACAGAGCAATTGACCACAACAAAGAGGATATTGCACAATTCCTTATAAGAAGGTATGTGAACTCTAAATTAATAATAATTATGATATTAAATTCTAAAATGATATATGTTGCAGTGGCTGTGATTTAAACGCACCTAGAAAACCTGGCCCAGATGGTGCTGGAGGCGATGAATCAAGAGATGAGTGTACTCCACTACATTTATGTTGTCAGTGGGGGTTAGAACAAGTTGTACAAACACTTATTGAACACGGTGCTGACGTAAATGCTAGAGATGTCGAGGGCAAAACTCCGGTTCACGTAGCCATACAAAATCAACATTCACAAATTATTTCTCTGTTGCTTTGTCATCCTAGCATTGATTTAAATAAACGAGATAAGAAAGGTTTAACGCCATTTGCAACAGCTCTAACATTTCGAAATAACAAAGCCGCTCAAGCTATACTGGAACGCCTACCTAAAGCTGCTGAACAGTATGACAATAAAGGCAGAAACTTCTTACATACTGCTATTCAAAAGAATGATATGGAAAACATATTGTTTCTATTGTCTATACAAGTGAATAATGTTTTTATAGTTTTGAATGTATATTTATTTAAAATTTGGATGTTTTTAAAAAAAACTAACCAAACAAAATAGATATACAATGAAATTATTCTTATTTTATAGGTAGATGTAAATTCTAGAGTTCATGATGTTACACAAACTCCACCTTTACATCTTGCTGCAATTTCTGGAAATGAAATGTTGGTGAGAAGTTTAATATTGGCTGGTGCACGTGTTAACGATACAGATGCAAACAGAAATACTGCATTGCATGCTGCTGCTAAAGCTGGTCATGCAGCAATTGTATCTGCTTTATTGCAGGTGAATACAATAACTTGTACATGTATACAGGATATTTAAAATATGTAGAAAATAATATAAATTAAATTATTTAATTTCTTATTTTAGAACAATATTAATTTTGATGCTGTAAATGCAGATGGTGACAATGCATTGCACGTAGCTGTAAGAGAAGGTCATGTATCAGTGGTGCGAACACTTTTGACTGAATGTACATTGGATGCAGAAGCTGTAAATCTTAAAGGAAGAAATCCCTTACACGAATTAGCTAGATGCGGAAAAGATAATGCCGCAAATATATGTGAACTTTTCTTGGAATGTATGTCACAATATCCAGTGAACAATGCAGGTAAAGGCTACTTTAAAATATTAATATTTTTAATAATATTTATGTTAAAACATTTTATTGAAGAAAAATAATATTTCCGCTAAATTCCTGATATTACATGAAATTTTAAAAAAACATGCAGTATTATTTTATTGTAAAATAAATTAAACGAAATATTTTATTTAAGATTTGGATGGTAATACTCCATTACTGATAGCTTATATGAAAGGAAATGGCCAACTTTGTCGTATTTTGGTAAAGGCTGGTGCATGCTTAGGTTCTATGAATAAAGAAGGCATTACAATTTTCAATTATCAAGTAGCAACAAAACAATTATTATACAGATTACTAGATTCCTTGACACAAGAAGCACCATGGGCAGATAAAGATCTTTGTCTGGAATGTGGTACAAAATTTTCGCTCACAATGCGAAAACATCACTGGTATAAAAATTTTAAAATATTGGGATAAATTTATAAATCAGTATATTTAAGATTTGTCTAAAACTATTTTTATTGTTTCTAGCCGCCATTGTGGTCGAATTTTGTGCAATAAATGTTCAGATCAAGATGTTCCAATTGTAAAATTTGGACAAAATAAACCTGTGCGCGTTTGTGCAGTATGTTTTGATGTATTGCAACTAGGTGCTGAATGAACAAAACGTTAAATAAAGAAAAATACATATTCATATGTAAATAAAATAAATATCATTCCACATGCATTTTTCATAAAAAAAAGTATACCAAAAATTTATATCATTTTATGTGAACCATAATATTTTACTGTATTATGTAATTATTCTTGTTGAAACTTTGTTAAATTTATATAGGTATTAAATTTTAAATACAGATGACAGGAGCATTGACAAAAGTTAATATTTATTGATATATTAGCATTTATTCCTAGCATTACTTATTTAACTACAATGCGTTGAATTAATTTGTAACATTTTTATAATAAAGATCATACATTTGTAAATAATAATCTTATTTTAGCTTATTGAAAAGTGTTTTTGCTACGCAATGGTCTACACACTCTACATAATCAAGTAATTCTTCCATACAAGTTTCTTCCGTTTTACTTCTTGAATTTACACGTTGGTTACAGGTATCCAGTTTCTCTTGCAAAGCAGCACATTTCTGTGTTGAACATTTGTCCTAAGAGGAAAACAATCATGTATTTTTACGCTGAATTTACATTTTACATATAAAAAAAATAATTTTGGAGAATTAATATTTACAAATATAACTTAATTAATACACTGTAACAGTGTAGTAGTATAACAGTAAAGTTTTAAATTAAAAATATTGAAACATATATTAACGTTACTTTACAATTAACAAGCGAAATTTTAATGACAAAGAGGTTACTCTAGAATTTTTAACTTTGGAAAATATAGGATTAACATATCAATGATATGTCAATTATAAAAATTGTCAGTCGTTTCATGCAAGGTAAATTGATTAATTGACTTATATGCAATACAATGATTAATGATTATTTAAAAGAATAATTTCAGTAATAAATAATAATTATAAATATAAAATCTCGAGAGAATGAAGTTTTGTATCGTTGGAACAAATATTATATAACAATTTTTACTTACACGAAGTACTGTTTGAGGATCAATCAATTCTTCTTCCTCTTCTTCTGCTTTTACAGTCGGCGTGTAACGTTGAAGAAAGTTTTGTAAGAAAGACATATTTTTCAAAGGTAAATTGTATTTCACGGCTGTAGTGAATTAACTTTGAACATGCGCGAATTTTCCAGTTTGTTATATAGCATTTAACAGATAGAAAATATTGGCCCGAATCGCATGTCTTACAGATGAACTATGCTTAATGATAGTCTAAGAAGCTTAGGTACGATTTCTATAAATATATATATATATGTATATGTATCAATTGTAATAAATAAAACATCGAAAATATTTAAGCTACACCATAGACAAATAAATTGTCTCTTTGAGACAGAAATAAGCACATTTAATTTGTTGAACTTAAATTATTAATCGGATATTTTTTTATTTAAATTTTCAGGTTTATAAATTACTAAACAGGAATAGCAATTATAGTACAACGGAGTAATTCCAAATAAAACAAGGAGATGACTTTACATAAAAAGCTAACTCGCAAAATATGGAAAAAAATGGAATAAAAATTTTTTATGCGGCGCTTTATTTTGGAGCGATGGTAGCAAATTTAAAAATTTGTTCGATACATATAAACACTGCTAATTGCTGACTATATAATGCGAATAAACATTTTACAAGACAAAAATAAATAAAAAAACGTGAACTGTAATTTTTCGAGGCTTAAGGTCTCGTTTTCAAGAAAATAGAGAGTACATGCGTGCTTGATAAATTTTCAAATTTCATTTTCTTGGAACGGTATTGCTCTATGGAAAAAGAGAGATGTATTCAATAGTTTTGATTTATTTCTACACGCTTTCGAATATTTATCTATCCAGTTTGGAATTGATCAGGTTTGAATATACTTGACAAATTTTTCAACTTGAGCTTTTTGAGAAAAAGTACTCGTACTTCAGCTTTATTCTTTGTCCGGTTATACGTAATCGTTAGAACACCCTGCATATCGTAACAGAACGAATACGACGGCAAGCCTACAATTTGTTCATTAATATGTTTATTTCGTGTTTTATCAGGCCTTTCTTATTTTCAAGTTGTGTCAACTCAAAATATGTTACATTCGAAAATTTAACTCCGTTACGAAACGCAGTACATTCGTACACGTTCGTCTGCGCATTATAACGCGCAATTTCCTTTGAAAGCGGAAAGTTGATTTGCTAATAGGCAACCAGAAAATTCTCTTAGACCGGGGCTGGCCCAATACGTAGATTAAATACTGGACATCGTATGGGACGGAGATTTTCAGCAATTATTTTGCAATACCGTTGTTAAGCATTTAATTACATTTGCAAATTATTGGTATAACATACAGGATGCCAGCGGTAGGCGAGATTTCCGACAATCTCTTCGGTCACACGAAAGCCTGTGAATCAAGACAGAGTAGGAAGCGAAAAAAAATGTTGGATATTTCGGCTCTGTTATCCGCTTACTTTGGACTTTCATTTTGGAAACAATTTAGCGTTACAATTCCCCACGACGTGTATTCCGAACGTCATTTCACGAATAACACGAGAATATTTGCACTTGAACGAAATATTAATATGATTTGTTTAGTAAAATGATTAAAAGAACCATCATGTTCTTTGCAACAAGGATGGCGTCATCTGAATCTCTGTTCGCATAGATTTATTAAAGCCACGAGCCACCGTCGAGCCATCACAAACACGTCCGAAGGATTACGTTTAAACGATCCAAGTTTCACTGAATTAGTTAGTTTGCGCACTGTTGTTTGTACTACTGATTATCAGTTTGTGAAAATTTGGGAAAATCAGGGCGCAGTGCATTGTGCTTAACAGTCAAACATTGAGGTAGTTTTGCGCTTGTTTGTCGGGGAGGTACCATCAATAAACTCGTATTTTCTTACGAAGGAAGATCAACGGAGAATAAAGAGAAGTCCGAGTATCAAGGCCGATACATGAGCCACGTCTATATAGTAAACACGATACTATACAAGCAAGTTGAAAAACTGCAAGTTTTTGAAAAAACCGGAACATACCTCGTAGAATTCGAGGGCTGTGTTTTTCCTACAAAAGAGATTCTGTCTCGATCAGAGTTTGAGCAAGAAATTAAATTCAACGACAGAAAGGATTCTTTTGCAAGATGATTGTCATATTATTTCCTCGCGCCGAAGTCCAACCTAAAAACTTCGTAATATTTGAGGTTATGTTTTATTGAAACATGAATTTTTTGCATTAACGAGCAAACCAATTCACTAGGAAAACAAAAACAAACTGGACGTAAGTTAAAATTGACAACAGATCTCCTTAGCGTGCATTAAATTTCATATTGGTCAATAATATTCAACATGTTAGTTCAGGTTCATGTATTTTACTTCAAGAAGTTAATGATTGTATTAAATTTTTTTTTATCTATCTGTAATTTAATTTTTTAGATATCTGATAGTTTTGCGATCATATAGATTCGGATAATGTATTTGATTTGTCGATCTTTAATTAATAATGTGACTTTTCAACTAGCCTGCAATAATGTGACACTTCATATTAATATTCTGTATACATAATGTTTAATTACAAATATTTACGCATTCAGTTAAATCATTTAAAATTCATTATTTTATTACTATATTTAATGAATGTTACATATTTATCTAAAAACATATTATTTCAAAAACTTACATATGTATTTCATATATAATACATTGTAACTTATATGGATATATACATTATAAAACTTAATTTATAACTTTTTTGTGATACAACTTCTGTCATTAATTTTTATTTGTAGCAATTTATGAGTGGATAATGCTTGGAGGCAATGAACGGGATGGAGAGACATGGGCATGGACATGGACATTCACATGCACATTCGCATCGTCATCGTCACTCACATGGAAATCTACAAAGTGTATCTCAAAATTCCAGCCAATCATCAAAACATAGCCATACTCACACGTTGCACTTGCAAAAAGATACATCTGCAGTTCAAACACCTCAGAAGCCAAGAAATTACAAGTTACTAGTTGATCCATTTTTAGTAAAAGGTGCAACAAAGTTATACAGATACGATGGCATGGTCCCAGGAGATCCAACTTATCCTGAAGTTCAACCGAGAGATCCTAGATCACAGTTAACAAGAATTTGGACTCGTTTAGAACAACTTGACTTACCTGTACCTAGATTTAAAATTGACTCTAATTATTGTGGTGAACCTCCTCCGCTTGAAGTAACATTTTGTCATTTAAATGATAATATTGATAAAACTTTTTTATCAGATATGGTTCAAAAATTTGGAGCTGTAGAAGAACTTATTGTTTATTATCACCCTGTAACTAATAAGCATCTCGGAATTGCAAGAGTAGTCTTTGAAACTACAAAAGCTTCGAAGGCTTGTGTAGAAAAATTAAATAATACATCTGTGATGGGTAAAGTTTTAAGAGTGTTTCTTGATGCATTTGGAGAAGAGTGTAAAAAAGTCTATGATGAGTTAACTATAGAAAAAAAACTAGAAAAGAAGATTGAAAAGGAAATAAAGCCTGAGAATGATCAAGAGAAACAAACTCCAATTGAAAAAATTATTACGGAAGAAAGAGATGACTTCAGAAGTAACAAAAAAATATCCAATATAGAAAAATCAAGAGACACATATATAGAAAACTCGAGATACAATAAATATAGAGATTATCCTACTCCTAGTGGCAGTGATTTAGGTTATGGTACTGCACCTAGCGAACTAAATTATTCTAGTAATTATTCTCAAAATTCTACTCCAGCTACGAATTATGATTTTTATTATAGTAGTTACCATCAGCCTCCGAACAATTATTTAGCGAATATGCCACAAAATGTATCGCAAAATCTTTCAATGCCGCAGAATTCAAATATATGGTGGGGAAATAATACGGGGGCAACAAGTTACGCGTCATCCTCTATGTGGCCTGTTCAACATGGAACAAATTTAGATAATTCCAATTCTAATGCAGTTCCAATTTCTAAGACTTCTAATGTAAAAATACACCATACACCTAAGAAAGAGAAAGAAAATCAAAATATAACAAAAAACTCATCACGAGACTCTCCGGTAGAAACTCGTAAAACATTAGATTTGGATACTAGAATTGCCATGTTATTAAAGGACAAAGCAGGAGGAATGGCACCGCCTTTCTTACAGTTTGGTAGCGATTCTGAAGATGAGAAAAAGTCTGTTAATGCAGATAATGAAATGCTCTCAGAACCACCAAGTCCTTTTCTATCTCATGAAACGTACAAATCATGTTTTGAGAAAATGCGGGAAAGGAATAAAGAGCGATGGAAAGTACATGAGAATAGCATCAATCAATTTTCTGTTGACGAAGATTTAGGTAGTGTTATAAGTTCGAGCGAAGATGAAGCATTGTTGGGAAGTTACAGTCCTGCACAGGATGAAATTGAACCAGAGCCACCAAAAGAGCCACCACCTCCACCTCCACCAGATGACGATAGAATGTCATTAAGTCCATTAAGTTCAGGGGATGAAAAAATTGAAGAGGTAACGTTTAATATTATTATATTAAGCATTAAATAGTATATATAATTATTTTTTCATATTGCTATTTAAATATACAGGTTATAGCTCAAACAGAACCTACAAGTCAGTTATATCCAGGAACTGGTTATCCTGGACATTTAACTCATTATCCTACCAATGACATGTATCATTGGCCAAGACCAGCACAATATCCATATCCATATGGAACAACATATTTACAAAGTCATTATCAACCAAATACTACATCATTTTCTGGTACAGTAGGGAATCATCAAGGAGCTAATTATTATCCATCTTTTCAATCAAGGCTTCATGCTATGGCAAACCATAATATTACGAAAGATAATCCACAAGTATGTATATGTTTTCTAAATGTAAATGTTATATCAACTTTTATCAATTTAATTTCTGAACAGGGCCCTACTATTAATGGTGTATTAAATAGAGTTGTAAATGAATTAAAGCAAATTCTAAAAAAAGATTTTAACAAAAAAATGATCGAAAACACTGCGTTCAAACTATTTGAAGTATGGTGGGATGAAAAGAAATCAGAAAAAAATCAAAATCAAGGAGGAGAGAACTTAACTATTGTTAATAATAATAGTAATAAGGAAGAAGGACAAAAACCTCAAGGATTATCATTACTTTTAGAACAAGGAACTCCGCTTGGATTTAATTATGATGGATTTGGTTTGGGTATTAGAGCCAGCATGCCAAAGATGCCTTCTTTCAGGGTACAATCATTTCTGTTATATCGAAATTTATTTTTAATAATATAATGTAATTGTAAATATTTTGTAATATATAAATAGAATAGGAGAAGAATAGATACGTTTAGACATACTTAGAGTAATGATTTAATATTTTATTCTAGTAATGATTTAATATTTATATTATTAGCGCAAAATTAAAGCTCCAAGCCCATTACCGCAAGACGAAGATAGTCGTCAATCTGATCATGGCGACACAGAACTTATAGGAAGCGACAGTGATCTTGATCTGGCGTCAGTGCAAAAAATTAAAAGACCAATCACTTCTCTTCCAAGCGTTTCTTCTTCATCTTCCTCGTCATCTTCGTCTAGTGAAAGTAGTAGCGAAGAAATGAGTTGCAGCGAATCTTCCAGCAGTTCGAGTGATAGTTCTGATGAAGAAGTATGCTCTGGAAACTTTGAAGATGAGGTATATAATTGATTAAAACCGCAAGCAATTTACTTAAACATTCATGTATGATACACTTTCGTGTTTTCATAAAAATAATTTTTATTTTCAGCAGGATACAGACAGTCGTTTATCAGATCATCGTCCACTGGCTTGTAACAGTGAAGATCCTGATATTTTAATGGAACTTGCAATTCAAAGATCGTTAGATTGTCCAACGCCTACTGGTAGAGAGACACCAGTACCTAATATTAAAATAAAAGACGAAAATTCGAATGAATTCCCACAGTGTGACAATGAAGCTAGCCCTGTGTCATCTCCGTTGAAATATGAAAGTGATAAAGAAGATAGTGAGAAGGAAAGTGAAAAATCTATAAATGAAGAATATCTCGAAAAAGTTCGAGTGAAAGAAGAGGTAGAAATGGAAAGAATGGAAGATGAAATACAGAAGAAAGTAAAGAGTGCTTCAGCTGTACTAATTAAACAAGAACCATGTGATATACAGAAAATGGAAAATTCTGCAGCAGAAGCTTTAATAACATTAGCTGGTCAAGATAACATTATAAGACATAGGAGTCCGGGACCTGTACAACCAAATATTATTAGAGCTCTTCAAACTATGTCTGCTAAGTACATTAATGATGAACCTATATTAAAAGATACAGAGAAAATTGAAATGTTTAGCGAGATACCTACCACCGATTCGGAGGAAGAAAGCTTAGAAATTAGAAGATTAAGGTTTGTAAAATTATATGTAAATTTAAATAAGAATAAAAGTATATTAACTATACATATTGTTTTGTACTACTGTTTTGCGTTAATTAGGTATCAAGCCGAAGCTGATCTCCGACTTAATGGTCAACAAAGCCCTAAAAATTCTCAAGCTTCACAAGTATTTATGGAACATTCATACTCATTACCACCTGCCCAGTCAGAAATTACGAAGACTGTAATTCGTACACCATCGACACCAATGAAACCGGTAAAACTTAAATCGTCGAAGATCATAAAATTGTCGAAGAGCAAAGACAAGACACACAAAGTAGAAAAACGAAAATATAATAAATATACGAAAATACACACTCACCAAAATCATGAAAGAGAGAAAGAAAATATCGAAAATGAGTATGTTTATGAGAAATATCCGAAGAAAGTTGAAGAGCCAGTTGTTACATATAAAGAACGTGATCTTATGTCGGAAATGGCTATTTTGTATGAATTTTTAACGAGAGGAATAGATGCGGAAGATGTGGAATATTTAAGACGAAGTTATGAAGCTTTATTAGCCGATGATAGCCAAGGTTATTGGTTAAATGATACTCATTGGGTTGATCACCCTGCAACGGATATTCCAAGTCCTGCGAAACGCAGAAAAAGAGACGAACTTAGATTACATACAAGTGGAAGTGCAAGAACGGAAGGATATTATAAGGTTGATATACGAGAGAAAGCTAAGCACAAGGTATGGCTGAATTTTTTAATATAACTATATATTAGTGTTTCTTCCGTAGTGATCTTCATATTAGAAATTACAATGATAAAAGTGGTCTTGCTAAATATTGTGCCAAACTAGCATTAATTTATTCAGCCTGTTAATTCCTTAAAATTATTTATCTTATGTAGCATCACTACGCCCAAAGTATACAACGAAGTAACGATGTTGAAGATAGTAATGGTCCTTACGCTGGCGGCGATGGAACAATGAATGGTCCAAAGAACAATACTAAAGCTTTAACTGGTAAAATGCAAGCTTTGTCTCGTGAGGCCCGAAGTAATCAAAGACGATTATTAACAGCCTTTGGTATAGATACCGACAGCGATCTTCTTAAGTTCAATCAGTTGAAAGTAAGATTTCAATTGCTTCGTTAAATCATTTTCAGTTATCGTAAAATCAATTAAATACGCTTATTTCATCTTTTACAGTTCAGGAAAAAACAATTGAAATTTGCTAAATCTGGTATACATGATTGGGGTTTATTTGCCATGGAACCAATTGCAGCTGACGAAATGGTCATTGAATATGTCGGACAAATGGTCAGGCCAGTTGTGGCTGATTTACGAGAGTCTCAATACGAAGCTACCGGTATCGGTAGTTCCTATCTTTTCCGTATCGATTTAGACACGATTATCGATGCAACAAAGTGTGGAAATTTAGCACGATTCATTAATCATAGCTGCAATGTGAGTATTACAATCTATATCTTTTACATTTTGCATTAAATATCAATCGAATTGACTTTCTTGCTAATTGTACCGTGATTACTGAGATATATCCTGTAGAATAAATTCTCACAATGATTTAAGCCACACTATTAATCGTTTTATTATTTTTCAGCCGAATTGTTACGCAAAAGTAATTACAATCGAAAGCCAAAAAAAAATTGTAATTTATAGTAAACAACCGATAGGAGTTAACGAGGAGATCACGTATGATTATAAATTTCCATTGGAGGATGATAAAATCCCTTGCCTATGTGGAGCTCCGCAATGTCGGGGTACTCTTAATTGAATCGTTCATAAAACTATATTGTTCATCCCTTTTTCCTGTCTTCTACACTTCATCATACCCTACTCATATTTTTGTAAATACTTCTCCATGTAAACATTTTATAAAATGCAATGGAAATATGCTAAATTATGTTAATATGAAAGTCCTTCTCTTTTTTAACATTCTCCTTGTAATTATTGCATCAAGTACGTAAAATGAATTTTAAGATCGTCATAAAATATTTATAACCTATGATTGTTTTTGTACATACGTGACTTAAGATTTTATTCCTATTATGTTTCTGTTAAAAATAAAATAACAGTTTTTAAAATCGTTCATGTCGATCGATAATGAAAAGAATTTCCATTTTTTTAACACAGTAAAAGAATTGAACTACACGTGTAAATACTTTTTATGAAATTATATATATATTATATATGTAATATATATATATTATATATTTGTTTCTTTTTTTAAATAAAATACTAGTAAATATATATATATAAATACATATTAAACTTAGGGATTTTTTTTTATATCACTTGTATGCAATGATGTGAGGTATATATATACAAGTACTTAAGCAATGCATTCAGTTTCTACATAGAAACTACTATATCAGCTCTATGTGTTTCTTTCATATTTATAATTTCTAATAAAGAATATTTTTAAAACATATAAAATTAATCAAAATATAAAAATTATATATATATAAAATTGGAAAAGGTTTTCTTGTAAAATTTTGTTTTGTTATTAACAAAATATTTTGACGCTTCATGATACAAAAATTGTACTTAAATACATTATAGCATCAAAAGAAAATGCTTTAAAAATTTTATATTTAAAATAACACAGTTTAACATGTATCACAACAATTTTATTGATCAGACAATTTTGATATTGTTAAGATACAATTATTCCTTTTAAGTTATTACTGCAAGAACGAGATGTATTAATTGATCAACATATTAGATTTTCTTTTTCTAAATTTCTTCTATTTTTCTTTTTTAAATTTCGTCATGAGGATTAATTTATTAATTAAGTTGTTAATACATGTACATCATATTGACAATTCGAAATATAAATTCGAAGTGTCCCTGAGTAACATGTTCACCAACATTCAAATCGTAATAGTGAAATTTTAAGGTTGGAATTGAATGGGGCATAAAAATTAATTTCTTAGAGTGAGAGACTTTATATAAATATATTCTATGATAGAAAATTGTGTATTATATTTAATTACAGTGATGTTATATGTGGAATAGTGTCGTTGATTATACATAATTGTTACACAATTTTGAAGGTTATATTTGAAAAATATGGCAGATCGTTTAACACAGTTACAAGATACTATAAATCAGGTAACTTGTTTGTACAAATTATTCATAAACACAATAGGTAAAAAAATGAGTTTCGCTTATTATTATTCTAGCAAGCAGAACATTTTTGTAACAGCGTAGGTATTTTACAACAGTATTCAACACCCAGCAAATTTCCTGGTTTTGATCGTGTTGGAACACCTCAACCGCATCAGCCTCAAGAAGGTATTTTTCATATGCAATTTATTTCATTTAAATTTTATGAATTTTCATATAAACAATACTTATATTTTAGATTATGCAGCTTTATTCGCAACACTTATAGCAAGGTGTGCAAAAGATATCGATACCTTGATAGAAAGTTTACCAAGTGAGGAATCATCGCAGGAACTGCAAGTTGCAAGTCTCAGTCGCCTTGAACAAGAAAATCAAGAAGCTGGTGAACAACTAGAAGAAGTTGTAAAACAGGGTGAAGCACTTCTGCAAAGAATTCAAGCTGCTCTACAAGATATTGCTCAAAGTCAATTGGATATGCAAGATCCAGCATCCACATCTGTAATTAATATCAATCTCAACACTAATTCAACTTTCAAACAAGAAAATGTGAGCTCTATAAATACCGTATCAAATAGCACACACCAGTTGTCAGACCCCTCACCTAATTCTGTGAATCAATGATATATTTTTACTATAACTTAATTTTTTGAGAGATTTATAAGAGGATAAATTTTACTGATAGTGTATACTTCGCCAAAATATTAAAATTATTAAATAAACCTTAAAAAATGTTTTATATTTATAGATAGTAAAATATTACTTATATGAAAAATGTATAATTAATAATTTATTTTGATGTGATATATATATAGTTACATTGAATATAAAAGAAGACTGTACTTATACTATTTCTTAAGAAGATTTATGAATGTTTCTCGTGGTACGCATATTTTTCCAATCATTTTCATTTTCTTTTTCCCTTCTGCTTGTTGAGCTAATAATTTCATCCTTCTAGTAACATCACCACCATACTAGAATAAAAGAAATTAATAACGGAAATATGTGAAAGTAGACAATGCATGAGATATAAAAGAATTATTTACCAATTTCGCAGTTACATCTTTTTTGTATGCTTTTAAGTTTTCTCTCGCGAGCACTTTCCCGCTAACGATTGCTTGAATCGCTATTTCAAACATTTGACGTGGAAGAATATTTAGCATTTTTTCACATATTTGTCTGCCTATTGCCCGAGCTTTGCTAGCGTGTACAATAGTACTAAATTCTTCAACTACTTTACCATTTAAAGCAATATTTAACTGTGAAATATAAACACTAATATAGGAATAGTAAAATGTAAAGTAAAGGAATAGTAAAATTATTACATCTAAACATATTAACATAATTATAATTACCTTTACGATGTTTGCAGGCTCATAACCACTGTCTTCATAATCAAAAGTACCATATCCCGAAGTTACACGTTTTAGTACATCATGGAAATCAACAATAATTTCATTCAATGGCAGTAAAAATTGAAACATTGTTCTGTTATGACCAATATCTTTCGTCATTTGTTGTATTCCTCGTCTTTCAAAACATAAATTCATAACTGTACCTATATGCTCAACTGATATACAATTATAAGTTATTTAGTATCATCTTTTTAGTTAACTATATTATATATAAGATTTAATCATTGAATATACTTGGTGCTATAATAGTTCCTAATACCATAGGTTCATAAAATTCTTCGACAATGTTAGGATCAGGAAAATTTGCAGGATTATTGAATGAAATCATATCAGTCCTGTATTGTTTAACATTCTTCTTGCCAAAAATTTTTGCTTTATATGTAACACTGGGCGTCGTCACAACTGAATGTGCACCATATTCTTGTTCAAGTCGTTGCATAAATACTTCCATGTGTAGTAAGCCCAAAAATCCAAGTCTCCAGCCTTGTCCAAGAGCTACACTAAAAAAAAAAAGTGTATAAGGTACTTAGATAAATTAAAATCGCGTCTCTCCGTTATTATCTAATTTATTATTTAATTTACTCAATATATTTAAAAATATTGAGAAAGAATACCTGGTTTCCATTGCAACAGTAACGCTACTATCATTTAATATTAGTTTCTCGATAGCGGTTTTCAAAACTTCAAATTCCGACTTCTCAATCGGATAAAGGCCCGAAAAAACCATTGGTTTCGGTGCTTTAAACCCTAGTAAAGGTTCAGTAACATAATCTTTCAGATGTAACGTATCGCCAATAATCGTTTCGTTGGAAGATTTTAAATTACAAGAAATGCATCCTATTTGACCTGCAAACCTAGAGCATGCAATAATACATTATTATTATTATTATTATTATTATTATTATTATTATTATTATTATTATCATCATGTAATTAATGTAGAATTATTATAAAGTTCATATTTACAATTTATTTACAACTTCTTCGGAGGGTCTCAACAGCGAAATAGTTCTAACTTCATAAGGCTTCTTATTGTACATTGAAACAACGTGTTGTTTAAGGGATAAAGATCCTTCTTTGATATATATCAGTAAAATTGTTCCTTTATATTTTTCATACCAGCTATCGAATATCAAAGCTCTGAATGGCTTGTCTCTACATACATCAGGGGGTGGAATTCTCTCCACTACAGCGTCCAAGACTTTAGATACTCCAGTACCTAATTTAGCAGATATCTTTAACACATCTGACTGCTTTATATCAAATAATGTTTCTAACTGATTTACAACTCTGTCGGGATTGGCGTATTTTAAATCTATTTTATTGATTACTGGCACTATGACTAGATTGTGTTTAACAGCTAAATGAAAATTGGCCACGGTTTGTGCTTGTACACCGTCATTTGCATCTACTATTAAAATTACTCCTTGGCAGGGAGTTAACGAACGGTGTACTTCAGCAGAGAAGTCAACGTGTCCAGGTGTATCTATCAGATTAAGCAGATATTTAATTCCTTTGTATGTGTAGTTAACTGACGCCGTTTGCGCTTTAACAGTGATTCCACGTTCTTTCTCAACTTGTAGTTTATCCAATATTTGTTTACCAGAGTTGACTTCTATTGCACCTGTTATTTCCAGTAATCTGTCAGCAAGGGTGCTCTTACCATGATCAACATGTGCTATAATACTGAAATTACGGATATTTTCTATTGGTGTATCATATTCTCTAGCAACTTCTGAGTTTGTAGAATAAAATTTATTGAGATACAGGGGTTGTCTAAAAATCAAGCATACATAATTAACATCAGTAATAAATAACTTTCTTTTTTCTTAATTCAAAATAATTACAGTCCTACTTACTAGTAGGAAAAAAGGCACCTAATACTAACCTTATGCGTATTTGGGAAAGATTATGATTTTTATAAAAGGACTGTACACGATATATAAATTTATTCATCTTCATAATGAGATAATACAGTAGTTATAAAATATTTTTAACATTAGCTAAAAATTCAAATGTAACGAGTTACTTATTGTTTTTCTAAAATATTATATTATTTTCAGATTCATTTATGTGTTAACATGCATTAAAAATTATATTCAAATTAAGTTTTTTCTGAATGAGTATGAACATTAAAGTTACTCAGGGTACGAATTTTAAGGTTATGTTTTATTTATATGTCAAATAAAAATTATAAATCTTTATTGATAGATTATAAGTAATAGAGAAGGGAAGCTGAAAACTTAATTAGAAAAATATAATTCTAAATGTTCATAAATTAATTTTATTAAATAAGTTTTATATAATTAAAAATGGAGCGATAACTAAAATGCTAGCGCCATGCGATAAAAAGCTGGAACTAAAATCTATTGCTGTCTTTATCACATACTATTGTTCTCTTTATCTAATATATCTGTTCTTGCAACATGTTATTGCTTTCTTTAGCGTACAGGCAGTGCCATCTATTGGAGAACTATAAAATATTAGGCGATCATGACCACATTTTATTTCTCGATGTTTCCAATAGATGCCAATAGATGACTTGAGTATGTAGCGACCTCTACTTCGAAGAATTTAGATCAACGACATCTATGTTCCGTCGAGATGTGTATTTAAAATAAACAATAGAATATTTAAAAATAGTTATTAATTTTATTATCACCATAGAAATGTTTACTGACACTTATATATATTGTAGCCATAGTAGAAATTCTTCATTCGTTATTTCGT